AACATTATGACATTATGAAATAGTTTGCAGTAATGTTAAAATAAGTGAAATTTTAAGTGATTTTTTAAATTGATACATGACCTTTTTTCACGCTTTACTTTGTCTCTAAAAGTAGAATTTTACTACGAAAATATTTTTAATAAGAAGATTGAAAATTTAATTAAGTAAAGTTTAAGCAAAACTTTTTATTTCTTGTTAAAATGTAAGGAGGTATGCGAACCACTTACTATGCAAACATTGTAAGTTTTGTAAAAAAGTGCTTATATCCACTTAACAATAAAATAAAATGCAGACTGCCTTAAGCCATCAGGTACTTAAAATCAAACATATTATAAAGATGAAAGCAAACAGTTTTACCGTAAAAATAACAGTTCTTTAAAAACACTTGTTTACTTTACCATGCTACAGTATTATGATCGTACATTTGTAAGAACTGTAAATGTTCAAGCTTTAATCCAATCAGTCTAACTGAATAGGTTATTTTTTTTAAATATATAACAGTCTTGTGTCAGTAGAATTGTAATAGGTGTAAGATTTTGCAAGTCAAATCATTATTTCCACTTTAGTAAAAAAAGCTTGTGAATTTTTCTGATCAATGATTATGATTTCATGGTGTAGTAGCCTCTGGATCATCAAATTTAAGGTAAATGGTTTATGTTACCTGGCTTCGTCAAGTGGTCGTTTTTTCAGTAGTACACTACTATAATTTCGGACATCAGTAAGCGTCCATCATCAGGTGAAATGAAAAAATGTCTCAGGTCTTATATCCAATTTGGCTGGATCCGTCGTTGACATTGAGAGCATATAACACAAAAACACTAAAAAATAGTGTAAAAAATCAGTAAAATGTTCGTAGTATAGAGTAAAATCGGTCGTTAAAACAGAAAAAACATTTAAAACTTCCAAGATCTTCTCTCCGCTTTAACTGAACGATCTCGCATTATCTCAAACAAACGATCTACAGAATCGTCGTAAGCGTATCTTCTTTTAAGCAATAAATAACCCACTTTGCCACCCCGCCAGTTCTGTTTAAATTTTAAAGGTATTCCAAAGACAAAGAGCATTTTTTAGTGAATATAAATAAAATACCATTCAACATTTAACAATATTTTTAATTCAGTTGATAAATATAACAGCCGAAGTTGATGAGTATGATATGTGAAATAGTAAATCCAAAGTCCATAAAAAAGATTGGCAAACTTGAATCAACTACAAATTCTCATTTGAAAGCTCCTGCATTTATAAACAGCACTGACACAAATTTTGAATGTTAAATTTCAACGCAGTATGGAAAAACAATATTTTAGAATTCATTCTACCACCATCCGAAAAAAATGTCTTTATCATGTCTTGTTCTGAAAATCTTGATGTCTCCAGTTTTTTTCACTACTTATGTACAGAACTAGTTAGTTGTCAAACATAAATCTTGTATTTTCCTGTAAACATGGTGTAGGTCTATCTGTTTACAAATAAATAAATAAAAAGTTATCCAATGAACAAAAAAATTAGAAAGTACAGTAAATTGAATGCTTAAGGTTTTTTTTTGCGAAAACATGAAAACAATAGAGATGTTTACAGTAGGGTTTATTTGTTTTTATTTAATTTTGACCTAATTTCTGTTAGAGTTAGTTGTTCGTTATATACATTAGTATTATTTAAACAATGATGATATAATGCAACTACATTTACCCTGAATACAACATCTGACCTTTTTGTTTTTAACTTTTAACCTTTGAATAATAACCATTATGAAAGTAATTTGATCAAGTTATGAAAGTATTTTTATCAGATTTTAATTAAATTACTACGATTTCCACTCTTGTTTGAAAACTCAGTTAACTTTTACCTTTGAAATTGTAACATCTCAAAATATAGTATATTTATCTAGTATTGATGTTGTTTTAGATAATATTTAGCTTTTAAGCATCAAAAACCTCCAATAAGAAAAAATACCCTCAAAAAAAAACATTTATTTTTATTTTTATATAATTAAGTGTTTTTAGTGAATAGTGTATTGTGTCAAGTAAAGTTTTAATAATATGACGGATAATTGAAAACTTAACATAAAAGATAACATAACTTTGAAATGTGTACACACATAACAGTGAAATAAAATCGTAGTTTAATTCGAAGCAAAATATGTTACCGGTAGCTATTAAAAACAAACTTTCCTAACTCAGTTAAATACTTTAAATAAACTTGATTCATTTAGCCAATACTAAATTAAACACTTATTTTTCATCAATAGTTAAATTTCTTTGCGAATAAACAGTCAAAAGTATGCTTTATTACTTGTTTAGTAAATAATCCCAATATTAGGTACCTATATTGTTAGTTATATTAGGTATATATTAGGTAAATAAGGTATATTATTAGGTATTATTGAGAATAGGTTATATTATTTAAGTATATTAATAAGTATATTGGTTATAAGGATGGACTACCATAGAGGATGGAGTGTTTAAGTAGTTAACAAAGTAACAATCAAAACAAAAACTTATTAGTTTCATCTCACTATTAATTAAACATTCTCTACCTCAACAACAATAGTAAGTACTATTCATTTGTGCATTGTTCCAGCAAGGAATTTCATGGACAAGTTTCACCAGGAATTCAATAAGATGTTCAAGTTTTGCCTCTTCATCAAAGAATCCCCTCCAAAGTTTTAAAACTCTTCCGCCATACAGTTTTTATAACTTGAATCTGTTCGGTGTTTTTCTATTGGACACAAGTTGGTAGTTAATGTTTTCCGATAGATTAATTGTTTTGAGGTCTATACAAGGCAGGCTGTTGCGATATTCAATGCTCTTTATTATTGAATCCTTGAGATTATGATAATTGTGCCGTTCATCCCAGTTATAAATGACTTTTTAATGTACCAAGCAGTGTCAAGCTTTTAATGTGCTCACATATATATTTTCGTAAATAAAATTAAATATACTCCACACTTAAGAGTAGGAAAACGTTTCTACATAATATCACTGCCTATTGAATACGGAAGTAGACTTCCCATCTATATGAACCAGTTATAGCAAATTTTTATTTAAAAAAAGAACGTAGTCGTGTGAGCCAGTCACAGAATGCGCTAGAGTCTAAAATTCTATTTTTTTTATACCTTATTTTTTGTTGCTGACCAGGTTGATAATAACAGCAACATAACAGTTGCTACAACTTATCATAAGTTATTGACTCCCTAAGTTTGACGTTTGACTTGGTGAAAAAGATCGTGTATTCGACAGAATTTAGTACTATAGATCAGCGCAATCTGTAAGTGGCTCACATCAACTACAACGATTTTGATCAAAGATCTGGCTACAAATTTAACATGGGGATGGAATGTCTAGTTGTAATAATAGTTATAGGTAATATTAAATGTCTATATTTGTATATTTACTCGAAATGGAGTATGCATATGAACTTTTTACATAGAAACACGAAAATCAAGTTGAACATAACAAGTTGTTTTAACTATACTGCATAAATTAACTTTTAAGTCGTGCACCATTGTCTGTGTTTATAAAATTTGTATTTTTTTTATTTCTCATTTGGCACAAACTTGTAACCAACCACTAAAAATTAAAGACCCACACGTGAATGGTGAAAACATTACTCAATTATCTACGAGTCGACGTAAGTACTCGAAAAATAAATTTCTGTGAAAAGTGTAAAACGAAACAGGACAAGCGTTAAAACAACAGTTCAATTACAGCAGTGTTTTCAGTGCTTCACGTTGTTATTACTGTAAAATTAACGACTGGTGTTATCGTCGCTATATGTCAACGAGTTATTTATTTTATCGCAGATAGGGTTTTAAAGCAACGTTGGACATGCTTCATGTTCCTAATTTGCAACTCTCCCAAAGTTTAGTACATAGTTATTATCCTTTATTTTAGCAAACTTGGATAAAATAATTTTTTATGATGCATAATATCAATTTTTACGATTTCATTAAACGATAGTGTATCTGTGATGCGCATCAAACATAATCTGTTAAGTAAGGATAATCCTGTTGTTATTATTTCACACCAGTTTAACGCTAATGTATTAAGCTACGGTAATACCCATCACAAATTGATAGAATAAATCTATTTTTAGTAACAGTTTAGTTATCTGTCATGTAACGGACTCTATTATTGTTCCAGGACTATGTAACGCTGGTGCTCCGGTGTTCCATTGTGACTCTTTGACTTGCGTTACACAAGATCTGTGATGTAACAGACTCTATTATTGTTCCAGGACCATGTAACGCTAGTGCTCCGGTGTTCAATTGTGACTCTGTGACTTGCGTTGCACAATATCTGTTGTGTAACGGACTCTATTCTTGTTCCAGGACTATGTAACGCTAGTGCTCCGGTGTTCCATTGTGACACTGTGACTTGCGTTACACAAGATCTTCTATGTAACGTGCTCTCTATTATTGTTCTAGGACTATGTAACGCTAGTGCTCCGGTGTTCCATTGTGACTCTGTGACTTGCGTTACACATGATCTGTTATGTAACGTGCTCTCTATTATTGTTCTAGGACTATGTAACGCTAGTGCTCCGGTGTTCCATTGTGACTCTGTGACTTGCGTTACACAAGATCTTCTATGTAACGTGCTCTCTATTATTGTTCTAGGACTATGTAACGCTAGTGCTCCGGTGTTCCATTGTGACTCTGTGACTTGCGTTACACATGATCTGTTATGTAACGTGCTCTCTATTATTGTTCTAGGACTATGTAACGCTAGTGCTCCGGTGTTCAATTGTGACTCTGTGACTTGCGTTACACAAGATCTTCTATGTAACGTGCTCTCTATTATTGTTCTAGGACTATGTAACGCTAGTGCTCCGGTGTTCCATTGTGACTCTGTGACTTGCGTTACACAAGATCTTCTATGTAACGTGCTCTCTATTATTGTTCTAGGACTATGTAACGCTAGTGCTCCGGTGTTCCATTGTGACTCTGTGACTTGCGTTACACATGATCTGTTATGTAACGGACTCTATTATTGTTCCAGGACTATGTAACGCTAGTGCTCCGGTGTTCCATTGTGACTCTTTGACTTGCGTTACACAAGATCTGTTGTGTAACGGCCTTCCAGACTGTCCTTCAGCTCAAGATGAAGGAGTTGACCAATGTGGTGAGTTAAAAATAATTTTGTAGCAATACGTTTGAATAGTACCATATAGTTCCTTTTCAATCCAGTTCTTTTTCATGTTACCATTGAGTTTAACAGATTACTAATTGAGTTATATTTATATTGTAATACCTAAGTCTTACAATCCTTTTATAATTAACAATTCTATCGCTTTTAATAATGTTTTCTGAAGTTAGATATGTAAAAAGATGTCAACATGTATATCCGCTTTTAAAAGGTAAATCCAATCTTAGAAACCACACCTAACTAAAATTACCAAAATAATTATCTAATCCATTTCGTTTTACTGCATTTACATTTTTATGAAACTAATTTTTTTCTTTTTAGTTGTGACTAAATAGATATTCGGCTTCACACCAATTTAAGTAGCGACACAAAGTTAAAAATTAGTGTAAGCAATTTGCTATGCTTCCTTTTGCTACTTGGCTGGCCATTTTGTGAGATAAACTAACCAGTATAATGGCTAAGGAAATTTGCACGCAAAGTTTATACTACACACTTTAAACTGATACTGTGTTATAAACGTTACAAGGCGTACACTTAACTAAACTTTCTTTAACGCTAATCTGTCTTTAGAGCTTAACAGAAATTCTCCACGTGATACGAGAGAAAATGTTTGGCTAAGCGGGAAAAGATGAGTGATTGAACACTTCAATGACAGCGTCTTACGAGAAAACTCCTCCACCAGAAGGTGTTTAATAAACCTAAAACCCATTTATAGTAAATTGACTTCCTTTGAAACATTATCATTCATGTTTATTGGCACTTAGATGCAAAATGCTTATGTTTCCAAAATATGTTTCCAATAATGATCAATAAATGTCAATGGCCTTATTTTGTGAGTGTTTTCCTTGTTCTCTTCGATTATATTGAATTTATATACCTACTTACACTTTCAGAGAAACCATTACTACTTGTCTTAACCGGTTTGAAAAATATGATTAACTATATATTATAGTCAATGATAATATATACGAATGAATTTAACTGGAGTTATTTTACCAGGAACCCAAAAAGGTTAATCAAAAGACAATGACACAATATGCCGTTTTATTTTTGTATTTGCCCAAAACGTACAACTGGAATTGAATACTTAATTAAAGAAGTAAATTATACTAGTCTAGATTCAAAAAAACTATGACTAAATCTACAGTATGTTGAACTTGTTAATTTATATAGTTTACAGCTTATTAAATTTAAATTATTTTCAGGCATTTGAGACGTATAGACCTAACATAAACCTAGGACTAGTATCATGTTATGATCAAGTTTTGCAACGAATAATTAGTTTTTACACAAAAATGCATTGATCCTGTTTTGCCTATTTTAATTTGACAACATAACTACAAACAATAGTATGTGTTAAGTTCAAACGTATTTTTTTTATATATCACAACCATGGAATATGCACGAAACACGAATAACGTGCGTTTAGGAGTATATTTAAAACTCTAAAATATGAGATTCTTTATTAAGGTCCATGTAGCTCCGAGGTCTTAATTTTCTCCGTATAATAACACAGTAATGTTGTTTATGAACTTCTTAAAACGTTTGAGAAAGAAATTTCATATCTAATTTTCGTTGTTTTGCAAAATTGTTCTCAGATATTAAAGCATTATATTTACTTCCCTACCTTTGTTGTTAATAGTAGCTGGGCTATGAGCAATTATATGCTCGTATGCCTATTATTTAACCCTATGGATAATAAATGCTACTTTCGCCTTATAAATGACTGCCATAAAGTAGGCTATCCATTCTTCTGTTACAGTCGTATCAAGTTTTAGACCAAAAATGTGATCAATTAAGCTAACGACAGTGTGTGCTATTGTAAATTCTTGGTTTCCTCTAAAAAGAGTTTAATTCCAAACTGTTATTATAAGACAAAACATCTAGAATGTACCCGTTAACTTTAATAATATGGAAACACAGAGCGAGCAAAAATGTAATATCTGCATAGGGGCCTACTACTTTATGACAAACTAATTTACCCTCACCTTGAGTTAATAACTGGCTACATCTGTTCCATACATTCTGTTCTCCACCAATTTTTACTTAGGACAATTATATATCGCTTTTATAATAGGTAATGCATAATCGATTAGACGATAAAATAAGTAACACTTAAAGCAATAAATATTTGTGAATATATATTTTTAAGTAAATTTCGGTCACTGATTTCCCGTAAAGTGAATATTTGTATATGTGCCGTTCAGGCAATGTCAGTATTTTAGTAGTCAATAATTCAACATGCTCTGTTAGGTTATGTTGACCACCATGTTGCCATAGTATGCCAGTGTGTGTTAGTTAATATAGGATAAAATTGTTTGGACTATACTGGGGGAAATATAGCCTGCATTAATCTATGCACAATTTAGATCCTAATTTCTATATGAGTTCCCACTACTATTATAGCTTTGAAAGTGTTTGTTGTATAGGTGTGTTTGACACCAAGTTATAACATTGTTTAATTGGTTGACCTGTTTAAAACTAACTATATTTATCTTCAAACTATAAAGAGAAGTACAGTAAGAGATTGAAGAGAAAACTCTGACATAATTTTAACGTTTTACATGTCTAGTTAACAACTATGAAAGCGTTTCCCTTATTGTAAATGTAAAATGCAAAAGTTTCTGTCTGTTATCAATTATGTATGACTTAAGTCGTTTGCAAACAATGATAACTTAACTGAGGATGCAGTGAGTGACTTAAGCTATCTAAAACATTTATCTTTCAACAGCATTCCAAGTCATTAGCAATTTGTTTCCCTAACTGCATTTGCTGAAACCTAGTTCATCCAACTTTTTGCAAAATGTTTTTGTAAGAATCCCAAAATTCTTGCTTTTTTGTCAAAGGAAATATTTTGTGTTACTTTAAAACTAAAATATTTTTTCCTGTTCAGTGAAAAATAAAGTGACATTAACCTATTAGCATTAGTTAATTTATATCAGAGTTAATATATATTAAAAAATAACCAAGAGTTTTTATAAACTTTTGGTTTGTGTGAAAGTATAAAAATAAAGTTTTTCACGTGTTTTATATTTTTTATGTTGTAATCATATGTCAATTATAATTATAATTTACATAGAAAAGGATCTTAACTCTTGTTTTCTGAAGTTAGGAAAATATCTGTCAACTTAGTTCATATTCATGTGATACAATTACAAATCCAAATCTTGATATATACAAAAATATTTCCAAACTTTCTGTTTAGTACAATATTTAGCTTATTTAATATTACCAATTTAAACCTTAAACTAGGAACTATTAAATATGGAGGCATGTATTTCTGTTGAAATATGTCGGTAATTTTCCATAAACATGGCGATGCACTGTACATTATTATCAGTACGTATCTTCGTAATATAATTATGATCACATGGTTATATCATGGTTCGGTTCAGTTTATAGCATGGCGAACGTTGTTTGTTCATGGTAGATGTAGCACAATGTAATAAGGATTTAATGTAGCTGAATATTATTTACTCCAACATGTACTTTGAAACAGACGAAATACACTGTGAAAATGTTCAAGTAGACCTATATGCAATTTTTCTACTGTATATCACACAATTCTACATCAGAAAATATGAGTAATAATTTTTATTGTGCGTCTTTGGTAGCTGAGCAAGTAAATAGCCTTGGTGAATAATCCTGCATTAATGTGAATTTCACTGTAATCTTACCGCACTTTTTATTTAAAACCCTAGAAGCGAAAAACCCACAAACCTTCAAATGCTTTTATAACTTCTGTTAGAGCTATTTAATTTGTACAAAAATGCATCATGATAAAGCTCTTTCTAATTAACACAGTTTCTTACATTGTACTTTTATATAGTGTACTCTATCAATATGCTTACTCTATGTGCGTTTCCGGTTCCAGGATGTCTAGCCAACGAGTTCCGGTGCTCCAACAGCTGTGTGGCGCTTGTACGTCGTTGTGACAGAGTCAAAGATTGTCCACAAGGAGAGGACGAACTGGACTGTAGTAAGTTTCAGTTGTATACATTATGTTTGATGGTAAACTATTCATTATATATATATATATATATTAGAGGAGTAAAGTATATGAACTAAAAGAAGATTGTATTATTTATTTGATTAAATATTTTTTCTTAATTCTGTTTATGAATCTGATGATTCTGAACCAGTAATTTGTGATACCTTAGATGACCAAAAGTCTACATAGATGTATCCATGTATCCGTAATATATCCGGAGCCCATGCATCTAAAGATGTTTTCCCGATTGATTTTTAAATGAATCATTAAAATAATGAAGTAACTATAAGAACTAATTTCCAACTGGTCCCCATTCATTAAATTTTAGGAAGATGTGTAAAACCAGTATATGATACGTGATAATCTTAATTCAATGTAAACTAATTAATATTCCCACTGATCCTTTGTATTAGAATAAACAAATTGATATTAATTTTCAAATATTATTAATTCATTTAGAAAATATTTGTACTTTTCTTATAGTGTATGTTTTCCAAAATACACAAATATCGAGTAAGAGTAAAACTTGTATGAATAAATAACTACTTACTCAAAAAGGAGTTTACTCTTGGAAGGTACTCATTGAACAACAAAATCCTTTTCCCAAAAGACGTTGAAGCTTTGGAAATTGTTTAACGCTCCCAAGTCACCATATTCAACTTTCGTAGCTCCAAATTCCTTTTAAAAGCTTTCAACAAAGTTTGCAAAACATCTTGCGAAGAAGATCGGCTGGGAAATCTTCTATTTTAACTCCAACTATTCCTCTAACGTTAAATGAGATCTTCCGAAATTGTACCTCACTTTGGTGGAACCCTTTTCATAATATAAATCTACTAGCTTTACAGTTATTTATTTAAAATCATTGTAAGCATGTAGATTTGAAAGGCTTGTAGGTACACTAATTTGGTGCTTAAGACAACGAAGTTTTAAGTCAAGTGGAAGTTTAATACGCCTTATTGTTTTAACTTTCGCTTAGTTTCTATACATTTTGTTTAAGCACCCTTTTGGCTAAAGCTCGCTACACTGATCAAGGTTTTTCTGCTTTAATGTTTCACTATCTACATGTTGTTTGGAAATTGCTTGTACAAGAATATCTGACAACGTAAAATTATAATTATAATTAAGTTGTGCTTTTCACCTTTTTCAAAAAAAAATTTTTATTATTTAGCAACCTAGTTTTAAATCATATTTTATCGTAGATTATAAAACCAGAAAAAATTTATTGGACCGATTAGTAGAGTTCGAGTATTTGTACATTACTAATATTATACTATTCTATGACCCCTATAAAACCAAATTTGATTTTAAAGTGGAATTGTATAATGTCAATGTCATATAGGTCACAATGTCAATGTCATTCTATGACATTGACATTGTAAAATTCCACTTTAAAATCAAATTCTGTTGTATAGGGGTCATTTCTGGTTATCTATTTCATTTCGGCGTTAAGTTCAAAACATTGGTTTTCTCATTATTATTTAGTTGTAGCATTATACCTGCCAATATGAAACACTGTTTAGAAGAATTTCATTGCCACACTTCCTAAAATATCTAAGAAGGCAACGCCAAGGTTACTAAAGGGAAAACCTAAGGTAGATAATCAAGCTATTATGAATACAGCCTATACATGTTCCGAAAGTTAAGACCTTAAATACTTCAGGACAAGCAGCTTCGCCACATTCAAAGTTTCATCGATGGTTAATACCTATAGTATGAAGAACACCCATATGTTAGAGGAAGAATGAACACTAGAATTTATGGGAGATTATGACATTGCAAGCTCCTGTACAACATCCTTATATATAATTCTGTAAGACAAAATCTTTACCAGAAAATTTTGGACGTCTGGTAAGTCGCAGAAAAGTGGGAGGGGTCTTAAATTAAAGGACTCGGGAAAAATAGCCGAATTTCCATAAAGTTACCAGAAAACGAGATATAACGTAAAATGTTCTCCATGAGAATAGCATTAGAAGCCATTTTCTGCTAATTTTTGTTTACTTCATACAGCTGATCGTGATTTATCATCAAGCCAGTACGCAATGTTAACATTTGGATTATACTTATTTGCCAGTAAGTTCAGCAATGTACTATATAAAACCAGGGATAACGTTACCTATAATAATTAAGACTTTTTAGTTACGTTATATAGAATATGGAAATATATTATTTTACTGTGAAACTTTTCAAACTTGTGTTTAACAAGAAATAACCACATTGAATAAATAATTAACGAGCTACCTTAATAAACCAGTATTTATTCACAACCAATTATATGTTTGCTGCCTTTATAGTGTGGCCTTGCTTTAGCAGAGTTAAATCTATGTAGTGATTCGAATGATTTATTGAAAATAACATCAACAAAGACAAACAACAAACTGTTTTTTACACAAAAGATATGGCATATATACAGGGATATCTATTCTGACACATAGATAATATATTTCTTTGTTTGTTTAAATATTAGAATAATTTGTTTTATATTATTGAGCATTTTAGGGACTTATGTCCCTACAAGCCACTAGTTAAAAATAATTGTAGTATTTTTAATACCCCCGCCGCAGCAAACCTGCCGACTAAGCGAATTTCCATTTGTCTGAATTGATTTTCAGTTAAATATATTTTAATAACATTAGGTTTAACGAGTACCTAGGTTTGCTGCTACAAGGAAACTAATAAAGTGTGTTTTTGAGTAAAATATTGATAGCTTAGTAGAAAATAAATAAATTTGCCAAGTTTGATCAAAATATATTCATAAACAAGCAAACTACAACATTTGACAATATTCTCCATAAGAATAACATGGGAATTTTAAATTTACAACTTTTTTAATTTTCTCCGTTACTAATAATCGAACAAAAATACTTTCATATACTAAATTATTTATTTTTTAAGCTCTTTAAAAAGGTCTAAAGATAAATTGGGAAATTTTGTGTTTTGAGGGTCAAAAGTGAGAAAAACCAATTTTTACCCCATAAAACCCCCCGTAAAGCCCCGTTCCCATGGTCCGATCATGCTGGTTCGCGAACTCATTCAAGTTTATCCCGCTTTACACCTTTAAACCAAATTTCATCAAAATCGGACAAAAATTACTCAAGTTATCGCGTTCACGGACGTATATATATATATATATATAAGTCTATATATATATATATACATATATAAAAATTTGAACGAATAGTGTTTTTGGCCTCTGGGGACATCAAAATGAAAAAGTAAATCGGTCCCGGGTCTAGGTCTTATCGTGCCACCTACGGTAATAGCTACTTCCCTATAGGGAAATTCGCTAAAATCAAATTACTAACTTCATGTTCGATGGAGAGTGTGTGGAAACCTAACCTTTTATAAAAAAAATCAATTGTAATCATCAATCATCAATTCTTATAATTATCAATTATAAGAACAGTCAGGTAGGCTAAGTAATTTAACTCTGTATCTTTAATCCATCCAATCATGTTCATTTATTTATAGAATGTAAAATTAAAATAATTGTAAATCGAAGTGTAACACTTACGATGACGTTTAAGGATGAGATGTAACATTTAGCACTGGAGTGAGGCATTTTGTGAGAAGGCATTTTTTATTTAGTGCAGCTCTCATTATAATTATTGTTGTCATTGCTACTACCTTACATCTAAAAATACTCAAAGAATACATTCACAAAGTAGTGAGTGTTTATTGTCTTTGTTTTATCAACAAATAATCGTAAAAATAAATTGATTATCTTTCACAATTTCTTTAAGTTAAAAAATGGTTGTCAAGTATTTTTAAAACGACAAGTACAGTATATCTTAGTAAGTTTATAAAAAAAATAAAAAATAAACAGGGAAGGCCAAGTTAACCAATTTTGACGCAATATCTGGGAGAAACGCTACCTCCCATAATCCTCTTAGAAACACAACACCAAAATAAGATATTTACGCCTGACTGTGATACTTATTACACCTAAAGATAGCGTTGTATAAAATATCTCTTGGTCTATATTGTTTTTGGGTTGGTTTTTCGTTATATTTTAGAATATTCTGATAACAATCCGTAATTACGTTCACAACGTTTAGGTGGTTTGAAGGGAAGTTCCCCACCAATTTGTCTGCTTAACGTATGTTGCAACTGATTGCCGTTTTGACAAATCTCAGCTGTTGAGCTAATTTTAGTGGTAGGATCATATCTCTTTCCCTAAAACCGCCTAAATTTTTTGAACGGAGTATATTCCAAAATCTATTTGAATCTATATAAATAAAATAAATTTCAGTTTTTTCTGCACATGAATCTTGGTTTTTGTATGTTTTAGGTAGTTTATTTTTCACCAGCAATACATTCTACTAAAGTATAAAGATTTAATGAATCAGGGTGGCCAACTTTCCTCGCAACTTCCCCTACTGAATTTGTACATTAAATTAGATTTGACCGTAATTGTTGTTGGTACTGTACAAAACAACAAAAGCTAAGGTATTGGGCAATGGTTCTAATTCCCATTTGCAATCCACTCGCCAAACTAAGTTCTTGGATCTATGTCCATCTATTTGTTTTTACAATTTAACACTTCTTGTTATCACGAACTTTGCATACCCAATTTTATCCTCTACTAAAATTAATCACACATGACTATACGATTAAAATATTATTTTTGACTGTTGCATTAGACTTTTTCAATCTCAGAAGCACTGAGAAGTTTAATTTGCTTTGGTGGTATTTTAATTTTGTAGATTGTAATAAACTTTTTTTGTTTCAGAAACATTCCTCTGTCCTGCGACACATTTTAAATGTGACAATCACTTCTGTGTTCCTCTGCACAGTGTCTGCGACTTCCGTGACGACTGTGGGGATGACTCTGATGAGACCAGCTGCTGTGAGTCACTATAGTCAGTATAATGGAACCTGTCTCCTGACTCTTCATCTACTCATGGGCCTATAACCATTATTGGCTGATCCCCAGATAGATTGAGAATCGGAGACAAGTTCCACCATACAGAGCGTGGGACACTTTTTTGATTCGTAGTGTAATGTGTTCCCCGTGGTTTCCAAGAGAATTAACCATAATCAAATTGTGCGTTAAAATAAAGAAAAATAAAATTTTCTGGCAAATGTAATTGTTTAGTTGTGTAATTAGTGTCTGGTACAAGGTTTCGTTGCATCACTGTCAGTGGCAATGAGTGGTTATAAACGAAAACATAACCTCTCTTAGAAGTAGAGTAATTAAAACACTGTCTTAAGTAATAGTGAAAGCAACTCGAGTAAATATAGTGTTAACGCAATCGTTGCTTAAACTACTATTAACTAACCTAGATTAAGAAAAATAACTTAAAGCTCCAATTTTGAAAAACGTTAACATCATCCTTTTTGGAACATAGATTAAAGGCACTAAAGGCTAAGGATACAATCTATTTGGTTGGATTTCCAACAGGTTTTTTTTTACAATTCAGTCTTATCATTTTTTTAAGTACTAATATATTTGTAAAGCATGAAATTCAAAACGTATAAAAGATTTTAACCGTGGTTTTATGAAAATACATAATCAATTCTTTCCACTTTTGGATTTACTTTATTTATATTTTAGTTTACCATGTCAGCATTGTTACTTTTTAAATAAGAAGAATAATTCTAACAAGGCTAACATTTTCAAAGACTGGCTTAATTACTTTAAATTAAGATACAATTGAGTTCGGAAATCAAAGTACAAACGTCTAAAGATATAAAGGAAAAGAAGTAAAAGAGAAATTACTGAATCACCTTTGGAACAAAACGGAGCTGATTAATGCTAACCTACTTAGAACTTTAAGCGTGAAGCTAAGATTTGTGAAGTTACTTCAAAGTTTAACTGTTCTAACTTTAAACCAGAGCATTTTACTTGTTTAAAGACACCTACTTGAGTTTAGTTTGTGTTTAACAGAGCTTTAAACAGTAAGTTGTTTTCAGATAGTTTTCATTTATAAACTTTACTCGGTATGGTAATTAAACTGGAAAATTATTAAAAAGGAAACTACAATTTGTTAGTACACTTTACGAATATTGTGTTTAACTTGGGATTTTTTATTCAATTATAAAATAAACTGCCTATAAGACTGAACATAAAACACAATAACCAAAATAAGATTTTACACGAGGCTTAAAAGTATAATTTTGGAGTAGAAAAATGTTGTATACATTATTAGTAGGTTTATAAAATATAGTGTGCTTTTTCTGAAAGAACTTTGAAACTTGCGTACACTACTTTACCTATGACCATTTTTAATTACTAGCAATCACTACCCATAACATCTAAGAGAGGTTATGTTTACGTTTATAACCTCTCATTGCCACTGGTGGTGAATTTTCCCAACCACTCACTCATTGTTTAATCAATTAATTGGGCGCAACAGCTGATCAGTTGACGTTCCGAAACATTACAATTTTACTTATTTTCTCTCAATCCTTCAACATCATCGGTCGAATATTGTACTGTAAAGTAACAAAACAATACTGTAAAGTAAATAAACAATACTTTAATGTGAATTGGATGTGCATTGTTTTATTTATTACAATTTTGAAATTTAGGTTTCAAATACTGAATTCCCCAGTGCAGACAATTTCTTTCCAAACAAATTAATTTAAAGGATGACTTAAAGAAAACGATTGCCATTAACAACAATTTACACCTATGACTTCTTAAAACCGTTATACGTCTTGTACATACTATCCAATCGCATTGCCTGGAATATATATTTATATTCAAATTCTGGTAAGGCCTACTGTACTATGGATGGTAATGCTATAAAAATAGCAATTAATAAATTAAAAACATGGTGATGATTCGTAGAAGTAAATTATGACAAGTGTCAAAAAGATATAGATTTTTATCGTACTCTAAACCTCGCAAGATATTTAAAATAACTGGATACTGGAAGGCTTTATTTTCAATTTATGTACAAAGTTACTATACCGATATAGTAGACAAAGTGCGTACTATGTCGAATAAAAGTTGTGTTGAGAAAACTATGTTCATGCTAATCTAGAGGTTAAAATACCTTTAATCCGTCAGTGTGATCAAATGTCACCGATGAGCGGCGACCGTTTTCAGCCCAGCTGTGGGGCCATCTTCAGGCGATGAAGGAACTTAAATATCATTCCGAAGAGGTCATCATAAAGTCTATAAATACGTCACGAGAAACAACACATAAATACATTATTTACAGATACACGTGTGACCACAAATTAACTGCGTGGCGGACGGTACGCGTACATTAAGTTACTAGTCCAGACTGACGTGTACGTCATTCTACTGCTCTACTGGATTCTACTGCCATTCAAGGATTCAACTGTTCTGGACTAGTAACTTAATGTACGCGTACCGTCCGCCGCGCAGTTAATTTGTGGCCACACGTGTGTTTGTAAATAATGTATTTATGTGTTGTTTCTCGTGACGTATTTATAGACTTTATGACGACCTCTTCGGAATGATATTTATGTTCCTTCATCGCCTGAAGATGGCCCCACAGCTGGGCTGAAACCGGTCGCCGCTCATCGGTGACATTTGATCACATTGACGGATTAAAGGTATTTTAACCTCTAGATCAATTTAAATTTGTGATCAGGAGGCAAAAAACAACAGAAAATATGCTCATGCATTTGAATATATCATAATCATGTAAAACAATATTAATGAACCCAGTGCTGGAAAGTTGTGCGGCTTACAGGCCTATGGAAGTTTAGTTCTTAACCAACTTAATGTTTACTCTAAGTTAAAATTACAATGCAGTAGATTATTCAAATTTCAACCCCATTTTTTTATTAGTAAGTTTTGGTAGAGTTATTTATGACATTATAAATTTTGGTATAAACTAATGTAGGTCATACATTTTACTATCTAGTTAAGAAATGTTCAAGCTAAATGGACTGATCTTGCGGTAGCTCTGAAACTTTGAGACTTTTTTTAAAAGCTGATTCTCTATCAAGTTTTAACTAAATTTCAGACCTGGAGAGTGGTGATCCTTTACTCCCCACTCTCTGTTGAATTATTCGATTAGATTTTCTTTAAAGTTTAAATAGACCTCGCTTTTAGCGGATTTTCAGGTTAGTTATTTCACCATCAATACTTCGACTGATTAAATAAGCAGACTTCATGGAAGAAAGTGTGTTTATTTTGGTCTTTTTAGGGTTTCTAAAGAATTCTGTATTAACACTACTCTAACAACACGCTTTACTTATATTCACTCCTCCCACGCCTTATAATAAAACTAATTCAGAATAATTAATTTATTGTATCACTAATTTCATTATTATCTTTACACTATACAATCCTTATGAGTTGTTATGTCGGTCAGAGGAACACTAAAACTCATATTTCCCCTTGTAGACATAGCTTAAAGGGATTAATTGTTTTTTTGAATCTTTCAAGTAAATTTTTTCCAGTTTGAAAAGGTACACTGAGATAAAATGTATTGCTTGCTACAAAGCTACAAAGGGGGTTGTTTCGATCTCCCCTGTAACAATAATTCTTCTCCCAAATAAATGTCGCCTAAAAGCCACGGTAGGTGTAACGCCCTTATTTGAATATCACAACAGCAATCACAGCTACTTTGTGTTATTTATGTGTATTCACATGTTAACTACTGTACTGGATACGGGTTGGCCATATAAATGGTAAGAAAATGAATAACTTGTTAAATACAGACATATTTTATGTTTTTACTTTTAAAGTAACTTAGTCATTTTATAAAATAACTTTCTCTGGGTTAAAGTACAACTTTTTTCACATATCGTTAACTTTTTTTTCATATAGTTCGGAAATCTAGTGTAGGCCTACTGTTTTGAAGTGTATTGAATTTTGTAAGGGTATTACATTGTTTTTTTCTGTGTTTTTTTTTTTTTTTTTTTTTTTGTAAGATTACATTATGGTGTTTGTTACAAGGATATAGCAATGCATGTCAGCATTTTTTTTTAGAAGAATTCCGACAAGGCTAAAATTTTTAAAGACTAGGTTAATTTATTTAATTTACTTTAAATTAAGATACAATTGAGTTGGGAAATCAAAGTACAAAAGTCAATAGATAAAAAGGAAATGAAGTAATAGAGAAATTACTGAATCACCTTTGGAACAAAACGGAGCTGATTAATGCTCATCTACTTAGAACTTTAAGCGTGAAGCAAAGGTTTGTGAAGTTACTTTAAAGTTTAACTGTTCTAACTTTACATCGGAGCATTTTACTTGTTTAAAGACACCTACTTGAGTTTAGTTTGTGTTTAACAGCGCTTTAAACAGTAAATTGTTTTCAGATAGTTTTCATTTATAAACTTTACTCGGTATGGTAATTAAACTGGAAAATTATTAAAAAGGAAACTATGATGTGTTAGTACACTTTACGAATATTGTGTTTAACTTAGGATTTTTTTATTCTATTATAAAATAAACTGCCTATAAAACTGAACATAAAACACATAATAACCAAGATCAGATTTTGCACAAGGCTTAAAAGTATAATTTTGGAGTAGGGGTGCTTGTATACATTATTATAAGAATGTTTTCTATATTTTTGTATACTTTTTCGATGAAATGGCGACCATACAAAGTAGGTATTTTAAGCCAAGTATGAATGGAGATAATTGTAGGATGAGTTGCGCGATCTTGTAGTCTTGTTAGTGACTAAGGCCGACATATTCCTTAGACACAGCTGTTAATTAATAGCCCATACAGCTAATGGCAAACTAAGGGACCAACAGTTTATATTGGAATCCGAACCACATTTTCGCCTTGGTATATACGACTTGGTCTAATCATCAGGATAGTACTGCGGATAGTCGTAGTGCTCACTCGTGCGGACTTTAATCCACACCAGAGAGTATCGCATCCACAGTGCATGCCTATAAATATCCACAATTCGTGACCTCCTAGTATAGCTGGATTACAGGACGACGCCACCCGTCCCAGTCTTGTGTGCTTTGTCTGAAAGAACTTTGAAACTTTCGTTGTGTACACTACTTTACCTATGACCATTTTTAATTACTAGCAATCACTACCCATAACATCTAAGAGAGGTTATGTTTTCGTTTACAACCTCTCATTGCCGCTGACGGTTATGCCGACTCATTGTCCCAACTACCCACTCATAGTTATAAATTATTCTATTACCCACTCATTATAGATAAACTAGGGGAAACCCGTCGAAATCGACGGTTACTTTCAAGGCTTACGTTAATTCATCTAACTGCGATAAATTGGGTGAAATATACTAATTTTGAGCATTTAGCATTGTTTAAAGGGTAATAAGTGTGAAAACAATAATGATTTTAATTGCGTTAGTTGCCAAATTTGGTTGATCATTCAATGATTAAAATATTTCCCATACCGTACGTCATTTGACTCATCGGAGTTATTATTAGTATGTTGATATCTCTTCCTTTGGAAGAACCTTTAAATAGTATTAAAATCGTATTGGTGGGTCTTTTGTAGTTAAAAAATTCTGTGATTTCATCAGTGTAATATGATTTTATTTGAAAAGAAAATATTTTTTGGGAAGACATGTTCTAACTTCAAAGGGAGGTATGTCCGTTACAGTGTAAGTTTGATTTTCCTTCGTCACGTCGCGTCAGTTCATATCGTACATCTGTGCCAATGAATGAACCCTCTAGCATAGTTTTGAGAAATTTATTGTGGGGTTACTATTAAAGCTGGAATTCCTTGACATGGGGGATGTCAGTTTGTCTCAGCCTTATCAATAACATAAAGTTGTCAAAATAATCTCTCTACGGAATGTTAGGTGTAGTGGAATACTTGAAGTGAAGTTGGCTTTTATTCTTGAACTGTTAGGGGCCTCCTCATTTATATGGTCTTGGCGGCTTCATTGGCAACAAATAATGCAAATGACATAGCAATGGGACGTTTCCAAAAAGCAAAAATACTGTAAATTGGCTGTTACGTATATATTGACGTTTACATATTGGTAATCAACGTATCTTATAAAGGATTGTGTGATCTAGTTTTTATAAGGAATATGACCTTTCTGTCATGACAGTAGCTGCTTAAATCGTATTTTCTCTTTGTACCTACCATATTTTACAGCCAAAATGTAGTGTTATTTTCAATAATGTTACCAACCCAGTGCACCAAAGTCCGTAATATAGGCAGGTGCATATAATTTGTCAAGATGGGTACCATTTTAGGCAAGGTTTCTATGTTTGGATTTTATTAGACACGAAAAGTCAGGCACCAACCCGTACAATAGATATAAGATAGTTCAATAAGAAATAATTTAAGAATTTCTGTGGATAATTTCCACTGATTTCATAATAGAACGTTATATTGCAAAACATGACATGATAAAGAGGAAAATTAATTTTAAAATCAGAAAATAACATTGCAAATACTTATTTGGTACAATTCAGTAACCCAATAATTATGTGTGGTTTGAAATACAATTTAAAAATGAACAGCTGTTTTATTAAAAAGTATTATTCACATGGCCAAAATGTAAACAACTCTGTGGAGGGATCTTTAAAGGCTTCTGGGGCAGAGCCCTAAGGGATTTTGCTTAGTTTTTCTTTTGATAACTCATCTACAGACCAAGACCTTTCTTTGGACACCTCTACCAAGTTTCTACGCCCAGCCGTTCTCTCAAATTAGTGGGGACAAAGTTTCCAATAAAATATTTTAATTCCCCCATGTTAATCTTATGGGAGAAAATCCAACTTTGATGGCCTGTGGGGCAAAGCCCGAGGATTTTTATTACATGAATTGGTGAAAGGGGGCGTCTACACAAAAAATACTTTATTTTGACACGTCGTTTGTAAAAATCCGTCCATTATTAACGGAGGAGTAGTGTTTTCAAGAAATCGCCTTCACGTATTATATATAAGGATTAAATTGGGCTCAACAGCTAATCAGTTGACGTTCGAAACATTAAAATTTTACTTATTTTCTCCCAATCTTTGAACCTCAATGGTCCAATCTTGTACTGTAAAGTAACAAAAAAATACTGTATAGTAAGTAAACAATACTGTAAAGTAAGTAAACAATACTGTAAAGTAAGTAAACAATACTGTAAAGTAAGCAATTAATAAATTAACAAAATGGTGATGATTCGTAGAATAAAATTATGACAAGTGTCAAAAGGATATAAATTTTTTATCGTACTCAAAACATTGCAAGATATTTAAATAACTGGATACTGGAAGGCTTTATTTTCGATTTATGTACAAAGTTACTGTACCGATATAGTATACAAAGTGCCTAATATGTTGAATAAAGTTTGTGTTGAGAAAACTATGTTCATACATTTGAATATATCATGTAAAACAATATTAATGAGCCCAGTGCTGGAAAGTTTTATGTGGCTTACAGGCCTATGGAAGTTTAGCTCTTAACCAACTTAATGTTTACTCTAAGTTAAAATTACAATGCAGTAGATTATTCAAATTTCAACCACATTTTCTGTTATAATTAGTAAGTTTTGGTAGAGTTATTTATGGCATTATTAATTTTTGTATAAACTAATGTAGGTCATACATTTTACTATCTAGTTAAGAAATTTCCAAGCTAAATAGACTGATTGAGTGGTAGCTCTGAAACTTTGAGACTTTTTTAAAAAGTTGATTCTCTATCAAGCTTTAACTAAATTCCAGACCTGGAGAGTGGTGATCGTTTACTCCCCACTCTCTGTTGAATGATTCGATTCGATTTTCTTTAAAGTTTAAATGGACCTCGCTTTTAGCGGATTTTCAGGTTAGTTCTTTCACCATCAATACTTCGACTGATTAAATAAGCAGACTTGAAGGAAGAAAATGTGTTTATTTTGGTCCTTTTGGGGTTTCTAATTAATTATTTACATTAACACGCAACCCCAATATTCACGGCTTACTAAAACTATTTCAGAATAAATATTATTTGTTGTGTCACTAATTTTATTAAAATCGTTATGAGTTGTTATGTTTGTCAGAGGAAACTCATATTTCACCTTATAAGGATCAATTGCTTTTTGAATCTTTCAAGCATATCTTTTCCAGTTTGAAAAAGTTGGGGTAAATTGAGACACAATTTATTGCTTGCTTTTTCTGAAGAGCTAGAAAGGGGTTTGTTTCGATCTCCTCTGTAACAATAATTCTTCTCCCAAATAAATGTCGCCTAAAAGCCACGGTAGGTGTAATGCCCTTATTTGAATATCACAACAGCAATCACAACTACTTTGTGTTATTTATGTGTATTCACATGTTAACTACTGTACTAGATACGGGTTGGCTATAAAATTTTTTTAGACAATTTATAATATGTAAAATACAGACACCTTCTAGGTATTTACTTTAAAAGTAAATTACTTAGTCATTTTATAAAATAACTTTCTCTGGGTTAAAGTACAATTGTTTTTCACATAACATTCTCTTTTAGTGCATTATAGTTAGAAAATCTAATGTACTGTTTTGTAGTGTATTGAATTTTGTAAGGGTATTACATTGTTTCTTTTGTAAGATTACATTATGGTGTTTGTTCTAAGGATATAGCAATGCATGTTAGCATTTTTTTTTTAGAAGAATTCCGACAAGGCTAACATTTTTAAAGACTTGATTAATTACTTTAATTTACTTTAAATTAAGATACAATTGAGTTCGGAAATCAAAGTAGAAAAGTCAAAAGATAAAAGGGAAATGAAGTAATAGGGAAATTATTGAATCACCTTCCGAACGAAACGGAGCTGATTAATGCTCACCTACTTAGAACTTTGAAGCAAAGGTTTGTGAAGTTACTTCAAAGTTTAGGTGTTCCAACTTTAAATCAGAGCATTTTACTTGTTTAAAGACACCTACTTGAGTTTAGTTTGTGTTTAACAGATTAAAGTGAATTTCCTCATAGGGAATTAATAAGGAAAATTAGTTGTCAACCTGTTAATACTTAAGGTAACACAGTACTCAAATATAATTTTTTTCAATTTTTTTTTTATTATTTAGTTTTGTAGAACAGACTTTTCTGAACACGTAGATAATAAAAATTAAGGAAGAAAAATTATTTTTTTTAATTTTCAGCTACTTTTATAAACTATTGCAGCCTAATTTAGCATGCCCAAGGTCCTACTACTGTACTACCCGTGACAGGGGGTACTTTTGTCGTTTTCCGAAAGTCAAGTGGTTTTTAGTCAGGTACACTTTTCTTCCTCAATTATAATTCAATTTCAATAAAAATTGGTGTGTGTGTTCCTCATATAATAAGGAACAATAATACGAACCAGTTTCCATGACAACCTAAAACCTTTGAAATAAAAAAAAATATTTTATGTTAAAAAATTACAAAATATTTTATAAAATTTTTAAAATCATACCAACAATTTAATTTTGCTCAAAAACTTTTTTTGCTTCATATTATTGTTGGTAATAATGTGTTAAACTTATTACAAAAATTTCAAGTTGATAGGTTAATATTTGTAAAAGTTATGTGTACCTAAAAACTGCAATTTTAACATTGGCGGGATAGGGAGTACTGTGTCACCTTAATTTGCACTAAATGCAGTAAAGAATCTTTTCCTTACACTGTTTCGTTAAAATCTCACAGATCATTTTTGAATTTTCCAAACGCCTGAAATAGTAAAGGATAATAAGATTACATACGGGACTATAAAGCTTTAAACATGCTATAAACATTTGATGTCCCGAGGTTGACATATCATTTTATATAGTCTGAGGAGTCTATTTGTTTTATACTCTATGTACGTTCACATTGCAGCTCACAGATCATGTTGGCACTCAGAGTTCAGATGCAACAATGGAGAATGTCTACGTCCTGGATCCCTGTGTGACGGTGTCTTCGACTGTCAAGACCTCAGTGACGAAACAGACTGCGGCCCAGGTAAAGTTTATGAGGATAAATATAATTGTTATATGTAATGTAATTCTTATCTTTACAATAACTTTATGGATTCAATGACGAATATAGTCCTGAGTATTTTCAAAGCACCAAAGGCCGCAGTCGTCCATGGAGAACACATATTGCCTCCAACTAGCCCTTTTATGTTCCCTTTTCCCCAACTAACTCTCTTTGGTTCCATAAATTTACAGGTGGGATATTCTTCAATTCATCCACATCCTTCTAGACCTGCCTTTTCTCCGCATTTCTTTAGCATATTTTGTATTTCCAACCTTAGTTCACAAACTTAAGGCTGTTTGAGAGAAAGTTCCCCCTCTACTTTTTTTGCATTTTTGTATGTTACATCTGATTGACGTTTTGGCAAACCTCAGCTGTTGAACTATTATTTGAATGGCAGGTTTAAGTGGAGGTTATATACTTCTTCACCTTAAACCACATATTTTTATACTCTTACATATTTATATACTCTCTTGTAGTATTCTCCTCACCGGGTTCCGTCAGCTGATTCTTCCCGACTAAATGAAGTACACAATACTATTTGAGGAATGACTCATCAAAGCAACTTTTTCTTAAATATGTCCACTTTCCACCTTCCTGAACTATCCACACAGATTTGTGTTACGCCAAGAAAGGGAAATTAATTACTTTATGCAATGTAAATCCTTGAGTTCAAGTTAAAAAATAAGACGAACATTCTTAAGAGGCTTCCTCGTTTATTCTTGCATTTGCTGTCCACACAGGCCGCGGGTCTGGGTGTGGAACATATCCAGCAAAGCAAGGGGTGAGTGCAGTACAAGGGTGAACTGTACTGATAAATGGTAGTGTGGCAAGTACGAAGATCTGAACCCACTACATCGCTGCCTTGAGTCTGAAGTGGCGCTACCAAATCACCAAATAAATTCTATATCGCTTGAACTGAGATCGGACCTTAATTACTATCAGATTTCTTCGTGTGAGAATTAGTGGAGAAAGACTCTAAGGGTTTCCAACAATTGCATATCTAATCCAAATTATTTTTCAAAATTAAAATTCAAAAAAATTCTTAATCCTTCTACATACCAGCGATGCTATTTTGTAATAGTCATGATCTTGTCTTCAAAGTGGATCGCGGGTTTATCTTAGAGGCTTTTATTCCACCAGTCTACAATGGGTCTTTAAATATATGTTAATAACCTTATGGTTCGGAACCCCCCTTTAACATGTTGGTTCACCTGTCTAAAAAAGAATGTCTCTTAGATATTGATTGAGATCACCTTACAACCATATAGCAATGAATGAATTGGCAAATAATAATGTTTTACAACAACATCATAGACAAATAATATATAAGTTTACTTTTATAACATTTACTTGTATTTCTTAAAAAAATTTTTATAAACATTAAAGTAATTGATGCAGCTTATCTCGATATATTTTAAAATGCATCTCTATGACACTTCCATTTTTACAATTCTAAGGAATTCTCAAAGACATAACAGATATGGACATTAATAATTCACAATTCAGCGAAATGCACTTGGCGAGAGCTTGTTGAAGGTAAGTGCAAAGATGGGAAAGATACGTGAAGTTTATTCAGTTTTCCGAGTGAGAATTTACCAATACTTTTGTATTTCTTGTTACAGTAAATATAAATTTTCCCTGTAAGTATTATCATTGGACGGCCTATACTCCGTATGGTGGAACCTGTCTCTAGACCCCCGTGTACCTATGGGGGATGGCCAATTATTGTTTAAGGCCTGGGCCAGTATCACGTAGACGCTGGGTAAGCGGCAGGTTCCATCATACAGACTATAAGTAGCAACATTTGTTAAATGTATGCTGGAATCCTAATCATGACGTAAACTAAGGATTCAGGGGAATTAATGTCTAGGTTTACCTTTCCCAAACAAAATGAAATGTCTTTCTGGTGATGAGAACATACTCTGTATTCGAGTACCCCCTCCAATAAAATTCATTCAAATATTATATAATTAGTAGGTGTAGTAACTCTTGGTACAGAATGACAATAACTTTATACAGTACTGTAGCTGGAAAATTTCTGTATTTACAAGTTATAATTGAAACAAGTTCAACCAAATTAATGATACATTAAATTAATTGTTCTAAAACAATAAGGTGAATGAGGGGTGAATTTAACGGAGGCGTCTTAATAGAGAGAATTAATTAGAAACCCCTAAAAGACCAAAATAAACACATTTTTCCCCTCAAGCCTGTTTATTTAATCAGTCAAAGTATCGATGGTGGAAGAACCACCTGAAAACCCGCTAAAAGCAGGCCCATTTAAACTTTAAAGAAAGGTAATCGAATCATTGAAAAGAGAGTGGGGAGTAAAGGATCACCACTCTCCAGGTCTGAAATTTAGTTAAAGCTTGATAGAGAATCAACTTTTTAAAATAAGTCTCAAAGTTTCAAAGCTACAGCTCGATCAGTCAATTTAGCTTGAAACTTTTTTAACCAGTTGATAGTAAAATGCATGACCCTCACATTTTAGACCAAAATTTATAATACTACGAATAACTCTACCTTAACTTACTAATTATCCAAAAAATGTTGTTGAATTTTGAATAATGTATTTTAGTTCTAGAGTAAACATTAAAGTCGGTTGAGAGTTAAACTTCCATGTAGGCCTGTAAGCCGCACAAAACTTTTCATCCCTGGGTTCATTAATATTGTTTTTCACCACACAACAATGTTTTTAGCCGTTTTACAAACGTTATTTGAGGCCGAAAGCTACGTATTGCTAACTATGCCAGCTGTCATCGTCATTTGGGGATTGAGCTGGTTTTTACATCCCTAGTAAAATAAGCTGTTCGCTTACTTTCTTAAAACATTAATTAATGCATTTTAAATACACAATCAGGATCGATGAATTTCAATAGACCCTACTTTTTGTTATCGCTGCTTAGCAACTACTATTGCTAATTCCCCAAATTATATCTTCACATAACTTTAAGGTTGTAGTTGTGTTGACTGTTACTGTGCATTATTATTCTGGTGAATAGTGGTAATAGGGTATAGTGTGGTGAAGAATAGCGTTCGTGCCACGGCCCAAAATGGGTTTCGGCCCTAGGAACGAAATATACTAACATGATGTGGTCAATTATATGAACACAATTTTCAAAACATAAACTTCTTTCCAGATGGTTACATTGTACAGTTACATACATACATAAATATAAATAAAGCCTTTTAATGATTCAAACATACGAGATTAGGAGTACGATAGAAATCTACATCTTTAACGTTTTCACACTTTTGTCATTTTCTTCTGCTGTACATTGATTAATTAACCTCTCTCATGACATAATCTCCTACATTACGCCTTAGCTTTTAAAATACATTCAAGGAAAGACTTTTGGATCTTGTAAACAAGATGTATTTCAGAGTTAATTGTTACTGTATTCTGGTATATAATTTTAACATGGACATGAGAGGTTAACTGTAAGAAAGGACCGTGAGGTCCTAAGTTCACCTCAGTAAAGAAGGATTTTCATTTCGTTTCATATTCACGAGACGATATTATCCTACAGTTACTGTAAAAAATGCTGTATTTTCAATGTAAATTTTATTTGTAAACTGCTACATGAACTCCATCAATTATGTTATTCCTTTCATTCAACTTCTAGATGTTGTAGGTTGATCTATATACAACGTATTATTTAAAATTCGGTATTGTCAGTCATTCATATTTGAAAACAATAAACAATTTTGTAAAAATTTTAAAATAATTTAGAACTAAATTTATATAACAAATGTCAAGCTTATTATTAAATTAAAATTGCAATAAAAGATAGTTTAGTTTCATTAGCAGTTGATATTGATGGAAACACAGAATCACAGACATATCTTGAGTGTGCATAAGTACAGTCATGTAACGAGACGACATCTTCCAAAGTGGTTCTACAGTAGTAATATTACAGTCCAGCTGAATGTTTACAATTTCACTTTACAACCCTTTTATTGCCTGTTCATCTCCTTATCCCGCATTGCGCTGCTCCGAATATAAATCGTTATTTACATTTTATATTAAAGAGTCCTTGCAGGGTTTAATGATTTCTGATTGTTGTGATTTATTTTTCAATCATCATGAAAGTACTTTTCCTGTTAAAGAAGGAAATGTTTCCTCTACTACGAGAAATGCATTTCCTGTTATAATTTTATTACATAATTATTTCTGGCTATCGTAGCCTAAATTTTTTTCAATTATTGATTGATTGGTTACTAACATTTAAATTCAATAATAAAAGCATTACGTTAATTTGTCGGTGTTCACACAAACAGTAGCTTGGTAAAATGAATTTTTTGTTATATTTGTCTGATTAATTAATAAATACCTTAACGTTTATTACGCCAGCTGCAATGGGTTGTTTTTACTTTCTCCCCTTACATAGGTATTGTTTTTGTCAACCTTTTCAAGTTTGAATTTTGGGTGGAATTATCGGTTTTTGAATTCCATCTATGGTCCAATTTAATGAGATTTGGTATGTGGGTAGTAATCCGTAGAAATTTGGATTTATAAAGGTGATTTTTCATAAAACCCACAAATCCAATTTCCACTAATATTGCTGTGTTTTAAAAAAGTTTTGCTTTTTAACAGTTCTTTTAACTCTACACAATTTGGTACAACCTCCAATGCAGTAAAATTTACGGCTCAAGTTATTGCAGCTTCTGATTTCCACCATCAAATATCTTAGCCTATTCAGAATATTCAATATAAAGGTAAATACAGTACCGGTAGTTAGAAACTTGCCATGATTTTTTTATTGATAAATCCTGTTTAGGTAATTTTATTTTTGATGCAGACTCCTTCGCTGACTGCGAAGACGGAACAAAGGTTCACAGGTACTACTGGTGTGACGGCTGGCCTCACTGTACACAAAACCACGCAGACGAACTGAACTGTGAGTAAACATTCGACAACATTTTGATTCTATTTTCTACACTTGATCTTTATATGAGCCTTTATCCCATCAAACACCAGCGTGTACTAGTAATTAATGATAAACTCATTAAAGGCCAATTTTATGTTTGCAGACAATATTATTACGACACTGACTCCATAATGTACATTTTAATTGTTACTACCTTTCGTAACTAAAATCAACTCCTAACTATTTCAGGCAAAGAGTGCAACAGCTCTGACGAGTTCAGATGTCCCAATGGTCGTTGTATTAGGAGAGCCAACGTTTGTGACTCGCAGTGTGACTGTGTGGTCAACGCTACAGATTCTTCTTGTGCTGACGAAGTGGATTGCGGACACGTGTATTCGGTGGACTATGGTGAGAACCATCTGTGAAGTTCCCGAAAATATTTTAAAAAATCATCTAAACTCAAGCTGAAACACTTTTTTTGAAGTTTTTCATTTTTTTTTTTGGGGGGGGGGTCAGATTAATTTGCGCTTTCTTCCATTTCTCTTTTTTCTTTTTACATAATTTTCTTCATTCTTTTCTAATTCTGATCTTCTTTTTTGTTTGGTTTTATTAGGATTTTTGTATCTTTCCTGTTTTACTTTTTTTTCTTTTCTTACTTTTTCTAACTTTAAGTATTTTCAAATTTTCCTCTTTCCTTTATTTCTTTACCAAGGTGATCAAATAATGGTTTGGGAATAAATTTGGCAATACACCTTTTGACTTACTTGCATGGTTACCAAATTTTTATTTAACAAAGTCTTTGAATCAAACATAAAATATATTGTTTTTGTAGGATGTATCTGGTGGCAGTATTTGGTTTACGAGGATTATGACTCATTGTCACATACATAACTTTAGATAAACATATAAAATGTGTAGTTACTTTTAAAATACTTCTTAGACTCTAGCACTAAAGATACTGATTGTTTTAAATTGAATAATTAACAGTATAAGATTAATAAATCAATTATTTCACATATCTAGACTAATCACACCTTTAAAACGAAAATTTTTTTAAAAATATTCAAATGGAGTAAGTAAATGAATGGCGTCCTAATGCAATTATTAGATATTCCAAAGTTTTATAAATGTATTGAATATCAATCATAGTTCAATGGTAGGTTTACCACTTACTCTCCAAAGACTTCTTCTCAGCCATCAATCCTGCCAAAGGTTAATTATAAGAATCATCAAGTCTTTAATCCATTTCTCAATTAAAAGTTTACTCATTATCTTTCTCTTTCTTAGAATTTATAAAAGTTTTGAATTATATTACTAAAAAATGTAACGATTTCATAATAAACCATTAAGATATAAATTAATAATAAAAGAGAACATAATCCATTAATTAATAGAAACCGATAGACCAAGGAAACAATATTAGATTTTTTAAATATATGTACAGGGTGTCCCACAGAGAGGTTAAAACGTATGATTTTATATACCTTAACCATAATTGCACCAAAAGTTTGAAGATATTTTGGTGAAAAGTTTAGCTTCCTATTCGTAGAAACTAAATTATGTAATTTAAAATATAAGCGATTTCCTTCCTATGGTATTACGGTCATAAGTTATTACTTAATTTGTTTACAGCGTTGAAGTTTTGACTCTTGTCGTTGATCAGCTGCTTATTTAAAGAAGATTTCTCAAGCCACAAAAACTAACCTTCTCAACTGCAGTTTTACTGAAACTGAAGTTGGGGAGATGACTTTAATCTTGAATTAAGTTTTGTTTCGTGGAATATTGATCTTATGCAGTTAGTTTATATTTTACAACACTACCAGTTTCTAACAAAATATTTTTCACCTGGTTTTCACTACTAGGTGATTCAAATTGTGGATGAAACCTGACACTGCTTTGAATAGACAGCCGAGTTGTGTAGTTGATTTATGTCATCAATGACGTCATTGCTGAGAAATATCCTATACAGTAAGTATTAAATTTGTTACTCTTCCTTTTTATACAGGAGTTGCTGTGTGTGAGTTAGGGGTAGCTCTAGGATGTTTTGCCCCTCCATTGCCCCAAAACGCAGGCAAAGTCCGTTGTATTCAACCACAGTATCTGTGTGACGGATCCAACGACTGTCACAACGGCAACTTCTTATCAGACGAATTCGGTTGTGGTAAGTATGATAACAGAAACTTCAAATTCATTAGTGAAAAGTGAGACTTATTAATAAAACGAAGATGTTTACAATATATAAAAATAAATCATTTATGGATTCATCTTCATCAACCATCTTCATAAACTTAAAAAATAAATACAACTTATTAGTGTTTCAAATTACTGCCTGGCATATGCCAGTATTCTAACAAAAGATGAAAACAGCGTGAAATGTAAAAAATAGGCAACATCAACACATTTAAATGCTACGGTACGTGATCATTGTCCAAGGTTGACTTTAGCTATAGCTACATTGTCAATAATGCGTTGTATCTAAGTGATAAGGAACCCACAAACCCACAGAGCCTAGCCTAAATGTATGTGTAAGACCGCTTTTGACTAGACCAAGCAGCAAGCTTCCAAATGTAAATGTAATACTTCAATCATTGTCATTCCAGGGACCGAGATATCCAACAGAGTGACCGAGGTTGCTGCCAACTTCAGATGTCTCGATGGTCGCAAAATGCCGGTGATCACCCGATGTGACAAGAAGATTGACTGTCTCCACGGCGATGACGAACTCAATTGTCCTGGTAACTTAAGGAATCCCATCTTAATCTCGTAGATTCGACAAGGAAATTATTTTTCATTAGTGTAATTCCATTGTTATCAATGAGTTTAGTTGGAGGATTTGTTGCAGGCAGTCACGATTGTTAAAATTGTTACATAATGTTATGGAATTTAGGATAGTAGAACCTGTCATATCCGACTATGATGGGACAAAAGGTGGAATTACAATGAGCAAAACAACTTTTTAGCAGGAAAAGTACATTATTTCACAAATTTTTACGATTAATAGCAAAAAAGTCCTGAAACTCTCCCACGGTCATGGAACACGTTAATTGTATTCTGCGATTGTGGTAGAACCCAGAACATCTTCCGCGATGGCAGAAATATCATAATATCGCACGATCACAGAAACTTCATCGTCGTCATTCACGATTGGGGTAAAAGCGTGAATTTCTTATAATTTATTTCCATAGCCCCAGGGTTGTTATGACAAATAATGGGTCAACATACCTCGCCAGACAATCCTTGACAAGGCGCAAGTTTCAAACTATACTACTTGTAAAGGGATTGTCTGACGAGGTATGTTTGGACATTATTTGTCATAAAACAAATTATGCTTTATGACCACTCGTACAACTTTTTAGAAATGTGTAGCTTTTAAAAGGACCTAAGGTCAGATATCCCGATAAGGAGGTTATTGAGGGGTTTTACTAAATGTAAAATTCCAACAGCTAGCTTACCATCACAGAAAACCACATATGCCTGGATATACTTTGCAGTGTCCTCATTTTAATAGCTGACAGATCCTTTCATTTACGCCTCTTCAAACAAATTTATCTTGAGCAAATCCAAGTTCTATCAAACTATTAGTCTATATTCATTCAAATTTCAGGTTCACAACTTTAATGTCTAAAAAATGAATTAACATAATATTTAATTTATGTTTAAAATTATATAATGTTAGGACTACATTATATGAAATCTCATTCATTTACAGATACTCAGTGCAATGAGACGCAGTTCACATGTCTCAGTGGTCAGTGTATAGACTTGTCCCTAAGGTGTGATTTGGTCTACCACTGCTACGACCGATCAGATGAACACAACTGTCGTAAGTAAATACCAATACTAACAGTAATCAGTATACTTCCATCAATCGTTATCAGTTTAGCAGCCCCGTTATCTCCCAGGTGTGCTAATATGCCTTTTACCACCTGTTAAAACTCCCTCTGAAAGCATTATTTTCTTTTCAGCTTTAGGCATTCCTTCATAATGTCTCGCTATTCTCACCGTTGTCTTCTAACTGTCCTATCCTCGCCAATTTCTCCCTACATCCATATTTCAGCGACTATATTCCCATCATCCGTTTACACGTGAAGTCTCGCCATTTAGATTATTTGCAACTCAGTCACTTCAATCTGTTGTATGATATCTTTGATTGTGGTCGATCTCCTGTTTTTAACACTTTTTTCAGGAATTCCATTTCTTAAATATTGGTGTTTTATTGTCTGCAAGCTCTGACAGGACTAATAGTTTTTATTAGATTAAACTGTGTATGTTAGAGAAATGAAATATATATATTCAAAATACTGTAGGCCTACATACTGTACTTATTATTTATTGAATATTTTTTAAGTTAAGTAAATTGCAGTGGTTGTTTAGTAAGATAAATGTTGTTATTTTGTTTGATAAAGTTTAGGTATATTGTTTGGTAGAGTGAAAGACTTTGTTTCGAGTAAATTCAACAACTCTACTTTTCTGTGGACTATAATTGGCATGAATGGCTGTAAATCTACCTATATTAAACACCATTGTTCACTTATAGAGTACCATAATCATACATTTATCAGCTAAGATTCATAAAAAATAATCACACATTTCAGAGCAAATTTTCAAACTTAAAAATCTTATTCTCTTAAAAAACTTCTCTTTGATTTTTTACATATAAAAATTCAAACCATATCTGACACCTATTTGGTGATTCATTTATGTGAAGACCACAAAGTTGTCGTGTTAGTTTTCTGTCTAAGATTCATGTAATCATGTATTATTCATTCAATCGCTTTGTTAGAGGCTCTGTAACTTCTAAAACACCCTACAGGAGCTCATTGTTTGTGAGAACAAAGCCCTAAGATGCCATCATTATGTGCATACATTATCGTATGCAACTAACTAATTTCCTACGCTCTTATAATTTCACATACACCATTACGGTAATATAAAAACTGCTTTTATGTTGTAATTTGAAGTCCAATATTTATTGAAATGTAACTGTACTTCCCACCTTAAATTGGGCAGTACTTAAAAAAGTAAAAATTGTATTTTCATAGTTGACCCACAAACCAAAATAATAATTTTGATTAGTTTATCAAATGAGTAGAGTTGTAAGAAGTATTAAACGTAGTAAAAATACCCTTAGGTAATTTTTTAGTTAATGTTATTTACCTCCACTTTAATGGATGGATATTTTAACGTACCCAGAGATTAATTTTAACAATCTAAAACTACAAACACGATGAATTTCATTGGCCGATTCAGTTACTCAGTCTTTATGTTAATCTTAGTTTGTTGGCTTCTCATCACATAAATTAAATTAAAATTACACACAATTTACTAAAAAAATGTTGCGGTATATTTCGAGTTTACATCAAAACCCATCTTCAGCCTCTGGTAACAACATATCAAGTAAATAAACTATGATACGGAAAATAGTTTTAAAAACCCCGGCCATTGACTTATTTCAGTAATAATAATATTATTATTATTGTTAATAATATTATAAGTAAGTAATAATTACATAATAATATAATAAATAATAATACAATGCTTGCATAAACAAAAAATTGATCCATAACTCAACAATAAGTATCACCGTGGGTACACAACCTCGTGTAACTTTTAGAGTGCGATTCCCGCAAATCAGTTTTTTAACATTTTTAACTACTAAATTTGATATATCTTTAAAACGGTTTATGCTACATGATTCAAATTTTTACCAAGTGATAAGAATGTTATTATCTAAATAATTAGGTAGAAAATTGTAAATGTATGTCTATTCTAAAGTAAAAAAAGATTTTTTAATTTCCACAGAAAACCAATTTCTTTTTTTAAAATTACAAAATGACCCATAAAAAAGTAATAAATCAATATACTGTTATAACTCTACCTAATTATTTAGAGGGCATTATTCCCTGCAAACTGACGGTTTAATGATTAAAATCCAATAATTAGAACTGAAGTTATATCAAATTTAGTTAATTACCTAAAAAAAATATTAAGAGTGTACTTTAACAAAAAAATTACTTTAAACTATGTTTATACCTATTCTTATGCCTATAAAACACATGGCATAAGTTTGAAAAACCTAGTGATAATGTTAAGGAAGTGAGAATTTTCACTGCCATATCTTACAATAGCACCATCAATTCTTCATTAGACATTAACATGTCACAATATTTTATCAAATGTATCCCAAAAAAAAATTAGAGCTGAAAGTACACAGTGGACGACATTAACGTGTTTCCTCTGTACCTCATTTTTCTGTGCTGTTGTACAGATGACACGCAATGCCCGCCAGCCACTCACCGATGCCTGCTAGGAGGCCAATGTCTACAGGAGACCAAATGGTGCGACTACTATCTGGACTGCCTAGATGGATCTGATGAGGCTAATTGTAGTAAGTATGCAACAATACGACACAGTAAGCACCCAAGTCACAAATAAATTACTTTTGAAAAGCTAAGGTCATGTTGTATGAATAAAATGTTCTATCTTTGACTGTAAATAATCTACAATGGAGTTGATACTCTAACTCAACAATATGAGTACAGTATGTTGATTCGAAATAATAACTCCATTGCTCTCCCAGTGAGTGTGTGTTATTAAGAAAAACGTAAATTTTTCTTGAGCTGTTGACAAGGTGTGGTGTTGGTTTTTTGTTTATTTAGAAAGTTATTGCATTATCAAATAGATCAATCTATTGGTGATAGATAAATCAGTATTAGGACGCTCTATGACAAGCTCATTCAACAATGTTTTTTTTTTTAAGTAGTTACATCTGGCCTACAAAGATGGGATGTTTTTAGAACCTATCTCAAGTCAATGCTACAATAGTTTTGTGCAATTGTAACACAATGGGTATCAGTTACTTCATCATTGGAGCAATTCTAGTGATCCAATAAGTGGGCGTGTTTATTCATAATTTTTAACATTAAGTGTGTAGTATGTATTTTACAAAAGCTTTTAAACAGGACGTAATTATTTAAAAAACCAAATCTTTAAGTGTAAATCATTAAGGATCCACATTCAACGGCACAACTTGTTTTAAACGTTGAGTGGTCCGGTTGTCAAGTTAATATGACTGCTGTTCTGGTTTTAGCCAAACTAATTTTCAATTCTGCTCAAGCCTTGTTGAATAACCCAATATCAGGATCACTCGAACTCCATCACTCGACAGTTACAACAGGGCAATTTGAACTTTTTATTTATATTTCGTTTTTACCCCAGGTACTGTTCCGTGTCAACCAAGAGACTTTGCCTGTGATAACGGACAATGTGTCAGCGGACATCTCAGATGCTATAGTGACGGCAAATCAAGAAGTGGTTGTGCTGATAATTCACACCTCAAAAACTGCAGTAAGCATATATATATAATTATATATATATATAATTATATTAATGATAATTCTATTATCAAAGGAATTATTCATATTCTGCCAACACATAATTAAGAATCGGTCCAAACGATTTATTTGTATACTAGCTGTGTGCCCGTTCTACGCACGGGGATCTTATAGTAGTCAGTTGAAATCTTCTTATATTAAGATTAAGAACAGCAATTAGTTTGCACATTTGCAGATATGCTGGCAAAACTATTATATATAAACCTTCGCAAATACAGTATCTGACAGTAAGCCAAAATAAATGCTTCACAATTAAATGTCACCCGGATCGTGTTGGTCCATATGTCCAATGATTAAACTAAAAAATGTTTTATAGATCCATGAAGCGTAGCCCTAAAGTAGGCCTATAATTGAAAGTTACTTTCCACATCGGTTAACTTAAACGTATTTAAAGTACTACCTCAACCTCACCATTTAACTCTTTATTCCGGTTGACATTTTCAGTATCAAAGGTGCTCTTGTCCATTCCGTGAAACACTGAGAAATAAGGACATTAATTCGTTACCAACATACAACAAAACAACACAATACAACAATCCAACAAAGGCCACGAACTATTGATACATAAACAATATAAAGGCGTAAACAATTCATGATGGTTTGCCCAACAAATGTTTTACTCAAATAGGTTATCATTTTCTTAGCATACCGGGTAAGCTAAGATTTGGAATCCAGACAGAAAAAGCAAAACTATACAGAGTTAAGACATCACTTAAATTGAATACGGACGGCTCTAATAAATAAGGTGCAACACCAACGATATCAAATTTGTAAACTACCGGTTCTAAGGAAAAGAACCAGTACCTACGTAAGAACCTACCTAAGAACTATAGTAAATTGGACCAATTAAATACATTAATATCTAGTCCCGAGGTTATTGATCTCTTGCTTTTGGATTTTCTCGTAAAAAGTTATAGCGCAAACTTATCGGTGTCAGTTTGAAAAAAGCAACCTTACCCAAGCAACTTTTTGTTATTTAATAGATTACGCATTCTCTAAACAATGATTAGTATATCTATTAACATTAGAAGGAAATGTGACGAAAATCACACAATGTTGGGGTTTTGGTCATTTGTAATTTTATTTTTTAAGTAGGTAGGCCATGTATTCTATGGAAAAGTACCGGTATCAAGGATCGTCGTCAAAAAGGTTGTTATGAATAAATATGTAGGCTTACGTACCCAAGATATGAGCTATGGGCCTATTGGCTGTATGGTCCAGCGATTGCATCACACGGTGAGTAGAAACAGAAAGTGACACATTGGAAAAGCGAGTTTAGCACTTCCTCTGTTAAACCTCTGTTACAATCACCCACTGCAGTTGTGATTTTTTACTTTAAACTTTACACAACCGCCATTGAAGCGCCGTCAATGAGTGGAAACCTTTTTTGTAAGCTATTGGCGACGATCATTTCAGTGTCACAGCCCTATACAACACTGATTCAAGGTCTTCTTCTTTCTGGTTGTCAAAACTCAAGAAACATTTTATACTCAAAGAATTTCTGGTACCGATTTGGACGATGTCTAGTTATTTAATTTCATTTACGGTTACACTATTAGACTATATTATTGCACTTGCGATTAATTAAATCCGTTATGTAAGAAAAACGTTTTTAATCTCACTTGGTTGGGATTTGCTTTCAAAACGTGATTCGAAATAGTTGCGGTAATTGTAAACAACATTTGTAAACATGTCATTGACAGCTAGAAAAAATAATCTTGATCCGAACAGCTGTTCGTTATTTCATAGACGATTATGTGATAAAAATTGAACGGAAATTTGACAAAAATCGCACAAAACTGCATTTTTGAACGTCCGTAATTTTATTTACAAAGTAGTGAGGCTATATTTAAATCACTAAAGACACTCTCGCCAATCCAGTGAATACATTAAAATGACTTGGATCTTGATATGTACTCTGGTTTTCACGGAGAAGATTGCGTAAAATGCCATCTTGAGTGTTACAGACAAAGGGACAGACAGACAGACAGACAGACAGACAGAAATTGAGATAAGACTCGTTTCTGCTTCTTTAATGTATAAAACGTAAAAATAACCTAAACGTATATAATTCTGAGCAATATACAGACAAAACTCTAATTTTATTTATATAGATAAACAGCAAAACTACAGTACTAGTTCTGTCTTAAACAAGAACGGAGAGTTTACTTCAACAAACCACTAACACATTTTATGTCGTATGTAAACCATAATTGATATTTGGTATCGAATAACCATATTGCAAGCTCTAAAACTATTTCAACATGAACAATATAATGGCCAGACTAAAAGATTGGTTGATAATGATAACAATAACAGTTACTCAACAGTACAACACTGAATCTTTATTGTTTCAGTTTTGTGTAGAAGTTATTAAATAAACCTTGAGTTGAAGTTCCATAAAGCTATAATCTAATAAACCATATCGCCAAAATCTGATTCATACTGTCTTCCATTAATTTGTCAACAATCCCCATCATGGGAAAACATCATGGGTGATATTTATTGGGAAAATCACAAAAGCTGCAATCACTTTTGAACCTTAATGTTTACAGAGTAGGTTGTATGATTTTGTTTAATGTTTAAGGGCTAAATTAAATTTTAATAAAAATCGTTGACGACTTTAGTTTGAAAATCCAATATTTATATTATTTTAGGGTCGTATGGGAAAATCGTGATTAAAAAATCTAAACTACCAAAAAAACTCTATTGGATTTTCTCCTCCTGATATTTATTGGCTATAGCTGGAAGGAAGATGTGTAATTTTAAATTACTAGTGTACCGGTTGCTCGAATTCGAGCAATTGCTAAGTATTACAGGCGTTATTTTAAAACGAATAACAGTCATAATTTCTAAAGACTTTAAAATATTCAACTCAAAGATTATGGAAATACTCAAGATGTACAAAACAGATCAATACAATCAAAATTGTTTGTAAATATCTTATCATATTTCAAAAGCTGATCTTGTTTTTTAGTGTTCTAGTTTTTTAGTGTTATAAGTCAGTAAATGTTTATAGCAAACTGTTAAATTAGCAAACTTATTGACTGTTTACATTTAACATATGTTCTTCTTCTCACTTTTAATTTCTGACAACAGCTGGAGTTTCATAACAATTTTTGTTTCCCATGTTAATCTTATGGATAAATACGATACTTTAAAGGGCCCCAGGGCCTCACTCTCTAATTATTTCCCTAAAAAGAAAGTTTCCTGCACAACTTCACGTTACGCTCTTTCCAATGACACCAAAAACATATCAATCGGTTGAGTAGTTTCGGAGGAGTAATTGTCACAAAAAAACTGCTTGCGTATTAAACAAGTACTAGTGAACCTGTGCGGCTCAATGCCCCGCAAAATAACATATATGAATTTAGAAAACAAATTCATCGTATTAGGCCCATATATTGATTCGACGTCGAAAATTAAATACAGTAATAATGAAGCCTTGGAAGGGAAGCAGTCCAGCCATTTTCTAGCTGTAGCCTATATGTATTGTATTTAGTAAATTAATAAGTGTTCAAGTTCAAGTATGTTATAGGCAGCGAGCAAGGTTGTAGGGTAGTAATTTTTAAAAGATTTTTAAAACACATTTAACAAAACATTTTATCACATCAAACCAATAGGCCTATGTAGCATATTTTGAGGGTCATAAAAATGCTGCTTGAAGAAAACACACTTTTAAAAATAAACACTAAAAAACTATATTTTTATCACAAAAGCACTTTCATGAATACTACGATTTTAGCCTTAAAGTTACCTTCAGGAAGATTACCCTGGTCAGAGTTTTCCGTAACGAATATGCATATCCTATTAAAAGATGTAGCCTTACTTAAAACAACACATAATATAGCGCTGCAAATGCCAAAGGTAACAGAAATTAGCATCTTTCCATGTTAAAAGGTAAGTTTGTTTCAGACGGTTAATTTTTATCCTCGAAATCAAAATATGTCCCCACTCACTTGTTCCAGTTAAGACTTTACATTCTATTACGTTGTTAACCATTCTGATCACATGAAGCCTTGTGCCATTATTGAGGCCCTTTTTGATGTATTGATATTCCTCATCAATAAAACCACTGCCCCCTTTTATTAGTCTAATCTGTGTCTTGGCAATCCACTGACCTCTATATTATACACTCAGTTGGATTTTCTAGATGGGTGTCTCCGCCTTCGTCTGTTTTCAAGGACCCACTATTCTTTCCCTTCGTATACTGACAATTTATTACCTGACTTGTCAAGTTCATGTAGTAATTCAATACTGTTAGTTTATAAAGAAAATTAGATAAAAGTTACTTGGCTTGGTGCTTTCATAACTGCAAACTCAAAATACACCCACAAATTAAAAAGAATCAAGATATTGGTTAAAAAAACTATGTTTGTGTAATAATATTATTCACATGAAATAGATGATTTGTTTGATTTGTCGATCAGCTGTTTAGTTTCAAATGAATTAATAATGTCAAAGATTTGTGATTTAAATACACAAATTATTATAGTAAAGTTTTCTAAATCATGGTAACTTATCCTCCACTAAATTTTACTATTCCCAGCATTAAAATAAAGTAGTAAGATCCATTATGGGTAAACTTTAAGGCACACAACCCTCGATTGAAATGTAGTATATATACATTAAGAGTCATAATACACAGAAATTATTATGTAGTAGACTTTGACTATTTTCAAGTAACAAACATATGTTTCTGTAAATAAAAATTATCTCCCATGTTATCCTTATGGAGAAATACGAAACTTTAAAGGGCTCCAGGGCCTCAATCTCTCATTATTTCCCTAAAATGAAAGTTTCCTGCACAACTTCACGTTACCCTCTTTCCAATGACACCAAAAACATGTCAATCGGTTCAGTAGTTTCGGAGGAGTAATTGTCACAAAAAACCTGCTTGCGTATTAAATAAGTATATATATATATATATATAATATAGATAGATACTTTAAAATATTTCCGTAACATTATAAATACATTAAACCACTAATAACAGTATGCCATTGCAGTGGTTTCGTGTGGATTATTCTATCAGACAGTGCTTTACTGTACAAAGCTTAAAAATAGGCGTATATTGATTCTATAACTTTTTTCATAGAGAACTGGACTTGCAGTGAAGACCAGTTCAAGTGCCGCAGTGGTCCGTGTGTCTCTCGTACTCTACTGTGTGACAACAATATCGACTGTCCAGAGACTTGGGATGATGAGGACTTCTGCCGTAAGTTTTAATATATATTATAAAAAACAAAAAGATTTGGTGTTGCCTTGCCACAGGGGAATGAATATAAAGTAGAAACTTCCTTTAAATAACAATCATGAAGTAGGTCCAACTATGAAGGTAATTTTTCTAAAGCTTAAAATTTGAAATCCCAAGTCTTCCTGTTGATGTAAGGTTATATAATAGCTTTTGGGGTAGTTTGGTTTTTGAATATTTGTTGACATTTTTACCAGTTCTTACAAATAATGAAAACTTTATAATTTGTAAAATAATGACACTTGAAAAATATTTACCAGTACAACAATTGTATATGTAAAGTTATGAGGGGAAAATTTGAAATAAAACATCTTGAATTTTGAAACCAAGAGTAGATGGTGACACTCACTCAATATCCACAATAGCTAGTGGACAATATGTAGGTGATAATTAATATGGTTATTTTTTGTATGAAAAAATTATTTAAATTGTTTTCAGGCAGACCCGTTTGGTCAAGTCTGTGGGAAAATGTGCTTAATTTATGTTATAAGGTTTATGTCTAAAATTCTTGTTTGTACCCAGCGTTCCAGTGTTCTCGTTTACTACCGCAATGTGAGTGTCAAGATGTCCACATCAACTGCACGGCCCGTGGTTTAACAGATGTTCCAGCTGATGCTGAACCTGAGATCACCTGGTTGTAAGTACAGCTGATTCTGATAAAAAAGTTAATATTTTTTTTCATAAACATCTGGAACTTTACAAATTGTTGATATGCACATTAAACAATTGACTTAGGCTAGGCGCACACGAGCGATTACATATTTCGAGGCGACTATTTCATCTGCCGATCTGTGCATCATGTATTTGAATGGAAGCGCGCACACAGGCGATCGAAAATTGCGCCGATTTTAAAATCTGGGTTTTGCCACAGATTCGTAGGCGAGGCGATTGTTGCCCGAAAATCTGTAACGTACAGATTGTTATCAGTCCGCGCACACGGTCGACTAAAAAATCGACCAGTCGCTTGTTGTTCTCCACAGGAGTCAGTGAACTTCAGTGTGAGTTGTGTTCTTTTTTTTCCTAACAAAGGCCACAGCTGTTATAATAAAAACTGAAACTTTCAACAGACATTCTATAGTAATTAAAGAACTTTTTACTGTCATCACGTTAAGTGTATAGTTTATAAAACTGTCGATTTAAAAGTCTTACTATCGGATGAACCCAATATTTCAGTTTTCTTCTTTTTTCTTTGATCCAATTAGAAGATCACAAACACAGGTTAATTCAACAAAGTCCATTTTAGGATAGCTTAAACACACTCAAAAAATCAATTTCCCGACTAAAAAGTCGCTACGTGGGCGCCTAGACATAAATCAAAGGCGATTTATTTTTGGTCGATTTTTTTATCGGCCGATTGAAAAATCGACCGTGTGCGGCCAGGCCTTAAATTAAATCGCATAGAAAAGAAACTACTATATTTTCAAATCTGTACTTACTGTTTAGCCACCACAGTCTTTTCCATAATCTGTCCTGTAAGACCACAAGGATACATGCAATAGATGTGAATTCACAAGATGATAAAATTTATTATTTGGTATAACAGTGGTTATTGTGGTTATTTTGAAAAAATGAATATTGTTTCAGTTACTTGGGCAGCAACAAACTAAACGAGACACTGAACAACAGTTCATTTCTTCAGCTTGCTAGACTTCTGTATCTGTAAGTAATGGACCTAGACTGCAATTAAGATACACAAAATTGCAAATGTACTAAACACTACAGTAAAAGAAATTATAAAAAGGCGAATTATAAATTTTACATGCGAAAAGTATATAGAAATTTATATGAAAATATATACAAAGATATGAAAAATTAGATACGTTTTACAGTGTGTATTTTTGTGCCACCCTGAATGAATCATAGAATTTTGGAGCTCTTTATGTCCTGAGATGCCCATTTAAGTACCCCTCTGCATTGATGTAAATTGCTTATTTTGTCAACTATGGAAATGTTTTATGAAGTCTAACTGAAATGGCATCATATTGTAAACTGCTGCGTCTTTTATGTGACGTTAACTCTTTATTATTGCAAAGCCGGAAAACTTTTGAATGTTGACTGTAGCACATCCCGTGAGTGGCTCGTGTAACTATGTTCTTTTTAAAAAAGATTTGGCTACAGCTAGTCCACATATGTGGAATTTCATCTCCATGATTAAAAGGTTAATGGTTACACTAACTCGTTTCAAACTAAAGTGTAATCAGTGGCGGCCCTAGAGACTGCAGGGCCTAAGGGGAAGTTTAATAGTGGTTCCCTCTTAATATCCGAAATACAGCTGTGCCCTGATATGTGCGGGGCCCCATGCACAACCTTGTTCACCTTTATGTAGGGCCATCTTTGATTGTAAAGTCAATCTTCATTAGCCATGTATTTTAGTACAGTGACTGTGAATAGTACGTCGCAATTTTTACTGTACATCGGGAGTTAGGGATGAGTGTTGTAAATAACGAACACAAGTTATATATTAACTGCTCAGAGGGCCGCAAAGGATACATGGTGTTTACTGGGCTAAGACAAGGTGTAGACTGACGTGACGAGAGGGGATTTAGGAGAAAGGTGGTGCGATGTACGACATCATGGGAATAGCCATGAGCTCCTTTTTTTGAAACATCACCTGATTTTGCATACTGCCAACATGATCATAGATTATGGTATTACGGTACGAGTATCAAACTATGGTAACATTATGGTACAAATTATCAGAATATTGTACAGATTGTTGTGATTAGGTTTGACAAACTTTTTTGTCTTCCAGAGATCTGAGCAACAACAGCGTCACTCAACTTCCCCCCAGTATGTTTGTTTCTCTGTGGCGACTTACTGTGCTCGACCTACATGATAACCAGCTGACCCGGCTGGCCAATGGGACCTTCAACGGACTGGCTAGCCTCAACGGATTGTGAGTCCTGTGATTATTATTTACTGTATAAACGAAATTTCAATTAAAACAGCCTCCAGGCAATAGATTCATTATTATGTCAAGTAACACTAAATTTTAAAACATTTTCCGGACAGACTGATGCACCCATTGTTCCTTAAGAAGGATTTGATGCTAAAATGCAAAAAATACTAATTTAGTAAATTTAAAAATTTCCAAAATGAAATAATCAAAGACCAATTATTAACCTATAAACATATGTTGAAAAGATAAAAGTACTGTATATGAATTGGGTCGGCATTTGAAATTATTACCCTAGTGGAAGAGATCAATATATATCAATACAAAAATTGTATATTGATACTTATTGATACGTATGTGTATTTGGGCCAATACACATCAATACATATCAATACAAGTAAATAGGATCCGAGTCATTAGCTTATTTGAAAATAATTTGTAGCTTGTTAAAAAACCATTTTTAATTTGTTTCAAAACATTAAATAATATCAACTATGCACTAAAAATAAAATAAAAATTAAGAAGTAAAAAAATTCTTGGCAAAACGTTTAGTGGGTTCCCGCGATTTGAACCGGGGATTCCAGCATGGAAGCCGGTTGTCTTAGCCATTACGTGCTTACACCACGGACGCTTCATGTTGGAGTGAGTAATGATAGCCATTTTGAATGCGAGAAGCTGTGTTAGGCCTCATAATTAACTTGAAAAAGATTTTCAATGGCATTTGTGTCATTTCAAGCATGTACCTATATGCTTTAACATGTTTCAAAACTGTTTTATTACCAGTTCAAACTGTTTTCTTGCTACTTGGGTGATATGAATAGTGTCAATACAATTTATTTTTATTGATTTCTAGAAATAAGGAATTCAATAATGAATTTGTAAGGCATTTTTATCCCTAACGATAACCCAATAAGCAAAAAAAAGTTTTAAAGTTGTCGAAAGCTGTATTACAATAATTGTTGTATAACAATTTTAAAACATTTTGATATAAACTTCATATTACAACAATTTTGATATAAGATTGAAAGAATTTTAAAATTGATTAACAATAAGTTTTTTGGAGTTGAAAAAAATAAGTTTCAATACGAGCTGTAACTGTTTTACAACAATTTTAAAATTGTTTTACAACCACTTTTTTGAAGTTTAAGAAAATCAGTTTTAATACAAGTTGTAAACTGTTTTACAACAATTTTAATGTTTAGCAATCAGTTTTTGGCAGTTTAAAAAATAATTTTTAATACAAGTTGTAACTGTTTTACAACAATTTTAATGTTTAGCAATCAGTTTTTGGCAGTTTAAAAAATAAGTTTTAATCCAAGTTGTAACTGTTTTACAACAATTTTAAAATTATATATTTTTAAATTGCCTATATTGAGTTTTAGGTACCTCAGCTAACGCCTATGACCTAGAACTAGAGTTTTTCCTTTTTTCAAAAAATAACATTTTTATTACTGTTTATTTACCACAAAGTTTACATTGGTTTTTTGTATAATCCATAATGTTCATATGTGATACATTTTAGAGATATTTTGCATTTTATTTATCCGTATTGATGTCTATTGATTTATATTTACATCTAACATATTTAAAAAATATTCTCTATTGATATCAATGAACGATTTGTTTGCTCAATTGATCTATATTGATATATTTTATGTTTATAGATGTCTAGTGATATGTATTGACTAAGTTTTCAGTGATGTCTATTTGCTTGTATTTACTTGTAATGATATCCATGAACATCTATTGATATCACTAAGCATCTAGTGATATCAATAGATTTTTTCTATTGATTTCTATTGATGTCTTCCACTAGGGTATGTCCATTCAATTTTAGATTACTTCTTTATCATCATCGTATGTGTTATTAAATTACATAAAAGTACAAAATTATGTCAAATACCGGTAACACTTGTAATAAATATATTTACACTTATACTGTATAATCACAAGGCGGTAAATAGCCTACATATAAAAGATGGTTAAGTGGTGATCGATTTTGATTGGACACTCCAAGGGTAAAAATATTTATTTCAAGTGTCATATGACATATTTTTGTACTTCCATTCAATTTTAATTAAAATAAACTCAAGTGTGTGCTTTTGTTTAGATGGAAATGAGTAACTTTGATTCACAAATTTTAAAATTAGTTAAATTTTTGCCCATGTGCACATTATATATCTATGGTGCACTCTCTCATTCTTTTTTGTGTTTCTCTGTACCAATCAATAAAAAAAATGTAAATGGATAGGTATGACTAGGTATTTTGATACATGTACGTGCATCAGTTCTCCTCTACCATTATATACATGACTTCCACACTACATCGTTTAGAAGCAATTTTTTTAAATCATTGTGTGTGTGTGTAATTTTAACCTTAATATTCTACCATATGGAGGTCATAACAAGCCCCATGTTCAGACAGAGTCCATTAGACTGGATTTTCTTCCTTGCATAGCTGTATCTTCAGTAGTATAGGCTAGGGTAGTTTTTGAATGAAATAATGGCATGTTTCTAAAGAAAAGTTGTACGAACCCTTCAGTTTTTTTTTTGGGGGGGGGGGGGATGGGGGGAATGTACCAGGGATTAAAACTGTTCCTCTCACACTGAGGTTTGAGAAAGACATATTGTACTAGAGAAAATACATTGCAAAAAAATAATGCCTGTTTGTAGAACATTTTCCCTTAACATACACTGAAAACAGAAATGGCTATACAGGGTGTCCATAAAAAACGTTTCAGGACTTTGGGAAATGAATCCCCATACTAAAAGGAAGAAAAAAGTTTATGGGAAGGTATATTCGAAAATGCATATTAACCCAGATATCCGCCATTTTGTTTTTTATACAAAAATATTTTTATCTGTGAAGTTTTTTATTCGACGATTATGAAATTTGGTATACATGTTAACATACACAAGACCTATAATAGAAAAAATAATAAAGTTGTTCCGATTGTAAATTTCAAAATGGCGGCCGTTTTAATTTTTCTAACTTAAATAACTCAAAAACGGCTAATTCTACAAAAAAATGCCAAGAATACTTTTTTTTAGCATTTTTAATTCCCTATCAAACGATACCAAGATCAAAAAGATCGGACAAATGATAACTGAAATATAACGTTTTTTGTGTAAAAATAAGGCAAAAATTAAGGGTTCCCCGACTAACTTTGCCTTATTTTTACACAAAAAACGTTATATTTCAGTTATCATTTGTCCGATCTTTTTGATCTTTGTATCGTTTGTTAGGGAATTAAAAATGCTAAAAAAAGTATTCTTGGCATTTTTTTGTAGAATTAGCCGTTTTTGAGTTATTTAAGTTAGAAAAATTAAAACGGCCGCCATTTTGAAATTTACAATCGGAACAACTTTATTATTTTTTCTATTATAGGTCTTGTGTATGTTAACATGTATACCAAATTTCATAATCGTCGAATAAAAAACTTCACAGATAAAAATATTTTTGTATAAAAAACAAAATGGCGGATATCTGGGTTAATATGCATTTTCGGACATACCTTCCCATAAACTTTTTTCTTCCTTTTAGTATGGGGATTCATTTCCCAAAGTCCTGAAACGTTTTTTATGGACACCCTGTATATTATAATAGATACAAATTACAAACAAACATTTTAGTAAACAACTATACAAAGGTAATAATAAATTATTTTACAGGCACCTCCAAGGAAACAAAATTGAAGCAATTGAATCTTACGCATTCTACGGCCTGACTTCTCTCAAAACATTGTAAGTATTTCTGTATACATTTTTTTATGTCCTGTCAAATTCCTTAATTTTTTTATATTGAATGCATTGTCTTATTCAAGGTTATTCGTAACTATAACTAGTTGGTAATTGCGTTTTGCAGGGATCTTTCCAACCAAAGAGTCTGCGACATTCAGCCCGATGCATTTGTTGGCCTTCGGAGTTTAACTGGACTGTGAGTAATTAATAAAGTTTACGAAAATAAAAAATAAAAATAGATACTGGCAAATCTCATACGAGCTGGAGTGACCTGAGCAAATTTTACCAACAACATAAACATAATGGTCTAATGCGCAATTTTCTCTCGGTAATATCGTGGACGGATATTTTAATTGAATACTTCAATGACAAAATTAAAAATTAAAACACAATGTTAAATCGTATCCTTGACAAAAAAAAAACAACATACAGAAAAACCTTCTGTTTTTTTTAAAGTTCAATTACGAAGGAAAACTATACAGTATTTTAGTTTTAGTTGTAAGTGCCCTTTGAAAGTGGATACAATATGCACTAAAATCTTTATACAACAGCATAACTAATACTTTACTAAATAATAAATTTAGTTTAAATAAATAAATAAACTTAGTTTACTTTAATAATAATTCTAGTTTAAATTAATAATTTACCTTATTTCAGCTAATCTCTTGCTCTAATTATTACCTGAAATCACATTCCATCAAATCCTCCCCTCAACAGTACTGTATCACAATTGTATTAATATTTATCCATTTCAGAGACTTATCGAGTAACCAAATTTCCCATCTGAACCAAGGAGTTTTCTCGGGAATGCCGCACCTTCTGTTCTTGTGAGTATGTACGTATTCTTTACCGTACTTGGTTAGTTATGGGATAAGTGTTCTATCGTTAAAGACCAAGGAAAATCTAAATTGTAAGTCAACATGAAATATAATTATAATCATCTTGTTGCTTTAAAAAATGTAACATTGCAATCACTTAAATGCATTTAAACAAATGGGAAGGCTCTTTAATTTACTATAACATTACTACGGCTACTTTAACACAGGTACACAACCAAGGCATAAAAATTTAAGAACATTGTTTGATGGGTAGAATATGTAATGTACTAACTCTTGTGTTAATGAACACGTTAGCCAATGTCAGCTAGAACTAGAACCATTGACTATTGGATACTGGACCAGCTCTCGCCAACTTTTTATTGCAAAAGATCATAGCTCTGATATTTCCCTAGTTCCATCGGGTTGAATTGGTAAAGAGGTTTGTGTATTCGATAGAGATAAGTAGAATTTACATTGGCATCTCTTAGTGGCTCATACACTACAACAATTTTGATTTTAAAAACTGGCAACAAATGTAACATTATAATTAAATGTCTGTAATAGGTAAAGGTAGAACCAATAATTAAAAGCCAAATAGCCGAGAAAATCTGTGCTTAGTTTTGAACTATTAAAAGCTACTGGGGTTTTCAGGATTGAACCAAAAACACCACAATCATATTGTTAGACAAGAACCATGAACACTTAGCTTATCAGCTATTTTTCCATTCCATTTAGGGCCGCTATAGAAATGGGCCCAGGCCCAGGGGCGGAAGAATGTGTAGGTTCGATGGGGGTGCAAGGAACAGAAAAATTCTTTGCATGGAAAGGGGATGGGCAATATCATCTTTCGTGCCCATAGCACCTCACATGAAATCTGTGGGCCTGATTCCTTTAGCGCCAACTTTTTAACATATTCAATTAAGCTGTATCAATAGTTATGAACTCGTTTCATGAGATAAAAGCATTACGTACACACTAGTAGACTTTTGAATTAAGCTTTTATTTGTTTATCTTCTAAGTTCTTTAAACTCTCAGAGCAGAATATAACTTAAAACCAGCTTTACAACATTTGTTCAATCACCATTCTAAGTGATGTTGGTAGCTGTCTACAACATCGTTGTATATGGAACCTGTCACCTGATTCTCTGCCTAGGACTGGCCCGGGCCGTCCATATACCAGAACATGTCTCCTGATCCTCTGCCTAGGACTGGCCTGGGCTGTCCATATACCAGAACATGTCACCTGATCCTCTGCATATAACAACTCTGAATGAAATGTACCATGTTGATTTAGTTAGAATCCTATTCAGCCCAGTGACAAAATCCTCCCTGCAAAAGAGCTAAATGTAAATTTGTTTGTTTTTGAATTGATTGAGTAAATTCCAAAAAATATTTTAGAGACATCAGCAAGAACCACATACGAGTGATCGAAGCCAATGTTTTCAGAAGCACCCCTTCTCTCGACAAACTGTGAGTAATATTGAAGTTCCTTAATTCTTATATTTTCCAACAATAATATTATTTTGTTGGAATGCTGGTTTAAATGCCTGCTCCAATAATTAATTTTACAGCATTTTAGCATAGACAAATAGAATGAACATTTGTCTATGATTTTAGTCACGTTTCAAAAGCTTACACTATGTAATAGAATGTACCTAAGGCCATTTATGTGTTGGTGCACCCTAATAGAATTCTATCTAGGGTCTGTCTTTTGAGTTAATATCTTATAATATAAGATAAGAGTATAATAGCTTCTTTGAAATTCAAACATCAAACTACTCTAATCCAGGCTTGCTTGTACAAACATGAAGGAAGTTTGGTTTAGAGTTTTAGTTATTTTATTTTTAATGCCAGAGCCATCATGATTGTTTTGTTTTTCCTTTGAGGATTTTCATGAGCTTTGTAGTTTTAACGACAATAAATCATTAATTTTATTTAATTTTTATAACAGTTTATGTTTATTACAACCTTTTACATCATAAATTTTTCACATCATTTCTTTTACGATATTCATTTACTGTGTTAATGTATACTTGTTATACTACTGCGAAATATATATTTCAGGGTCACTGATGAGTTTCGATTTTGCTGTCTCGCTCGACATACAAGTCTTTGTCTGCCTCCACCAGATGAGTTCAGGTATGAATAGAAATATTAGAGAAAATAATTATCTCATTTCTGTTTGATAAGAATTATTTTACAGTTTTATTAAATCTTTTTATAAAGAGTTCACTATGTGTAAGCAAAAGCTATTTTACTATTTTATTATATTTTAATTATTTATATTATTAGGTGTAAGATGCGATAAACTTGAATGAGTTTGCGAACCAGCATGATCGGAACGGGGGTTTATGGGGTAAAAATTGGTTTTTCCCAATTTTGACCTTCCAAAACTAAAACATTTCCTAATATTTCTTAAAACCATTTTAAAGAGCATAAGAAAACAAATAATTTTGTATATTGAAGTGTTTTTGTTCGGTTATTGGCTATGGAGACTATTCAAAAAATTGTAAATTTATATTCCCTTGTTATTCTTAACCGTAGTAGTTTGCCTATTTATGGATGTATTTTAATCAAACTTTGTAAATTTATTTATTTTATACTAAGCTATTAGTATTTTCCTAAAACAAACTTTATTACGCTCCCTGCAGCAGCATACCTAGGTACTTGTTAAACCTAATGTCATTTGAATAGATTTAATTGAAAATCCTATCAGGTAAATTGAAATTTGCGTAGTCAGCAGGTTTGCTGCGGCAGTGGTATCTCTCTATTTTCACCACTATTTCACCTTGCTGATTCAGATTTGTTAACAAGACGAAATAAAGGGCAAATGAAGACAGATGGTTCTGCAGATGGCTAGTTGTTTTTTTATGTTTTTTTTTTTATAATTATTCAACTCCCTCCACCCGTTACTCAATTTTTTCTAAGCTCTTTTATTCTATCTAATCACATAGCGTGATTTAGTGTATATTTTCTTTCACAACTTTTCTGAATACTATGACAAGACTATCCGTCCCACAGACAAGAATTGCTGTGGATATTTTAATGAACACATCTTTGGTCTCAGGTTTCAGCTAGTTCACAAACCAACTGGATCTAGGGTTACTTTAATAAATGAGCTTGTTGGGCCGTGGCCGATGGGTGCAAGAGGTTTCAGATTTGTTGTTGGTGTAAGGAAGATGAAAATTATTCCACAAGGAGATGGAGAGGAGTACAATTATCTCTCTGACCCATACATACATAAAACCTGGAGGTCTGACTGGAGCACGGTGGAAACCTTAATTTATTAACAACCATCGTATGGATACACATTCTTTTTACAAATTCCTTCTCTTGTCTGGTGTAGAAAAGGGTTCTTTTGAATATGCACTAGAGGGCAGTAGGCAGTGGTTGAAAGCTCGTCTAAAACTACATAATGTGGACACAGACTTCTCTATTATGATTTTCATCCCTTGCTGTAGGCTAAATAAAACAAGTGATTGGAAATTTTTACATTTTTCTTTATTTTCTGTTTGTATATTTCTTTGTTATTTCGTCAACAGCATGACAACCCAAAAGGCCCATGTTAATTTATTTCAATTTGTATTTTTCATTGTTTTTTTATAATTAATTGTATTTTTTATTTCATTTTTTCATTATGTGTGCTTATTTTTGAGCTAAGTATAATTTCTAAAAGGATTCTGCACATTAACAGGCAAATTTCTTTCTAAAAGTATACTTATAGTGTTTCCATGTGATTCAATGAGCTGAGAAAAAAGGCTTTCAAGAAACATGAGTTTTCTAACTCTTCATGCTCATAAAAATTGAGATATTCAGTTGTTTATACGTTTTTTGACTAAAGTATTATTTTGTTGCAGTTCATGTGAAGACCTGATGTCCAACCTGGTGTTGAGATTGTGTGTCTGGCTACTGGCAGGAGTGGCTACCGTAGGCAACATCCTGGTGATCGTCTGGCGCACTAGATACACCCATTGCAACCAGGTGAGCACACTTAGTATATCAAGCTGTCTAGAACAAGTATCAAACCCAGAAGTATAGATAGAACTACATTCATATTCATTTGAGATGGGGACGCCACCTAGTATATTTTAAACCCAAATACGAGTTTACGATGAGTGTAGAATTAAGTGTGATGCCTTGTACAGCTCGGTGGTACAGCTTTGTTACTGACTTAGACCAGCTGTTTCATTAGTCAGGACCATTTATTGAAAGCCCAATGATCAAGGACAGCTGGGCCCAGTTTTAGAACCATCAAAAAGCAACATACTTTTATCAGGATCGAACCGGCGACCTTTCAATTACCAGGCGAGCACTATAACTGAGCTATTATATTCATAAGTTAGAGTTGTAGCCAGTCAGACAAATAAACGGTATCGATAATCTGACACTCTCACACATACTTTCTCCCATAGCTTTCCAACCTCCCTTGTGGGAGTAACTATATGACATTTTATACTGCAAATCACAACATTTGCAGTAACTTTTTAACCATAGCTTTCACATCGATGGGAGTTTTTTTTTTTTTTTCACTTTCCACCATTTTTGTTTTTGTTTGTTTTATTCCATGCATGTTTCAGGTTCACTCCCTGCTCATCACCAACCTCACACTAGGTGATATCTTTATTGGCTCTTATGGGCTGCTGATAGATATAGTAGACTGTCACTACATGAGGAGTCTACTTTGTCCATGATTCTGACTGGAGATCAAGCAGATGTTATAGTAACTCCATGTTTCAGGTTCATTCCCTGCTCATCACCAACCTCACACTAGGTGATATCTTGATTGGCTCTTATGTGCTGCTGATAGCTATAGTAGACCGTCAGTACATGAGGAGTCTACTTCGTCCATGATTCTGACTGGAGATCAAGCAGATGTTATGGTAACTCCATGTTTCAGGTTCATTCCCTGCTCATTACCAACCTCGCACTAGGTGATATCTTGATTGGCTCTTATGTGCTGCTGATAGCTATAGTAGACCGTCAGTACATGAGGAGTCTACTTCGTCCATGATTCTGACTGGAGATCAAGCAGATGTTATAGTAACTCCATGTTTCAGGTTCACTCCCTGCTCATCACCAACCTCACACTAGGTGATATCTTGATTGGCTCTTATGTGCTGCTGATAGCTATAGTAGACCGTCAGTACATGAGGAGTCTACTTTGTCCATGATTCTGACTGGAGATCAAGCAGATGTTATAGTAACTCCATGTTTCAGGTTCATTCCCTGCTCATCACCAACCTCGCACTAGGTGATATCTTGATTGGCTCTTATGTGCTGCTGATAGCTATAGTAGACCGTCAGTACATGAGGAGTCTACTTCGTCCATGATTCTGACTGGAGATCAAGCAGATGTTATGGTAACTCCATGTTTCAGGTTCATTCCCTGCTCATTACCAACCTCGCACTAGGTGATCTCTTGATGGGCTCCTATCTGCTGCTCATAGCTCTAGTAGACCGTCACTACAGAGGAGTCTACTTTATCCATGACTCTGCCTGGAGATCTAGCCGACTCTGTGCTTTGGCTGGGTTCCTCAGCACTTTTTCCAGCGAGATATCCGTCTTTACACTTACTGGTTAGAAAATTAGTGCATCTTTGATTAGTCAATGGATTTACTTTTACTTTTTTCTAGGGATGGACGGGATTGAATTTTTAGTTCGGGACGGGACGGGACGGGATTTTTATTTCCTTCCCGATTTTCGGGACGGGACGAGACGGGATTTTTTTCTGTGCATAAAAAGAAAGTACTGTTTTGCAGTTACCAAAAAAAAAAACATACGAAATCAATTTTTACCGTTTGTGGCACTGATCTATAGAAACCAAAATATGGGTAACAATTTACAGGTACCTATAGTAACTTGTGACTCGCGGGTCACGGGGTGATCGTCTGTATGACTCACGGTCACGGCGCGATCGTCGTCATGACTCGCGATCACGGCGCGATCGTCGGTATGACTCGCGGTCACGGCGCGATCGTAGGTAGGACTCCACAGTCACGGCGCGATCGTCGTCATGACTCGCGGTCACGGCGCGATCGTCGGTATGACTCCGCGGTAACGGCGCGAACGTCGGTAGGACTCCGCGGTCACGGCATGATCGTCAGTATGACTCGCAGTCACGGCGCGATCGTCGGTAGGACTCGCGGTCACGGCGCGATCGTCGGTAGGACTCCACGGTCACTGCGCGATCGTCGTTATGACTCGCGATCACGGCTCGATCGTCAGCATGACTCCGCGGTCACGGCGCGATCGTCGTTATGACTCGCGATCACGGCTCGATCGTCAGCATGACTCCGCGGTCACGGCGCGATCGTCAGTATGACTCGCGGTCACGGCGCGATCGTCGGTATGACTCGCGGTCACGGCGCGATCGTCGGTATGACTCGCGGTCACGGCGTGATCGTCGGTATGACTCCGCGGTAACGGCGCGAACGTCGGTAGGACTCCGCGGTCACGGCGCGATCGTCGATATAACTCCGCTGTCACGGGGTTATCGTCGGTATGACTCGCGGTCACGGCATGATCGTCAGTATGACTCGCAGTCACGGCGCGATCGTCGGTATGATTCGCGGTCACGGCGCGATCGTCGGTATGACTCGCGGTCACGGCGCGATCGTCGATATGACTCGCGGTCACGGCGCTATCGTCGGTATGACTCGCGGTCACGTCGCGATCGTCGGTATGACTCGCGGTCACGGCGCGATCGTCGGTATGACTCGCGGTCACGGCGTGATCGTCGGTATGACTCGTGGTCACAGCGCGATCGTCGGTATGACATCGCGGTCGCGGCGCGATCGTCGTTATGACTCCGCGGTCACGGCGTAATCGTCGAAATGACTTCGTCTCCTGCGTTCGCGGACCTATCGCTCGCAATAACAGCGTTATCGGCACTCGCGAAGCGGAAAAATCGCCGACGATCGGACCAAATCCCGTCCCGAAAAATTCCCGAGTCAAATGTAATCCCGTCCCGATAATCGGGAATATTTTTTTCCCGAAAAATTCCCGAAATTTCGGGACCCGTCCATCCCTACTTTTTTCCCTAAAGTAAATACCAAATTACTTAAAAATTCTTTTATTTTTTAATATGTTCTATCTTTATGAAAAGTTTGTACAGTAGAGTCCCACAAACTCGGCGTAATGTGGACTGGAAGGGTGCCGAGTTTGTGAAATGCCGGGTTATCGGGTACTAGGGTTAAAAATAAGAACAATACAATGTTTAAGCTTTTTAACCGCTTTTTTTATTTATATTTATATTACAAGTCAGTATTAAATCATCAGATATAGTACAATAAATCCTTGGTAAGAGTTGCGAATGATTTGACTCGAGTTGGCTTGGTCCATGCAACTCGGACTCAAAAAATCACTAATTTTCTGAGCCAGGTGATAGCCGAGTTATCCAGACTGCTGGGTTATCGAGTGCCGAGTTTGCGGGACTCTACTGTATTTTAGGGTAAAAGAGCAATGTGATTGAACCCGTGTAAATGTGCAAAATGTCATCGTTGTTGAAAATATTCAATTTTATGACTCTATAATTTCAGTCCATCATAAGCGTTCCTGGACATATCTTTATGAAGGAACTTACCATTATTCTTTAAATTCCAAAACTACCTTAAGTTATTTTGAAATTCATTTGAAAAATAACCTTGTAGTGGTTAGCTACAACTTGAGAAGATTTGGTTAATTGATTAGGAGTACGACGCAATTAATGGTGGAAATGAGCGTTGAACCCTTAAATTTAACCACTTAACATTAATTTAAGTAATATTGCTATTGATATACTGACACTAGAAATTAAATTGGGTGTTCTTATTAATTTAATCTGGAAAGAATGACTATTGAAATTCATACTACCTAATTTAAAATTTAACCACCGGTATGGTTAATTAACATGGGGCTTTACCCTCCATATCCCGAGTGTATACCTATCCAGGTTTCCAGTAGCTTTGTACCGCACCGACTACTGACTGATCGACTCCGACTTCCTTATTTGACTCACCTGATGCGCATGCTCGAGCACATTATCTTTTCTTGGATTGTACAATGGCTTGACTTAAGAGACTATATTTACCTTGTTGGCGGGATATTCAAATATATGTGGAGATTGAGCTCCACAACCTTGGTCGTTATTTTTATTTGGCTTTTGGTTGATTTTTCTGCTTATACAAACAATTACTTTACTTAAAGTTTTGGGGTTTTTTATAATCTACAAAACATTTACCTAATCTTCTTTTTTAGTTTTTTCCAAGACTAAACTGTAACTAATACTGTATACTAATAACTAAAGTTAACACGTTCGCTACTGCAATAGTACAAAATTTTTCATTCACATGGACCAGCGACGCACATATGCGAGGGCCGGTTTCCACCCATAGACTGCCGTCGCATATATGCGACGGCTAGTCACATTAAAATAGACTGCCGACGCATATTTGCGACGGGGTTCTAATGTTATTAAAATGCTTATATCTTTGTAGTGGTCTATTTGAAGGCACTGAATTCCCTGCAGTGGTCTACAGAGATATCTGACGCACAACTGCGTCGCTTGGTCTGTGGATATGATGATTGGTGACGTCATATAATAGTTGGAAAAACTGGTCTTTACTTTTCTGCATCACTGTATGTATGTATGCAGTATGTATGCTGCATTATCCTATGTAGCTTTTATATTTGTTCAGTTATAAACTGTTCTTGAAATAATCTGTTTATTTATTTACTTACTTTCACCTTAAAACACAAAAAAATGAACTGTCGCATATATGCGACGTTTAGTCTATTTCAAGAAAACTATGATAATTTTCACTATTGTCTTCGCTGTAGACCGGGCATGGCAAATATGCGACATTACAAAAGGTTATAAAAAATACAAATAAACAAGAATAATTTATTTACAAACACTATTGTAGTGTATTACAATGTAAATTATCACTGTTTTACAGGTTTTCGCCCCGTGGTCTGTGTGTACTGTTATCCAAGTGACAGTCGGTCTATGTGTAAGATTCAAATGTATACCTCGGTCTGTGGCAATGACCGCGGCGTCGCATATATGCGACGCTCAGTAGCAAACGTGTTAATTGCTAAATTTTTAGATTTTTAAGTAACTACACCTATTTTTAACTCTAGCTATCCAGTATTTGGATATTACAACATTTTTTTGGTTTGCACATAGTTTAGCAAAATGTTGTAAGGAATTCTCATCTTTGTTGGAAAAAATTAAAACCCATTAACCATACTACTATTGTTAACAACTTTTTTCTTAAAAAAAAAAGAAGCTGAATCATGTGACTACATGTTGCAGTGATCACACTTGACCGTTTCCTTGTGATAATCTTCCCGTTCAGAGTTCGTCGTCTGGAGATGGCTCGCACTCGTCGCCTCATGGTGTTCGGATGGGCTCTCGCAGGCTTGCTGTCCGCTCTGCCTCTGGCTCATCTAGAGTACTTCCAGTGAGTTTATAGAGATTTCTTATATTGGTATTTACTGAGGTCCAAGAAATTGCCCCTATAATCCAACTCCCATCGTTAGTGCCCTTACGGTTCTGGAGCTTCAAAGGAAAAACTGTGGTGACCGACTCCATAGAATTTAGCCCCCCTCCCCCCAGTAGTAAATAATATGTGAGCGCTAACCGTTGGATGTTGCTAGATAACTGGGGGAGGCTAACATGCACAGTTTTTCGTTATAGCTATTGAACCGTAAGAGCACTAACGTAGGGCGTTAAAGCACAAACTAGCACTAACCATCGATAGGTACCATTTTTATCATTAGTGCTTCTATGGGTGGGGGCCAACTTCACGGACCACATTTCATTTATTCAAGAATAAGATTTTTCAAGAATAAAATTTGTTTAGGTCGTCAATGAACGTAGACTTCTACTACAGTTTCACAATGAACAAGCCCTTGTAATTTCTGGATTAAACTTTGTAGTCTGGGAGATGTAAGATCACCAGATGCAACAAGGTGTTGTGTGGGTGTTTCCATTAACCAGGCAACACGGCAATATAGTAAAGTATCCTTTTGACTTTGGTCTAGCTAAGTATGCCAATTTCTGAATGAGGTTCCATATCAGGTTGCATTATAGAGTGTCCTGATGTACTAGGGTTAAATATAGTAGCCTATATTTCCTTGTGTTAAACTTCAAAAAGACGTGTTAAAAAACAATTGGCCCTATGATCAGTGCTGGATCAGGGCTAGAATAGATAGTGTACATCACACTGAGCTAGAAATACAACTTTATAGCATTGAAATGGCAACTAGAAAATCGAGACACTGTAAAATTTTGTTATGTTGGTATAAACTAGGGAAGTCAGCTCATTGGCTCATGGCTTTAATGTATGTACAATCCCATAATCCCCTGTTACCCTTGTTCACATGTACTAAGGACAATAATTGACTTACAATAATCAATTATAATAATTATTGTAATAATGGCCAACATCTAGCAATTAATTATCTCATTCAGTGCCACCTCCAGCCGTATCTGTAGCTCAGTAGTGTAAATGGTCCAATGGAAATCATAACAGCTGTTTGTAGTGCACTTTAATCCTGAAAATACGACATAGATGAAGAAAATAAGGAAGAGTTATTAGTTTCTGTAGCTAATACAAAGGACCCCAGGCTTCCGTACAGGGAATGTGTGATATTTATGAGAGAAATAACTGATAATATTTTTATTTAAAAAACATTTTCAAGAAGATACGAAGCTTACCAACCACCTATAATTTTTCACATTTACAGCAACTTCTACGGCAGATCAGGAGTGTGCCTTGCCCTTCACATAACACCAGACAAGCCCAACGGATGGGAATACTCCGTATTTGTCTTCCTCTGTGAGTGTACTTGTATGACACCTTTCACTTTGGTTACCAAAGAAGACATCTTAGCTATATGAAGCACAGGGCTTAATTTCTAATTTGAGAAGTACCGGAGCCATGACTCACCGGGGGGTCTGGGGGGTATGGAATACCCCCCAGGGAAAGAGGGGGGTCCGGGAAATTTTTGTAAAAATTGCACTTGAATTGGTGCATTTTAAACACATTTGAGCATGGTTAAGAATGCACATATACAGCATTATATTATATACAAAATAGTAATATAACAGGTGTAAAAATTAAAGAAGTTTGCCAGCAACTAAGCAGAAGCACTTAGTATAGTATGCAGTGTATCCACACGACCAAAACAATAATCCCGCTAACTGGGTTGTAAAATGCCATTCCATGCAGTTTTTTATTATGAAAACTGTCGTTGTATTTCTCATGCAGTTTTTGTTATTTTGTTTATTTCTTCTGAGAGTTAAATTTGACATAGGCCTATAATATTACACATCCACTCCACTGTTCCAATCCAATCCAATCCAATCACGCAGCACGCAGTCAGTGGACTGAGATCATCGATCTGAACGAACACAGACTCAGTCAGTGGCAGTCGGCACCTGGTCGGCAGACGGCACTGTCGGCAGACTGGCTTACAAGTAGGAACACCGTTCCCCGTTGTATAATAAACTTTGAATACTTTGCCCTGAAGTAAAGATTCGGTATTTGACACGATTTTTACAAAGAATTGAAAACCATAAGTCAACAATTGAAAAATAAAAATACTATTTACAGCTAATTAAGATTGATTCAAAAATAAATTATCAATCCAGATAACAGGAGCTTCGCTCCAGTGTCCTGAGAAGTACCGGAGCTGCGCTCCGGTGTGCTCCGGCTGAAATTAAGCCCTGATGAAGCATTATAGAGCAAGTTATTACTCAATGATAACAATTGAATGGAGCCAGTCAAAAGACTGTGCTACAATTAAAATTATATTTTCACTTCCATATTTTATACTGTGTGATAGTCGTTGAGGACGGGCGAAATAATTGATACTATTGTTTACATTGAGTTTCCTTTCAGCTTGACAAGAATAACTGTATTTTCAGCAGCACCCCGTCAGTGATTTATTATCTAAGCTTTTTTACTCTAAAACTATCAAGAACTTAAAAATAGGAGAGGAATGTATTTTTCAAGGTGGTTTTTATATATGTCCATTTAATATTTGTATGCTAAATCTATGTCTGTGATAACACACTCAGGAAATTTGCTGTATCTTTAAAACTAACAAAACATAGGATTGTCAAAGCCATGCCCAAATGAGAGTGTTTTATTCATCCATAGAGATCATAAAGAGCAACTGCATTATCTTCCATTATCTGATTAACAGTCCTGAACATGGTATCTTTCGGCATCATCGCACTAGGCTACCTGTGGATGTTTGTGGCGGCGCGTACCACACAACTGGCAGTGAGCGGTGCCTCCCGTCGGACCACAGAGAGCGCTATGGCGTGGCGCATGACTTTGCTAGTAGCCACCGACGCAGCGTGTTGGGTGCCCATCATAGTGCTTGGGCTTGCGTCTCTGGCCGGGTTCACCGTTCCTCCTCAGGTAGAATTTGTCGTTAACTGTTTCATTTTATGTCATTATTCATTTTAATTTGAGCATTCAATTTCAATAAATCAATCATTTAAACAAGTAAATAAAACCTATCCAATAGTCAATGATAAAACTAAATCAACATCAATAGGTAACTTTAGTGCAAAAATGAATTAACTGAACGCAGTCCTCAACCTAGTAAACGTCTGAATACATGCTACAAGAAACAATTCCAACTAAGTATGCCAATTCTAGTATGCAACGAATGTCCGTTGCACAATGTCCGGAATACACAATGGTATAACCTGTATATCAGAAATCAGAAATAAGAAAATCTATATAGCGTCATTCCTCAACTATTCTGTTTGTTAGGTGTTTGCGTGGGTTTCTGTGTTTGTCTTGCCACTGAATGCAGCCCACAACCCATAATATGCTGTCTACAGCACCATTTAACCTATTCTATTTTTACCTATTCTGTTTGTTAGGTGTTTGCGTGGGTTGCTGTGTTTGTCTTGCCATTGAACGCAGCCTTCAACCCAGTACTCTACACTCTGTCTACTGCGCCATTCATCACCTATTCTGTTTGTTAGGTGTTTGCGTGGGTTGCTGTGTTTGTCTTGCCACTGAGCGCAGCCCACAACCCATAATATGCTGTCTACAGCACCATTTAACCTATTCTATTTTTACCTATTCTGTTTGTTAGGTGTTTGCGTGGGTTGCTGTGTTTGTCTTGCCACTGAGCGCAGCCCACAACCCATAATATGCTGTCTACGGCACCATTTAACCTATTCTATTTTTACCTATTCTGTTTGTTAGGTGTTTGCGTGGGTTGCTGTGTTTGTCTTGCCATTGAACGCAGCCCTCAACCCAGTACTGTACACTCTGTCTACTGCGCCATTTCTCACCCCCGCACTGCTCAAGTTCCGACGATCCTGCAAACTTAACAACTACTCGCCCAACTGTACACTAACTCGTAAATATGGTACAGACTGTTAGTTGATATTATAGCTAGAATTTATTTTACTAAATAGACCTACGGTTTTAATTAGACCTAATAATAAGAGGAATGGTAGTTCTAAATTCAATTATTTAACACGTTCGCTGCTGAGCGCTAGATGCCGGGACGGCGCCAGGTGCTGAACTAACGCTCGGCCGATGCGTGACATTGCCACCGATACACTGAATTACAGTAAAAACATCAGTAGTTATACTGGATGGCAATGTTCTGCAATAAAACTGGCTTTGGATATAGTACTAAGTGATTCTGATAGATAGCAGTACTACCCAGGTTACATTCGGTAAAGTAGTGTCGCTATCTAGCAGGAAAGAGGTGAAACAAAGCCCTGATCCAAACAAACCTGGTGGTGATTTGGGAAACTATATTTTTTATTGTCAGAAAAGTACGTCCCCACGAGCTGCAAAGAAATATAGGACGCTTGTGTCGTGCTGGCCTATCCATAGCAACGTTAAACAACAATGAACGGTGACGTTCTGGAACGTTCTTAGCTCCTGGCGCCGTGGCCCGGCTGACGTTCCGGAACGTCCGTAGCAGCGAACGTGTTAATGTTAAGAAACATTTGCCTAAGACTTAGACATAAGGTTCAATCTTAATTATGGAGAGTAGCTGCTAGTTTAAATGTTTGATGGTAGGAATTCTAGTAATTCTGTGCATTGAACCAGTTTTTATGTCTGAGATTTAAATTTGACTTGGTGACTTCGAGCATAACAACCCACCGGTCCACCTACTATTTCTGTATAGTTCTATGGATTTTTTTTTTAAATTCAGATAAATAAACAGAGAGTAGGCTTGCTAACCCCATACCTTAAATTTAAAGCCAGTTTGTTACAATTTATTATACAAAGTTGTATTGCTTCAATAGCTCCTTGTTCCAACAAAAAACTGTTTCAGCAGTAAGAATTGCTATCAACTTGAAATTTCCTAAATTAATTATTATGAAATTTCCTTTGATTAGCATGAATTGAACAGCCGTATGTAAACTGTATATATACTATACTAAGTAAAATTTATTTTGTTTTTAGGAAGTGCAAGATCTTCAGAGTTCAGCAACAACTCTGTTACTAAAAGAACGTCAATAAGGTATGAACCCAAAACCTTATTTCAATGTTTTACATTTTAAATCACCAAAATTTTCTATGTAGACAAAATATTTTCTTCTGCCTCTTAGCCGGTCGTCCCCCTGAGGAGGTAGCGTATAACTAAAGATTTGTTTTTTTCAATTGTGTTTATGCCCAGTAGTTTGTTCTAAGTTGTGTGGCTCTATCATTATTATTTTTTGTTAATATTTAACCGACCCGGGACTCTTTTCCACCCTGTATAAGTGCTTCTTGTGAATAATTATATGCTCATAGTTATTCTTCAAAAACAATAACTGCTAAAATCGTTCACAGAAACATTGAAAAATTGTTGTCAACTATGTTTTGTTCTATCAAGGTGGCACTCCCGGGTGGACACAGCTGTCTCGGAGCATGGTGAGGTGGTACCACTGAGCCGTCTGGTCACATGACACTCGCCTTCTGGGCGCTCCTCTCGCCACCGCAATCCTCTCTATGACTGACCAATTGTGCTCTCAGAACCAGTTCATATTGAGGAGTTGTTCAGTTTCTTAATCCACATTCCACAGTGTTTGTGGCTTGTGTGTTTTTCAGTAGTTGAAGAGAGACATTTTATGAGATGTCTTTAACTAAGGTAGGTTGTATATAAATCACAAAGTTGTCTTGTATATTTTTACAAATGCTAACAGCAGAGTTTTTCTTCAAACCAATATTATGGGCACCGGTGTGTTTCTCAAGAGACATCATTATGAAAAAAATGGTATTACCAATGACTGTTAGATACTGAAGTAGACATCCCATCTATTGACCAGCTGTTGCAAATTTTCAATCAAGATAGAACATAGTTGTGTGCCGAAGTTGATGGGTCATTACAGTGGCTATAGCTCACAATAAGTCATTCCATTACTTTGCCTTAGTAAAAAGGCTTGTATAGTCGACAGAAATCAGTAATTTAGATCAGCATTGAGGTATAGGATGTACAGAAAACTAATTTAAAACAACCCTATGACAGTGTGAATTAAGTAAACTTTCATAATTTAATTAAATAGTTATACATTCCATCCCCATGTTAAAGTTGTTGCCAGGTTTTTAATCAAATTTGTCTTAGTTGATGTTAGCCACAAACAGATTGTGCTGATCTAAATGACTGATTTCTGTTGAATACACAATGGTTTTTACAAAGTAAAACTGATGGAACGACTTTTTATGAGCTATAGCAACTGTTGTGACCCAGCAACTATGTCAGTAACAAAAAATAAGGTACAAAATAGTTTTAGACACTAGCGCAATCTGTGACTGGCTCACACAACTACATTCATTTTTAGTAAAATATTGGCGACAGCTGATCCATTTAGATGAGTTGTCTTCATAGTACTGTTAGGGAAATGGTTTCATAATATTGTATATTATCAAAGATTACATATATATTATGTTAAAAAAATGTATGGTCAGCTGAATTTTATTTGTGTTTCAAGTAGATTTTCAACAAACTACCTATGTTCATTTTAATTTGGGTATTAGGTTAGTTTATTCAACATCAAAAGATAATTTCTGTAAGTAGATAATAATCTATTTGTAAACTTTGGTACCGATACCCAATTTACGGGTTCATCATAATAATTATGGCCCTAGTTATAATAGTTTAGCTTGCAGTGTAAACACCAGCGTAAACGTTTATCTTAATTCTAAATTTTGTTCAAGAAATCAAGTAGTTGAAACTTATTTTACTTTGTAAATCTATATCTATATCTATCTATTACTTATTTAATACGCAAGCAGGAATTTTGTGACAATTACTCCCCCGAAACTACTGAACCGATTGACATGTTTTTGGTGTCATTGGAAAGAGCGTAACGTGAAGTTGTGCAGGAAACTTTCTTTTTAGGGAAATAATTAGAGAGTAAGGCCCTGGGGCCCTTTAAAGTTTCGTATTTCTCCATAAGATTAACATGGGAAACAAAAATTGTTTTGAAACTCCAGCTGTTGTCAGAAATTAAATATTGATAATTGGTCTCCATGGAAGCATGAGAAAATTCACAATGTTTACTTTTGCTTTGACATTTAAATGTAAACAACCAGAACTGTCAAATGCCTATTTCACAATTTTAGACAGCTGATAAAAAAATAAAACAACTATGTGGTAGGTTTATTTAATCTTAAACTGTATGATAGATTATTATAAATCTATTTCAATAATTATGAAACAAATTTTTCCCGTTGCGAAGCAAAAATTAATAGTGAGAAGAAAAAGTTATGTTTTAAACAGTCAATGTGTAAATTATCAAAGTTGTATTAAAAATGTGTATAGTTTTGGATGTTGGTTTGTGTTTAATGATATAAGTTAGTTATTAAATTTTTATTTTAAGTTTTAAGGATTTGGCATATGACTAAGCCTATGATAAATAACACCATTTCAGATTTCTGCCAGTTATTGCCTAACTCTGTCTTGTAGAGTTTAAAGTAGCCTACACCTTATTGTCTACAAATTGGCTAGATAACTTAGGTACGGTACTTAATAAAAGCTGACAGCCTTTTTACGTTGACCTTAAATTGTAAGCTTACCTTTTCCCGTCCATGGGCAGTTTGATTGTTAAAAATTCACCCTTTAAAATGGAAAAGGACTGTTATGTAAATTGTAAGTATTTCCATTGGTTGATAATCTTTTAGTTGGCTCTTTTGCTCTTTTAAAATCATTGGAAATTATGACTGTTATAAGTTTTCAACCAAGTAATTTGTTTGTAAATAACTCCTGTACTTTTTTACAATTGCTCGATTTCGAGCAGCATGTACACTAGTACTTATTTAATACACAAGCAGGTTTTTTGTGACAATTACTCCTCCGAAACTACTGAACCGATTGACATGTTTTTGGTGTCATTGGAAAGAGCGTAACGTGAAGTTGTGCAGGAAACATTCTTTTTAGGGAAATAATTAGAGAGTGAGGCCTGGTGGCCCTTTAAAGTTTCGTATTTTTCCATAAGAATAACATGGGAAACAAACATTGTTATTAAACTACAGCTGTTGTCAGAAATGCTGTTCTGCTATTTAATTTAATTTGTTTACCAGGAGAATTGTTTCTTTGGTGCCATGTGTTTAATGAATCATACTTTTGCATATATTTTAAATGTTATATACTATATAAAATGATAGTACTGTAATACATTAAGAGATCTTAATTTAAATAATCAATAAGCAGGATTGAGCTTTTGCCTATATGTTTCCTGATAAGTTTGTGTATCCTGTGGTAAGTGTGTTGTATCTGTTTCCGTTTCCCAAAGTATATTATAGTATCTTAAAGTAAAACAGAATTTTTCTTTTCTGCATTCTCACCCCGTAGCGAAGCACGGGCAGAGCAACTAGTAGTATTTAATTGTCCTAAACAATTTTATATTTCACTACAAAATGTACTAAAACACATATTTGGCGGTTATAATTTGTTTATTTTAGTGGAAACACAATGACTATATAAATGAGTACACATTTGGTGTAGGAACATAAACAAGTTTCATTTAGTCAATGAACCAATATTGACATTGACAAAATTTTTACTCAATTAGGCCTAGTTAATTGTTTGGTTTTTTTTTTTTTAACAATTTTTGTTCAAAATAATTAGTATTCATAGGATTAATTCAAGTACAAGATGTAAATGAAAATACTTAAAATAATTCTTGTAAATAGGTTGAGTGTGCTGTAATTTATCTTATAAATATGACTGTGGTCTATATTTTTTATCTGAATAAAATATCATTTTCTGGTATTTGTGTGAGTATTTTAAAAATTCATTTTACCTTTGCCCTACCATTTTCATATTACTGTATAATTTTTTTCATGCATTTTATCATTTTCAATAGCATTAGGTATATGGAGCCAATGACACAAATGTTCAATGTTTGAGCCTACATGAGTAAAAGAAAAGTAAGTATGAAGTTGTTTGCTTTAAGCGAATTTTTCCTATAGGGAAGATCATCTAATAGCTTCGAAGCTATTAATGTAAGAAGGTAAGGTGGGACCTAAGCCCGGGACGACTTACTTTTAATTTTGATGTCTTCAAAAGCCAAAAACACTATTCGTCAAAATTCATATATATATTTAAAATAAATATAACGATTTGGTACTTTAGTATAATGTGGAGGCCACCCTTATACAGTGCTTATGTACAGCTATGGTAAGTTAGGTTATCATGAATATGTTTGTAGGGCTTTCCTGGTTTCGTTATGAATCGAACTATACCAGTACCAAACAAGAAGTGTAGGACATATATGTTCATTGATATAATAATTATAATTACATATAATTGAAATAATGCATGTTTCTTCATATAGCCTAGTTCTTAGTTTTTTTTTTAGGATTTTCCACATAAATTGCATTAATGATGTCGCTCTTCTGTGTGAACTAATCTATGACTCTTCATATGTACATTATATTGAAGTTGTATGCATTAGTTGAACTAATGCATGTTTTTTCATATAGTCCTTATTTTTAAAGGATTTTACACATATATTACACTTATGAGGTTGCTCTTTGGTGTGACGTAATGTAAAACTATTCATACCTTCCTTAGTTTTGAAGGATGTTCCAAATGTAGTGCACTTGTGACTTCGCTCTTTGTGTGAATTTATGTACATATTGCCCTTAGCTCTTAAGGATATTCCACATATAATACATTTTGAGGTCGCTCTCCGGTGTGTACTAATTTATGCCTGTTTACATGGCAACTTGTTTAGAATTATTTTCCACATACAGCACACTAATGAGGTCGCTCTTCAGTGTGAACTAATGTATGTCTCTTCATACTTCCCTTATATTTGAATGATGCTCCACATATAGTGCAATTATGAGGTCGCTCTTCTGTGTGAACTAATAGATGTTGCTTCATATCTGCCTTAGTTTTGAAGGATTTTCCACATATAGTGCACTTATGAGGTCGCTCTTCTGTGTGAACTAATGTGTGTTTCCTCAAATAGTCCTTACTTTTGAAGGATTTTTCACATATAGTGCACTTATAAGGTTGGTCTTCTTTGTGAATTAATGTATGTTTTCTCATATTGTCCCTATTTTTTAAGAATTTTCCACATGTAGTACACTTAAAAAACTGCTCTTCTGTGTGAACTAATATATGTTGCTTTATCTTGGCCTTAGTTTTGAAGGATTTTCCACATATAGTACACTTAAGAGGTCTCTCTTCTGTGTGCAATAATGTATGTTGCTTCATGTAAGTAATGGTTTTGAAGGATTTTCCACATATAGTGCACTTATGAGGTCGCTCTTCTGTGTGAACTAATGTATGTTTCCTCAAATAGTCCGTACTTTTGAAGGATTTTTCACATATAGTGCACTTATGAAGTTGATCTTCTTTGTGAGGTTGCTCTTCTTAGTGAATTAATGTATGTTTCCTCATATTCTCCTTAGTTTTAAAGAATCTTCCACATGTAGTACACTTGTGAAGTTGCTCTTTTTTGTGAATTAATGTATGTTTCATCATATTGTCCTTAGTTTTAAAGAATTTTCCACATGTAGCACACTTACGAAGTCGCTCTTCTGTGTGAGATAATATATGTTGCTTTATATTGGCCTTAGTTTTGAAGGATTTTCCATATATATTGCACTTATGAGGTCGCTCTTTTGTGTGCACAAATGTATGTTGCTTCATGATAGTAATGGTTTTGAAGGATTTTCCACATAGAGAGCAATTATAAGGGCAATTCACAGAATGAGTCAACAAATGATCCTTTACATAATTTAGATGAACAAATGTTTTCTCACAAGTTAAACATCTAAAGGGACGCTCGCCCGTGTGTAAATATATGTGATTTTTCATTGCAAATAGAGTTGAAAACATTTTTCTACATATTGGACACTCAAGCGAAGCCTTTTTAGTGATCTTTAACATGTTTTATTCTTCAATTTCTGACTTTTAACTTTTTAGACATATGCTAGAAACTGATTGAAATCATTTGGTTGGCTTTTTCTGTTTGATTTGTTTAATGTTTGACAGTTATTTACATGTATCAATCAACTTTTAAACAAATCTTGATCAAATATTGTTATGTGTATTAAATGGCTTACAACATAGCCTACTCGAGACAATTTTATTTTTTTGCATGACTTATGTTCCATAATATTTTAAGACTACTTTTTTAAAAGACAACATTGCTCCTATGTTCCTTTTTTCAAATTATATTGGATCAGCCATATAAAACCATGTAGCCTATTCTTTAAATTTAATTTTATGTAGTGGATCACTTACTTTCATTTCCACTTTCAGTGTAGTAAAGACTTAATCTTTTTAGTTGCTGTTTAATGTATTATATCAGATTATGTAAATTATCTTTCTTGCAAAATGAATTAAGGTTCCTTCTCCTCTTCAAATTATTGCCTCTTCTGAAAAAGACCATATTTTATTAGTTAAAAATATATTTGTTGTGATCATTTAAGTAATTTTTTTTATTTTACAATGATTTCAAAACATTGCAAAATGTATACGTAATGTTCTATATCCAGATTATCATAATAATGCAAGATATGAATCAAAAATGCAATTTCAATTAATTTAATCAAAGAACGTATAGGACCGGGTGTCCATAAAATAATCAAATTCAAAATACTTTTTTTTAACATAAAGATGAATGCATGCTACTACAAATTGCATAGATTGAAAAAGAGACCTTACACATTTGGTTTGAGAAGTAGTACCATGGCACACCTTATGATAGTTTGGTATGCAGATGACATGGATGCTGGCTATCATGCTTGCCTTTGAAGAAACTTAATCTGGACATGTCCCCACAAGAATTTAGAGATGCCCTTGCTCTACGTTATGGGAAAACACAAATAAACCTCCCATTAAAATGTGAAGGATGCGGAAATGAGTTCGATACGGAGCATGCTCTAAAATGTTGAAATGGTGGTCTGATAATAAAAAGACACAATGAAGTAAGAAACACAATAGGTAACATGATGGAACAAGCCTGGGGAAACTGCATTAAAGAGCCATTGATAGCAGAAGGCAGTCATCTCAACGAACCTGCACTAAAAGCTGATTTAGCTTGTAGAGGCGTATGGGAGACTCATATGGAGGCATTGTTTGATGTTCGTGTCGTTGGCACTGATGCTCCATCTTATGTCTCTATCCCTCATCAACAAGTTATAAAAAAAACGGAAGATGAAAAAAAAAGTATACTAAAGCTTGCGAACAACGACATGCATAATTTACTCCTCTTGTCACAAGTGTTGATGGAATTTTTGAGAATGAGTTCCAAATGTTTTTAAGGGTTATGGCTGAAAAACTATTAGAGAAATGGAAAAAACCATACAGTTTGGTAATAAGTTGGATAAGATCAAGAACAATTTGTGCTGATTTAAGGGCAACCAGTATGTGTTTGAGGCGAAAAAGAAAGAAATGGCGGTCAGCGAGAGAATTTGAAGATGGAGCTGGGATTCCAAATTTTTTTGTGTAAAAATTAATTGTCAATTTCTAATTTTACAGTTCTCTCCTTTTTTTTGTTAACCTTTACAATAAAGTGAAAGGTTGCAGCTTCATCACTGAATACCAGATGAATAGCAAAATGTTCATCTTCTAAGCAGTTTTGAAGTCAGGTGAGCAGCTCAACACTACGGAGCATGTGGCAAGGGACAGTATGTTTAAATAAAAATGTGGTTTTCTAGCTTCTAACTTATAATTATTTTTTATTTATTTATATAACATCATCACATTACATCAATTCTCTTGACAAGTTATTTGTCACAAAGTCTAATAGCACATTTTAAAATCTTAAAATAGCTTAGAAAATAAATAAAACAAATCATTAGGCTACAAACCTATGGTAGAAGAAATATCTTTCAAATATACGCATCTTCGAGTTATTCTTCTAGTGAGTAAAACGCCCTCTCAAGAAGAAATGTGTTTTAAGATAATTTAAATTTAGAGAATGAGGAAATGTTTTTAATCTCAGCAACCCATTGCGATTAAAAACATTGCCCCATTCTCAAAACTTAAGAACACATCTAATATAAACATCTTCCAGATATTCTGTTAGTGAGTAAGATGGCTACTCAAAAAGAAATGTTTTAAGATAATTTAAATTGAGAGAACAAGGCAATGTTTTTAATCTCAGCGGGTAATTTTTTAACATTTTTGTTCCTGTACACTGAGGGGATGAAAGATTTTAAGACTTTGTTAAACTGGTTTTATAATATTTTTGAATCTTGTGTTATGTGGATGAGATTATTGACAGTCCATGAATGTGCCGAAATCAATTTTAAACATTAATGGTGATTTGTAAAGAAAGAGCTAAAAAATAATGCGTGATATAGGTTGCACTTTGATAGGTTTTTAACGTGTTTTTGCCAAATTAGTTGTGAATCGATATCAATTCCAAATACTTTATTGTTTTTATGTAAATAAATTGAAGTTAAATTTGTATTTAAAATGATTTCTAGGTTTTTGGGGACGTTTATATTTAAAAAGGTACTTACAGAGGTGCTTCTCGTAAAAAATTCAGACGTTTAAAATAATAAAATATTTACCAACTTAGTAGTTTCTAGGGACAATTTAGTTAGATTTTGATTTTATCATAAAATACTAGCCTCTATACCCTTTAAGTAAAACCATTTTGTTATTTTTAAAATTTAGAATGCAATTCATAAACATCCATTTCTGATTTTAGATTCAATATTCATTCGTACCAAGTACAGCATCTTATCTTTGACTTTTAAAACAAAATTCAACTGGTAGGTCTCTCTAGCATAAACATACCTGTTTGCTGAGACTTATTTAGACTCTTTCGTTCTCTTATGAAGTCTGCTCAAACAGCGGACTTGTTTCAAACCACCAATGCATGTGACTTTCCACTCTGGGTGTAATAATAAAAACTCTCTGTTGCAGCCTAAAGTTTTTATTTCATTTTTGAATATAAAACTAAACAAACACGTATGTATGGTGTGAAACAATGGAGATAACAAAGGGCAGGAAGAAGACTAACAAGAACAGGGACATCCTTTTCAAAAACATTTATAATGCATAGGTATAGACTAACCAACACAACCTCGAAGAGCTTAACACCTGGAAACTTAATTTTAAACCTTTTGTGGCATACATGGAAAATATTAAGCCGGTACGGGAATTAATATACAATTCCCGTACCGGCTTAATATTTTCTAAACGACAACAGATAAATCAATAAGATTTCGGACATCAACAGCACCTAAAACTCTTTTTTTAAGGACTATTCATATCACTATTCATATTCAGGTCTGTCATATCATTATGGGGACGTCTCGCAAGGAGTCAGAAGGAAATCTTAAATAGAAGCGTAAATTAATATGTACATCACATTAAAGACCTTTACTAGCAGAATATAATACTGCAAATTTGAACCCAAACGGATAACTGAGTAAAAAATACCAGCCGTTCAAAGATTTCTTGAATCTGCCGTTTTGAATATTTTAACAACCGCCATTTTTTACGCAGTTGTTCTTTTGGTTTGAATTTACGGAATTGTAATTTACCTTTAATTTGGTGTCCATATCGACCCATGCTTACCTTTTACGCTTTTCTTCCGATTCCTAGCGGCTGCCCCCCTGCGGAGGTATAGGCCTGATTGTAAATTCAATGCATATTTGAACTGCTGTCATTTTTTTACTCTGTTGTCTGTTTGAGTTCAAATTTGCGGCATTATATTCTGCTAGAAAAGGTCTTTAATTCGATCTACATATGCTTCTTTTTAAAATTTCCTTCTGTCTCCTTGTGGGACGTCTCCATGATATGACGGAAAATTGATAGTTCCTTAAAAAATTAGATTTTTAGGTATGGTGTTGATGTACCAAATCTTATTGATTTATCTGTTCTTTTAGAAAATATTAAGCTGGTGCGGGACTTTACATACACCCTGTATAATCAATGATGTACTTTCAACGTATAATTCTAACCTTTCAAGGATGCGGAAACCCATGTTGTATCTTATTTACAATACATTCCACTAACAATAAACCTACTAGAGTATGTGTCAGATTGTTGATACCGTTTATTTTTAGTTCCCATTCATATATTAGACATCATGATATAGTTTCCAGCCAAAATACAATTCTAAAGTAGCTAGGTTAACAACTTGAGGTAAAATAATATAGACCATATAGATCCTACTCGGGATTCAAAAGCCATGTATTAGGTTCCTAGGAAGGGTTATTTTGCCTTTCCGTGATATTCTATTGCCCCAATATCACGAAATTTGTGTGTGTGAGAATTTTTTTGTTAATTTGTTCACTTTTATAAACCCTAACCTATAATGGATCTTATAAAGGATGCCATTAACCAGGAAGTAGTGGACCAATTTTTGTTGGCCGTGAAATGGTGGAACTGTAATGGAAGAGTTTAAGAAATAATTGAAACCTGCATAAATGAAAATCAACGCCACATTTGATATTTTCTAAATGTAAAGGATATCTGACAAGTGTAGCATAATCAAATCAAATCAAATCAAATCATACTATGTTTAGTAAATAGTTCGCTCTCCAGTGTGTACCAATGTATAAATCTACATATTGTCCTTATTTATTAAGATTTATCACATAAAGTACACTTATGAGGTCACTTCTCTGTGTGAATTGATGTATGACTCTTTATATGTTCCTTAGTTTTGGAGGATGTTCCACATATAGTGCACTTATGAGGTCGCTCTTCTGTGTGAACTAATAAATGTTGATTCATATTGTCCTTAGCTCTTGAACATTTTCAAAGTACATTATGAGATCACTCAACGGTGTGTACTAATTTATGCCTCTTTACATTACCACTTGTTTGGAATGATCTTCCACATACATTACACTGATGAGGTCGCTCTCCCGTGTGAACCAATGTATGTAACTTCAACTTAGTAATGGTCTTGAAGGATTTTCCACATATAGTGCACTTATGAGGTCGCTCGTCTGTGTGAACTAATGTATGTTTCTTCAAATAGTCCTTAGTTTTGAAGGATTTTCCACATATAGTGCACTTATGAGGTTGCTCTTCTTTGTGAATTAATGTATGTTTCATCATATCGGACTTAGTTTTAAAGGATTTTCCACATGTAGTGCACTTATGATGTCGCTCTCTGGTGTGGTATAATGTATGAATTTTCATTTTAGCAGTGGTTTTGAAAGATTTTTCACATATAGTGCACTTGTACGGTTGCTCTTCTTTGTGAACTAATGTATGTTTCTTCAAATAGTCCTTAGTTTTGAAGGATTTTCCACAAATAGTACACTTATGAGGTCGCTCTCCTGTGTGTTCTAATGTATGAATTTTCATTTTAGCAGTGGTTTTGAAAGATTTTTCACATATAGTGCACTTGTACGGTTGCTCTTCTTTGTGAACTAATGTATGTTGCTTCATATGTTCCTTAGTTTTGAAGGATTTTCCACAAATAGTACACTTATGAGGTCGCTCTCCTGTGTGATCTAATGTATGAATTTTCATTTTAGCAGTGGTTTTGAAGGATTTTCCACATATAGTACACTTATGAGGTCGCTCTCCTGTGTGATCTAATGAATGAATCTTCATATTTTTCTTAGTTTTGAAGGGTTTTCCACATATAGTGCAATTATAAGGATATTTCTCAGAATGTGCCAATAAATGATTCTTTATATGATGTAGTTGAACAAATGTTTTCTCACATGTCAAACATCTAAAGGGACGCTCGCTGGTGTGTAAATATATGTGACTTTTCATTGTAAATGTAGTTGAAAACGTTTTTCTACATATTGGACACTCAAGCAAAGGCTTTTTAGTGATCTTTACCATGTTTCAGTCTTTAATTTCTGACTTCTAACTTTTTAGACATTGGAATTAGTAGATTTGCTTTGTATGTCTATTTCTGTTTGATTTGTTAAATGTTTGACAGTTATTTGTTATTTACATATGTATCAATCAACTTTAAAACACCTTTTGATCAAATATTGTTATGTGTATTAAATGGCTTACAACATAGCCTAATCGAGGCAATTTGATTTTCTTTCTTGGCTTTTATGTTTCATTATATTAAATTAGCCTACTTATTTAAAAGAAAAAGTTGCTTCTAGGTTCCTTTTTTTCTTCAAATAATATTGTATTAGCAACATAAATAGTCATGTAGGTCTATAATTTAAATTGAGGTTTTATGTAGTGGATGACTTACTTTCATTTCTACTTTAAGTGTAGTAAAGACTTAATCTTTTTAGCTGTTGTTTAAAGTAGTATATCAGATTATGTCAATTATCTTTCTTGTAACATGAATTAAGGTTCCTTCTCTTCTTCAAATCTATATCCTCTTCTGAAAAAGACAACATTTTATTAATTATATACATTTGTTGTAATCATTTAGGTATAATTTATTATTTTAACAATGTTTTTAAAAAATTACAAAAATGTGTACCTACTGTACTATATATATATATCCAGGTTATCATAATAATGCAAAGATAGAATCATAAATGCAATTAAAACGTACGTAATCTGATTAAGTATAGGAGTGGGTGTCTATAAAATTATCAGATTTAAAACACTTTTTTAACATACAGATACATGAATGCTACTACAAATTGCATGGATTGAAAAAGAAATCTCACAAGTTTGGTTTGATATATCTAAATTTCCTCAACATGCTGCATGGTTGTGGTAAATCATATTTGCAGTCTATGTTGCAACTCTGCACAACGTTGGTAAGCATATTCTGGCTTAATGTTGTCATTGCAACATGAATTCTTTCTCACAGTTTGGAGGGGTTTGAGCTATTGGCAAGATGTCCTCAGTATATTCTTGTCTTTCACATAGACCCAGAGAAAGAAATGCCCGAAAAGGCCCGAAATTGGGGTGAACACGTTAGAAGACTAATCAGCACACAGGCTGATCCAACCATCAGGGAGCCTCTCATTTAAAAAACTTAAGACATCGCAACACCAATGAAGTGGAGCCATGTCCTGTTTGAACATGTCATCCATGTCCTTCTCAAGTGGAAACAACCATTACTCCTCCAGCATATCCAGCTATGCAACATCATTTACATTTTTTTCTGCAAAGAAACATGTGCGATTCACGTTGGTCTTTGACACCGCACAAGAGACATTCGGTTTCGAATCCCTTTCAAGTTGCATAAATGCATGCGGAGTCTCAGCTGCCCAAAAGTGCACATTATACTAGTTTTCCACTAAAGTGAAAGGTTGCTGTTTCATCGCTGAATACCAGATGAGTAGAACAATTCTCATCTTCTAAGCAATTTTGAAGTCAGGTGAGCAGCATGACACCACGGAGCAAGTCGCAAGGGTCAGTATGTTCAAGTAAAAATGTAATTTTCTAGTTTTTCACTTATATTTATTATTTATTTATTAAACATCATCACATTACATCAATTCCCTTGACATGTGATTTGTCACAAAGTCTAATACTACATTTTAAAATCTTTCAACCCACTCAGATTTAAAACATTGCCTAATTCATTAAACCTATGAACACATCAAATATTTAAATCTTCAAGACATTCTTTTAGTGAGTAAAATGCCCTCTTTAAAAAATATATTTTTTTAAAGATGATTTAAATTTAGAGAATGAGGCAATAATAATGTGTTTAATCTCAGCGGGTTGCTGTGATTAAAAACATTGCTGCATTCTCTAAACTTAAGAACACATCTAATATACATATCTTCCAGATATTCTTTTAGTGATTAAACTGCCCTCTCAAAAAGAAATTATTTTTAAGATAATTTAAATTTAGAGAACAAGGCAATGTTTTTTAATCTCAGCGGGTAATTTTTTGTACATTTTTGGTACTGTATACTTTAGGGATAAATGGACGATTTTAAGCTTTTGTTGAACTGGTTTTATAATATTTTTGAAACTCTTGTTATGTGGATGAGATTTTTGATAGTCCATAAATGTGCCGAAATTACTTTTAACCTTTAATGGTGATTTTTAAAGAGCTAAAAAAGGTTAACATGTTAAACTAAAAAAAATAAATCATTACAGTGTGTTCTACGGGGTCCTCTGGCCCCTATAGAATGTGTATAGCTATTTTTCAGACAATAAATATATTTTGGCCTTGCTTGATGAGTCCCATTAGTAATCACATGATTCATAGTCATTGAAAAATATGAGTGATATACTTTTATTTGTGTTTCTAGATTGGTAGTATCTCGAACTATTGTAAGAACAAATGTTGCTGAGTACTCTTTTTTGATAGGGTTTTAATGTGTTTTTGCCAAATTACTTGAAATATCAATTCGCAAATAACTTATTGACTGTTTTGAGTGAATTCAAGTAAAGTTTGTATAACACGATTTCTTGGTTTTAGAGACGTTTATATTTAATAAGGTATTCAGGTGATTATTATTCCGGAATTCCAGGTGGATTTTTGTCAAGACGGGAACCTATTTTTTTCAAAGTTTTTTAATCCCGAAAAATGTTTGTAAAATCTTCTTGCTGTATTAGCAAAATCTGCATAATCTACAACAATCCAACCAAGCCCATTCTAGTTTTGGATGAATTGTAATAAAACAACGTGGGACTGATAATGGTTCATGATGTCCCTACAATCACAAGATATAACCATGGTATTGCACATCCAGGATACGATCACAACGTCACATTGTTGGAGATGATTATTAGTGATTATTATTTACAGTCAGAGGTTTTTTTCATAAAAAATGCAGTCGTTTATATAATGAAACATTGGCCAATTTACTAGTATCTGTTGCGATTAGTAATATCATAGACTAACCAACACAAGTAGACTTCTCATCCCATAGTACATTTTGAAGCACATTTTTCGTGTCTAGTTCATGTACGTGACACATGGGCGCTAGTGTCGACGAAACTTTGTTTCTATTATTTAAGGTTTAATTTCTTGATTTGTGCTTTACTGTTTGGTTATATAACTAGGGGACAAGTTATTGTTTATGATTAGATCGTATTATTTGGTTAAACGAGGTTTTAAATGGCTGTAATAACGGGAAACAAATTGTAAACAAAACACGACCTCTACATAAACCGTACAGAACTAACAATAAAATTGTCTTCGGCTGTTCCATAAGGATGAGAAATCTACTAAGGGAGTATGTTTTATCTATGGTAATATCTCTATCATGTTTCTAACAGTCTGTGTTAAATATTAATTTATTTTTTATTAACAGATGATTAGTTTGTGTTAAAGTTTATTTTTTTTTTTATAAACAAACCATTCAGGTTTTTGTTTAAATAACTTTTTTTCTAGTTTTATAGTTAGTGATTAATTGCAGATTCTCGGATATCCAGCCATTTGTCAAAGCTCAAAAACCTATGGAATGATCTAAAACTAGAAATTGGTAAAGACACTCAAAGTAACTGTTACTTACCTGAATTATTTCTAATTTTCAAAATTATAGACACTTTACCGGAGGAGTTTTTCTCATTTAAGTCTAGTTGGATGGAGAAATCTGATAGAACTATTGACACACTTACTATACAGCTTTGTGCATATGAAAAAGCATTGAATGCCAGAAATGAGCAAAACTGCAGTGAGACTTTAGTGGTAAAGTCTGGAAGAAAGATTAATGACCATGGCTTTGGTGAGAATTCAGAAGTGTAAAGGACAGTAGACAAAAGAAATGTTTAGTTTGCCATTATTGTAAGCAATCAGGTCATTAAGTTAAGCAATGTAATAAGTGGAAAGCTAATGGTAGGCAAGCCAAACCTTCTAATCAGATATCTTTGATCTTTAGCGAATCAGAGGGAGAAGATTCTGGAAAGAACATGGGTTTCATGACATTCAGTCAAGTAAATTTAACTGAAGGCTCTGGTGGAGATTGATGGTTATAGATAACAGTCATTACGTAACTTTTAAAGATTTATTTCAGACCTTTGAGCCCTTTGTAGACAGTCTAGTGATGAAGATAGCAAATGGAGAGTCAATCTGTGCTCTAGGAAAAGGCACTGTAGAGGTGGAAGCAGCATTAATTGGAAAGTGGATGAAACATAAATATCTCTATGTCTGGTATTGCTTGATGCTGGTATCCATGCTAGTATGTCTGGTATTCTTAATACCTAGTATTAAGACAAACCCTATTTTTGCCAAAAGGGTTGCCTTGCAATATATATAAAATGTTTAATTGAAAGGTAAGGGGAGAAAGGGGGTGAATGGGAGCTTAACGTTGAATTCAGAAAAATTGTGGCCTCCACGTCAATAGATGATTCCCGCAAAGTGCATATGTCTATCTATTGCAGTATTTACATAAATAAAGAAGCAAGTTTTTTTTTTTAACAACCTGTATAACACTTAACACATGCCTTTCTAGAATCACCAAATTTACTACAGTATTTCTATTTCACATTCAAACAGGCATTCAAAGACTTAATGGCCTACAAACCTCACCAATGCACTTTATAAAGACTTGCCTTGATTCTCAAGCAGAAGTTAAATTTTAAAAAAAATGAGATAAAAACCTTCAGCTGACAATTCAACTTATTAAAAACGACAATCAATTGTTACTTTAAGAGCTAAGTGAACTAAAGTGTGCTAAAAACTGTACGGTACACATTGTTTTGCATCTGTATAAGATGTGCCAACAATAACTCAACCTGCTCACTGTGATAACACCCTATTCTATTCCCATGGTTAGGTCTAATACAAAAAAGGTTGTGAGTCAATGCACAGCCATTGTAAAATCCATTATCTCATTGCCTGCAACAAGTTGTAAAACAAAAGATGCTCCTGGGCATAAGCGCCCATTGGGGGTGTACCAAAGGAATTAGGAAGTAAATTTATTACCTGAAATGTTGTATAATTATGTTTATTAATTAGAAATTTATGAAAGTACGTTTCATAATGGTCTTTACAAAAACATTAGTATCTATTAATATTTCAATGAAAACAGTACTTTATTTGGGCTATAGATGTACCATTTTTATACTTTAACAATGCTATTCAAAAACAACAAAAACATAAACTCTTTTGGTTGTTATAGGCTTTACTCAACTGTAAATGTAGGGTTCCTTTATATTTGCTTATCTGGTTGATTTTACTATAAAAAATAAACATAATAACTTAATTTTAAGTAATATGTATGATATTCACTAATATCATACTAATAACATATGAACTTATGTATGATATTCACAGCTTATTAATCACACTGAGCTTATAACCTTCAATCTAGCCCCAATTCCTACGTGATATTTTATATTATGTTACAGAAATGTCAGGTCGGCCGAATTTTATTTGCGTTTAATTTAGATTCTCAACTAACTATGTTCATTTTAATTTGGGTACTAGGTTAGTTTATATTATACTTCAAAAAATCATTTCCTTAAGTAGATATTAAACTTTGGTACCCATTTTACGGGTTCAACATAATAATTATGGCCCTAGTTAATAATTTAGCTGTCAGTGTTACTGTAAACTTTTATTTAATTTCTAATTTTTGTTAAAGAAATTAAGTAGTTGAAACTTATTTTACTTTGTAAATAATTAATAGTCCTAAACAATTTTATATTTCACTACAAAATGTACTAAAACACATATTTGACGGTTATAATTTGTTTATTTTAGTGGAAACCCAATGACTATATAAATGAGTACACATTTGGTGTGGAATATAAACAAGTTGTCATTTAGTCAATAAACCACTATTGACATTGACAACATTTATACTTAATCAGTTAATTGATTGGTTTTTTGGTTGAACAATTTTCGTTCAAAATAATTAGTATTTATAGGATTAATTCAAGTACAAGATGTAAATGAAAATACTTAAAAATTCTTGTAAATAGGTTGATTGTGCTGTAATTTATCTTATAAAATTGACTGCATATTTTTTATCTGAAATATCATTTTCTGGTATTTGTGTGGGTATTTTAAAATTAATTTTAACCTTTGTCCTACCATTTTCACATTACTTTATAATTTTGTATCATGCATTTTATCATTTTCAATATCATATGGTATATGGAGCCAAGGACACAAAAGTTTATTCATAGATAAAACATAGTCCCTTAGTAGATTTCCCATCCTTATGGAACAGCTGAAGCCAATTTTATTGTTAGTTCTGTCCGGTTTTTTGGAGATGTCGTGTTTTGTTTACAATTTGTTTCTATTATTTTATTGTTAGTTTCTCATTATTTGTTACTCTGTGTTTGGTTATATAGCTAGAGTTATTGTTTATGATTAGATACTTTTATTTGGATAAACAAGGTTTTAAATTACTGAAATAACAAGAAACAAATTGTAAACAAAACACAACATCTACAGAAAACCGGACAGAACTAACAATAAAATTGGCTTCAGCTGTTCCATAAGGATGGTAAATCTTTATCATAGATAAAACATTGTGTTGGTTGGTCTATGGTTTTATCTATGGTTTAATTGTAGAGCCAATATGAATAAAAGGGAAGTAAGTATGAAGTTGTTTTCTTTAAGCAAATTTTTCCTATAGGGAAGACCATGTAATAGCTTCGAAGCTATTGATGTAAGATGGTAAGGTGGGACCTAGACCCGGGACGACTTACATTTAATTTTGATATCTTCAAAAGCCAAAAACACTATTCGTTAAAATTCATATATGTTTATCATAAATATAACAATTTGGTACTTTAGTATAATGCGGAGGCCACCCTTATACAGCGCTTATGTATGGCTATACAGTATAAGGTTAGGTTATCATGAATATATGTTTGTAGGACTTTCCTGGTTTCGTTATGGTTTCAAACTATACCAGTATCAGACAAGGAGTGTAGGAGTGTAGGACATATGTGTTCATTGATATAATAATAATTATAACATATAATTGAAATAATGTATGTCCCTTTATAAAGTCCTTAGTTTTATAGTGCACTTACTAATGTATGACTCTTAATACCTTCCTTAGTTTTGAATGATGTTCCACATATAGTGAACTTGTAAGGTCGCTCTTCTTTGTGGCTAATGTATGTTTCATCATATTGTCCTTAGTTTTAAAGATTTTCCACATGTAGTGCAGTTATATTGTCGCTCTCCAGTATGAACGAATGTATGACTCTTCATAATTACCTTTCTTTTGAAGGACTTTCCACATATAGTACACTTATGAGGTAGCTCTCCGGTGTGATCTAATGTATGACTCTTAATACAATTCTTAGTTTTGAAAGATTTTCCACATATTATGCAATTATGAGGTCGCTCTTCTGTGAGACCTAATACATGGTGCTTCATATTGTTTACGGTTTTGAATGATTTTCCACATATAGTGCACTTATGATGTCGCTTTCTGGTGTGAACAAATTTATGACCTTTCATAATTTCCTTAGTTTTGAACGAAGTTCCACATATAGTACACTCATGAGGACGCTCTTCTGTGTGAACTAATGTATGACTCTTCATATTGTTCTTAATTTTGAAGGAGGTTCCCCATGCATTGCACTTGTGAACTTGCTCTTTGTGTAAACTAATGTATGTTGCATCATATTGCCCTTAGTTCTTAAGGATATTCCACATATAGTACATTATGAGGTCTCTCTCCGGTGTGTACTAATTTATACTGGTTAAAATAGCTACTTGTTTGGAATTATTTTCCACATAAAGTACACTAATGAGGTCGCTCTTCAGTGTGAAATAATGTATGTCTCTTCACATAGTCCTTAGTTTTGAAGGATTTTCCACATATAGCGCACTTATGAGGTCGCTCTTCTGTATGAACTAATGTATGACTTATCATATAATTCTTAGTTTTGAAGGATTTTCCACATGTAGTGCACTTGTGAGGTCGCTCTTGTTTATGAATTAATATATTATGTTTTCTCATACTGTCCTTAGTTTTAAAGAATTTTCCACATGTAGTACACTTATTAAGTCGCTCATCTGTGTGAACTAATGTATGACTCATCATAACTTTTTTAGTTTTGAAGGATTTTCCACATAAAGTGCACTTGTGAGGTCGCTCTATGGTGTGAACTAACGTATGACTCTTTAAACCTTCTTTAGTTTTGAAGGATTTTCCACATGTAGTGCACTTGAGAGGTCGCTCTATGGTGTGAACTAACGTATGACTCTTCATAACTTTTTTAGTTTTGAAGAATGTTCCACATATAGTACACTTATGAGGTCGCTCTTCTGTGTGAACTAATGTATGACTCATCATATGATTCTTAGTTTTGAAGGATTTTCCACATATAGTGCACTTATGAGGTCGCACTTCTGTGTGAAACAATGTATGAGTCTGCATACTGCCCCTGGTTTTAAAAGATTTTCCACATATAGTGCACTTATGAGGTCGCTCTCCTGTGTGAACCAAGGTATGAATCTTCATATCATCCTTAGTTTTGAAGGATTTTCCACACAAAGTGCACTTATAAGGACACTTCCCAGAATGTGTCAATAAATGACGCTTTATATTAGATATTTGAACAAATGTTTTCCGACAAGTCAAACATCTAAATGGACGCTCGCCCGTGTGTAAATATATGTGACACTTCATTGCCAATAGAGTTGGAAAAATTTTTCTACATATTGGGCACTCAGGCAAAGGCTTTTTCGTGATCTTTAACATGTTTTAGTTGTCAATTTCTGACTTTTAACTTTTTAGACATGCTAGAAACTGATTGAAATCATTTGGTTGGCTTTGTACGTTTTTTTTCTGTTTGATTTGTTTAATGTTTGACAGTTATGTACATGTGTCAATCAACTTTAAAACAACTCTTGATCAAATATTGTTATGTGTATTAAATGGCTTACAACATAGCCTACTCGAGACAATTTGATTCTTTTGCATGACTTTTATGTTCCATAATATTTTAAGACTACTTTTTAAAAAGACAACGTTGCTTCTATGTTCCTTTTTTCAAATTATATTGCATCAGCCATATAAAACCATGTAGCCTATTCTTTAAATTTAATTTTATGTACCGTAGTGGATCACTTACTTTCATTTCTACTTTAATTGTAGTTAAGACTTAATCGTTTTAGCTGCTGTTTAAGTATTATATCAGATTATGTAAATTATCTTTCTTGCAAAATGAATTAAGGTTCCTTCTCCTCTTCAAATCTATTGCCTCTGCTGAAAAAGACCATATTTTATTAGTTAAATATATTTGTTGTGATCATTTAGGAAATATTTTATTTTACAATGATTACAAAACATTACAAAAATGTATATGTAATGTACTATATCCAGATTATCATAATAATGCATGATATGAATCATAAATGCAATTTAAATTACTCCTCCGAGTGTCCATAGCTTAGGCCTTAATGTCCGCCTATTTTTGGCGCATTTGCAAGGTTTTATTAAAACGGATCTGAGAAGCTTAAAACAATGTTAATTCTACTGTTCTATATACCATTTTGTTTGGAAAATCATGGGCTTCAATATTATACATAAAACATAAGGAACACTTGTTTCAAAAAAATTTTTTAGGTAAAAAAAATATTTTGGAAAATTTTCAAAAAAAAATAAGTTTGCGCTCAATGAAATTGTATAAATTATAGGCCTATAAATATTTGAAAATAGCCACTTTGTTCTAAATTTTATGAGGATTACAAATATATAATAATATAAGGAAGTAGATTTGCAAATAAATAAGTTATGGGCAAAAAACAGATTTCAGTACATAGCGTTTAGCTAAGAATGCATAGCCTAACCATAGCTAGGAATCTGGCTGATAATTTTCATCAATATCACTACCTACTTCTTCAGGATCATCAACCAGCCCTTCAAAATCACTTAAATCTTCTTATAATGCACCACGTATATCACTACTTTTGATTTTTAACACTAAAACAATGATAAACGTAATAAAACACATCAGTCATCGGTCTGAGGTTAACCTATCTGTTTACAAATACGCACGTCAGCTGTCTGCTACAATATTTTCGGGACTAAAATGAATAGCGCTTAGAGACAGAAATCCGGAGAAGGCTCTGAATCTAACAAAAAGAACGATACCTAACTCGATCCAGTTCAATCCGATTCAGTCAGTCATAGAACCTTCGCTGTAAACGATGTTCGTGTGTCGAAAAATCGACAAGTGACGCTCGGAGGGTTAATGTAATCAAAGTAAGTATAGGACCGGGTGTCCATAAAATAATCAAATTCAAAATACTTTTTTTAACTTAAAGATGAATGATTGCTACTACAAATTTCATGGATTGAAAAAGAAACCTTACACATTTGGTTTGGAGAAGTAGTACCATGGCACATCATAAGAGCTCTGATGGCAAATAGACTTATTGCAATTGGCAAATGTCCAGGTGTGAGGCCCATTGGAATAGGAGAATGTCTCAAACGCATTCTGGCCAAATGCATTATTTTAGCTTTTGCCGATGATGCAAAACAAGCATTAGGTACAGATCAACTTTGTGGAGGTCTCAAATCTGGTATAGAGGGAGGAATACATTTCATGCGAACGCAATATAGTGAACACAGTAATACCAACAAAGAATGGTGTATGATTCTGGTAGACGCAGATAACGCCTTTAACAAAATAAACAGAATTCATGCTTTATGGCAAGCAAGAGTCCATTGGCCAAGAGCTGCTAGATTTATTTTTAATACTTACCATTGTAGCTCAGATTTAATTTTGCAAGGAAGTAATCAAAGATTGTATAGTAAAGAAGGAGTTACCCAAGGAGATCCACTATCAATGATATTATACGGTCTGGCAACACTTCCATTAATACAAGAATTAAAGAATGCCGAACACATCTCAAGTTTGGTATGCAGATGACATGGATGCTGGCTATCATGCTTGCCTCTGAAGAAACTTAATCTGGACATGTCCCCACAAGAATTTAGAGATGCCCTTGCCCTACGTTATGGGAAAACACAAATAAACCTCCCATTAAAATGTGAAGGATGCGGAAATGAGTTCAATACAGAGCATGCTCTAAAATGTTGAAATGGTGGTCTAATAAAAAGACACAATGAAGTAAGAGACACAATAGGTAACATGATGAACAAGCCTGGGGAAACTGCATTAAGGAGCCCTTGATAGCAGAAGGCAGTCATCTCAACGAACCTGCACTAAAAGCTGATATAGCTTGTAGAGGCGTATGGGAGACTCAGATGGAGGCATTGTTTGCTGTTAGTGTCGTTGACACTGATGCTCCATCTTATGTCTCCATCCCTCATCAACAAGTTATAAAAAAAGTGGAAGATGAAAAAAAGAAAGTATACTAAAGCTTACGAACAACGACATGCATCATTTACTCCTCTTGTTCATTTCATTTCATGACTCATGTTCTGAACCACATTCTGATGTTCTGAACCAGATTGATACCAACTCTGCAATTAAAGAATTTGCCAAGATCAAAGCTAGGAAAATTAGTTTTTAACTGCTAAGAGCTTTTGAACTGTTCAAATTGATAATTTTGTATTCTTTTTGTCAAGGTAATAAATTTGGGTTTTCATGTTTTCTTCATGTTTAATGTGTTCAATTAAAAATTCCTCTCTTGTCATCTATCTACACCAGTTTTTCATTGTAATAGGCTTTAACTTATATCGTATCCAAGTTATCCTGTAATTGTTAACTTAGGCCGTGATGCTCGTCAAGCATGACGTCACGATAGAAGACGGCAATGACGTAGGTATTTATTTATTTATTTCCCAAGGAAAGATTAAAACAAGCAGCTGATCACAAACGGCAAACATTACGTCATTGCCGTCTTCTATCGTGACGTCATGCTTGACGAGCATTACGGCCTATTTTTTTAGTGTAGCCTTGGTTTTGCTAAAGTTTATACATGAGTAAAAGTGTAAAAATGTTAAATTCCTGAGAATAATAAACAGTCTTTTATTGCAAGTATTCTTCTAACCTAAACTTATAAAATCTTTGGGAAAAAATTCACAAATAGAGTTAAGCAAAGAAGACGGCAAGTTAATGTTCATGGGTTGAGGGTGGGGTGGTGGGGGGATTCTAAGTGGCGCTGATTCGGGTGTTCGCTTAACTCTGAAAAATTCATAGGTGTTTTTGGAAATAAGTTCCAAATGTTTTTAAGGCTTATGGCTGAAAAACTATCAGAGAATTGGAAAAACCATACAGTTTGGTAATAAGTTGGACAAGATCATAACAATTTGTGCTGATTTAAGGGCAACCAGTATGTGTTTGAGGCAAACAAGAAATGGAGGTTAGCGAGAGAATTTGAAGATGGAGCTGGGATTCCAAATTTTTTTTGTGTAAAAAATAATTGTCAATTTCTGATTTTACAGTTCTCTACTCTTTTTGTAAAACTAATATTATAATTTACATTAAATAATAATAAAAAATTATAAAAATTTAACAGTACTTTTAAAAGTAATTAACAATTAATTGTTTAGAGCAAATAAAAATAAAGCACATTATACTTGTTAACCTTTACACTAAAGTGAAAGGTTGCAGCTTCATCACTAAATACCAGATGAGTAGCAAAATGTTCATCTTCTAAGCAGTTTTGAAGTCAGGTGAGCAGCTCAACACGAAGGAGCATGTGACAAGGGACAGTGTGTTCAAATAAAAATGTGGTTTTCTAGCTTCCAACTTGTATTTACTTTTTATTTATTTATATAACATCATCACATTACATCAATTCTCTTGACAAGTGATTTGTCACAAAGTCTAATACTACATTTTAAAATCTTAAAATAGCTTAGAAAAGAAATAAAACAAATCATTAGGCTAAAAACCTATGGTAGAAGTAATATCTTTCAAATATACACATCTTCTAGTTATTCTTCTAGTGAGTAAAACGTCCTCTCAAAAAAAAAAAATATGTTTTAAGATAATTTAAATTTAGAGAATGAGGCAATGTTTTAAATCTCAGCAACCCATTGTGATTAAGAACATTGCTTTATTCTCAAAACTTAAGAACACATCTAATGTTAACATCTTCCAGATATTCTGTTAGTGAGTAAGATGGCCACTCAAAAAGAAATGTTTTAAGATAATTTAAATTTAGAGAACAAGGCAATGTTTTTAATCTCAGAGGGTAATTTTTTGAACATTTTTGGTCCTGTATACTGAGGGGATGAAAGATTTTAAGCCTTTGTTAAACTGGTTTTTATAATATTTTTGGATCTTGTGTTATGTGGATGAGATTGTTGACAGTCCATGAATGTGCCGAAATCACTTTTAAACATTAATGGCGGTTTGTAAACAGCTAAAAAATAATGCTTGATGTAGGTTGCACTTTGATAGTTTTTTAACGTGTTTTTGCAAAATTAGTTGTGAATCGATATCAATTCCCAAATACTTTATTGTTTTTATGTAAATGAATTGAAGTTAAGTTTGTATTTAAAATGATTTCTAGGTTTTTGGGGACGTTTATATTTAAAAAGGTACTTAGGTAATCACTATTCCAGAATTTAAGGTGGATTTTCAGTAGTTTTTGGATTTTGTGAAAATGGGAATCTTGTTAAATTTTTTTTAATCGCGTGAAAATATTTGTATAATATTTTTGGTGGATTAGCAAAATCTTCATAATCTGCAACAATCCAACCAAGCCTATTCTAGTTTTTGTTGAATTGTAATGAAGCAACGTAGGGATGAAAATGATTCATGATGTTCCTACAACCATAAGATATAATCATGGTACAGTATTACTACAAACCCAGGATACAATTACGACGTCACATTTTTGGAGATGATTAAGTTAGTACTGTGATTTTTGTTTACAGTCAGAGGTGCTTCTCATAAAAAATGCAGACGTTTAAAATAATAAAATATTTACCAAATTAGTAGTACCTAGGCTATGTACAATTTAGTTAGATTTTCATTTGATCGTAAAATACTAGCCTCTATACCCTTTAAGTAAAACCATAGATAAAACATAACTCCCTTAGTAGATTTCTCATCCTAGTGGAACAGCTGAAGACAATTTTATTGTTAGTTCTGTACTGTTTATGTAGAGGTCGTGTTTTGTTTACAATTTGTTCCCCGTTAATAAAGTCATTTAAAACCTCGTTTAACCAAATGATACGATCTGGCTATTTTTGAATGTTTTTTTTTTTGCATGGTTTTGCTTCAGTTTTGTTTTGCATGGCTTTGTTTGTTGCCTTATTATTATATTGATCTAACTTGTATTTATTTGTGAATCAAGAGATGGACTAATTTATTATTTATTTGTATTGTAAGTGACTTAGCCTGTTGCTTTGCTTAATGGCCTAATAAATCATTGAATCAAAATCAGTCGGGTAGAAAAGCCAACTTGGAAAAGAGAAACCAAATTTAACTCCCATGAGAAATACATGGTGAGCAAATTTTGTTTACATATAAGCCGAGTGGGATTATAGATAAATATATGCCGATGCTTGATGGCAAAACTTTGCGTGCATACCTTCAATTTGAGACCTCAATAATGAAAATTGGTCGGGTAGAAAAGCCAAACAAACTCGGAAAAGAGAAACCAAATTTAACTCCTATAAGAAATACATGGGGTGCAAGTTTCGATTACGTATATACCGAGTGGGATTATAGATACATTTATGCCGATCCTTGATGGCAAATCTGTACGTGCATACCTTCATCAGAGACCTTAATCATGAAAATCGGTCGGATAGAAGAGCTAAACAAGAAAACCATTTTTTTTATATATATAAGACTCAACTGGTTGGTCTCGCATAAATATACCTGTTTGCTTAGACTTATTTAGACTCTTCTGTTCTCTTATGAAGCCTGCTCGAACACAGACTTGTTTCAAACCACCAATACTAATGTGAGAGTTTCCACTCTGGGTGTAATAATAAAAATTCTCCGCCACAGCCTAATGTTTCCATTTTATTTATTTTTTATTAAAAACTAAACAAACACGTATGTATGGCTAAACGCAACTGAGGTATTAAAGGGCAGGAAGAAGACTAACAGTAAAAGGGAAATCCTTTTCAAAAACATGTATAATGCATAGGCATAGACTAACCAACACATCCTCGAAGAGCTTAACACATGAAAATTTAATTTCAAACCATTCGTGGTACATAACCAATGATGTACTTTCCATGTATTATTCTAACCGGTTGAGATTGCGGAAACCCAAAGTTGTATCTTATTTACAAAACAATAAACCTCATAAAGTATGTGTCAGATTGCTGAAACCATTTTTTTTTTTGTAGTTCCCTTTCACATTAGACATCAAAATATAGTTTTCCAGCCAAAATACAATTCTAAAGTAGGTTAACAATTAGAAGAAAAGATTATGCATCCGAAAAAGGCGATACTTGGCCAAAAATTAAATGTTACATTTTTGATTTTCAAACGGCTTGGCAAGGTTAAAATATGTAAGTGTTGATGTGCAAGTACCTTTTGGACGCAGGGGACACGATTGATAAACAATACATATACCTTTGCTAAACAACAAGTTCCACCTTCCAAAATATCGACAAAAATATGCAAAATATGAGATCACTCAACATTGTGTACTAATTTATGCCTCTTTACATGGACACTTGTTTGGAATGATTTTCCACATAAGAACACTTATAAAGTCGCCCTTCTGTGTGAAATAATGTGTGTTTCTTCATATAGTACTTAGTTATGAAGGATTTTCCACATGTAGTGCACTTATGAGGTCGCTCTTCTGTGTGAAATGATGTAAATTGCTTCGTGCAAGTAATGGTTTTGAAGGATTTTCCACATATAGTGCACTTATGATGGTCGCTCTCTAGTGTGAGCTAATCTATCAGGGTGTCTACTACATTCTGGATAGAAAATTCATGGACAATTCCCGTACATTTAAGGACATTTTGTCGTAACCTTTTTCGGTGCGATTACCGAATATATTTTACTGATTTGTCAAACTGTTTACTCTTCTTCTTCACTGTAGTTGTACCAGAGAGAAAAGTAAGTAATAATAGACAAGAGTTAAATTTCAAAATAGAAATTTATTGAAATGAGCAAACATTTACTTCGGGTAAAGCTTTGTAGTGTAACAGAGAAACCCAATCATCGTCTACCGCATTAGCGACGGAATCCTGAATATCTCCATCAGTCATGGAAACATTATCATATCATATCCGATTTATGTGGATTAGTTAGGCATGATTCGCCCTAGCACAACATTAAGTTTTCGACTACTTTTGAAACAAATCTTTAATACAAATATTGTACCTCGGTTCTCTGTACAAAATTGGTATGGTAAGCGGCTACCAGTAAGCACAGAGTAAGATTATTGTCTTTTCATTTGCAAAGTTATTGGGATCAATTACATTTTCTTAGTATATTCTACAGCTCTTTCAAAGAATAAAAATACCCTGGCCTAGACCTAATTATTTAGGGGGGGCCTATATCAACTGAGTAACAAACAATGAGGTTATAATAGCAGCAAAGTCACTATCATCATTCTAGTTCATAAGATTTAGATTGCAAAGCATATAACACAATAAATAAATATGGGAAACAAAAACATTGAAAACTGAACAGCCAAAATTATAAGACAAAGATACAGAAAATGCAATGACATGATTTGAGACCAAGTAGGCCTGCTTTACAACTAACCCATTATTAAATGGAGAAACCGTTGGAATAAATAAATAAATAAACCCAAACAACAATACTTGTGGTTTTGTCAATTGAAAGTAATATCCATAAAAAAAGTTTTAACTTACAAAAAAATACTGTAGATTAGTTACAAGTTTAGTATGAAACCATAAACAGTTTTATGACAGTAGGCAATGGCCAGCGGCAAATTGAATGTTCAAGAAGATAAAAGTACAGAAGTGAAATTTAACTGCCATTATAATACAACTATTATTTCCATGATTAAATAGATTTGGGATCTCATAATAATTACCCAAGTAATAAATAATGGAAGTTGTAAAGGAATAAAAGTGATAAAACTTTTATGACCTAAGATACTTTCACAATGGTTCTTGGAAGTACTTTACGTGACACTTGATTGTGGTGATAAAATATTAATGGGTTTGAGCTTCTAATGGTTTTTCATTGCACAATTAATTACCCTAGTATTAAATTTATGAAAATGTAAACCAAACAAACATCTGATAAACCTTATATGTGCTCCTAACCAACTAGCGATAAAATTATTGCCCATTAAAAATTTAAGGACTTAGTCTGGCATTTAAGGACAATTCCCGTACATTTCATGGCCAGTTAAAAAATAAGTACAATTCCCGGTTTTCCCGGATTTCCCGGTTGGTAGACACCCTTGTTTCCTTATATAGTCCTTAGTTTTGAAGGATTTTCCACATATAGTGCACTTGTGAAGTCGCTCTTCTGTGTGAACTAATCTATGTTTCCTCATATAGTCCTTAGTTTTAAAGGATTTTCCACATGTAGTGCACTTATGAGGTCGCTCTTCTGTGTGAAATGATGTAAATTGCTTCGTGCAAGTAATGGTTTTGAAGGATTTCCACATATAGTGCACTTATGATGGTCGCTCTCTAGTGTGAGCTAATCTATGTTTCCTTATATAGTCCTTAGTTTTGAAGGATTTTCCACATATAGTGCACTTGTGAAGTCGCTCTTCTGTGTGAACTAATCTATGTTTCCTCATATAGTCCTTAGTTTTAAAGGATTTTCCACATATAGTGCACTTATGAGGTTGCTCTTCTTTGTGAATTAATGTATGTTTCCTCATATAGTCCTGAGTTTTGAAGGATTTTCCACATATGGTGCACTTATGATGTCGCTCTCTGGTGTGAACAACTATGTGACTGTTCATAATTTCCTTCCGTTTGAAGGATTTTCCACATATAGTACACTTATGAGGTCGCTCTCCTGTGTGATCTAATGTATGAATCTTCATTTTAGCAGTGGATTTAAAGGATTTTCCACAAATTGTGCACTTGTGAGGTCCCTCTTCAGTGTGAACTAATTTATGACTCTTCATTTTAGCAGTGGTTTTGAAGGATTTTCCACATAAAGTGCACTTATGAGGTCGCTCTTCTTTGTGAACTAATGTATGTCTCTTCATATATTCCTTAGTTTTGAAGGATTTTCCACATATAGTGCAGTTATGATTTCGCTCTCTGGTGTGAACAAATATATGTCTGTTCATAATGTCCTTAGTTTTTAAGGATTTTCCACATATAGTACACTTATAAGGTCGCTCTCCTGTGTGATCTAATGTATGAGTCTTCATTAAAGCAGTGGTTTTAAAGGATTTTCCACATATAGTGCACTTGTGAGGTCGTGTTTCGGTGTGAACTAATAATGTATGACTCTTCATATTGGCCTTGGTTTTGAAGGATTTTCCACACAAAGTGCACTTATAAGGACACTTCCCTGAATGTGTCAACATATGATACACTACATGTTGTCGTTGAATAAATGTTTTCTCACATGTCAAACATCTAAAGGGACGCTCGCCCGTGTGTAAATATATGTGACTTTTCATTTTAAATGAAGTTGAAAACGTTTTTCTACATATTGGACACTCAAGCGAAGGTTTTTTATACATCTTTAACACGTTTTAGTTTTTTATTTCTGACTTCTACTTAATTAGACATGCCAGAAACTAATTGGAATTAGCAGGTGGGCTTTGTATGTCTATTTGTGTTTGATTTGTTAAACGTTTAACAGTTATGTACATGTATTAATCAACTTTAAAACACCTTTTGATCTAATGATGTTATGTGTATAAAATGGCTTACAACATATGCTACTAATGGCAATTTGATTGTTTTGCTTGACTTTTATGTTCCATCAAATTAAATTAGCCTATTTATTTAAATGAGAAAGTTGCTTCAATGTTCCATTTTTTCTTCATATAATACTGCATCAGCCACATCAGCCATATAAAAGTCATGTAGGCCTATAATTTAAGTTTTATGTAGTGAATTACTTAAAGTGTGGTAAAAACTTAATGCTGTTAGCTGATGTTTAAAGTATTATATCAGATAATTTAAATTATCTTTCTTGCAGCTTGAATTGAGGTTACTTCTCCTCTTCAAATCTTATTGCCTCTTCTGAAAATACCATATTTTATTAATTATATACATTTGTTGAATCATTAAGGTAATTTTTTATTTTAACGATGATTCCAAAACATTACAAAAATGTATACGTACTGTATTATAACCAAATTATCATAATAATGCAAAATTAGAATCATAAATGCAGTTAAAATTTATGTAATCTAAGTAAGTAGAAGAGTGTCTATAAAATATTTATCAGATTTAAAATAGTGCACTTTTCTGCACTTTTCTCTCCTTTGTGAACTAATGTATGAATCTTCACACAGTTCTTGGTTTTGAATAATTGTCCATATAAAGTGCACTTATAAGGACACTTCCCTGAATGTGTCAACAGATGATACTTTATATGATGTAGTTGAATAAATGTTTTCTCACGTGTCAAACATCTTAAGGGACGCTTCAATTAAATTAAAATAAATTCAAACCTCTTTATTTGTTTCATGTACAACAATACAATAAATAGCGCCACAGTTTCTTAATCTAACTCAGTACATTGCATTGAATTGTTCAGTTATGAAATTTACAGTTATGTAGCATCAGCATTCACATCAGTTAAATCGTACAAGTCTTCAAGAGAGTGAAATGCATTTCTGATCATAAAACTTTTGAATTCACTTTTGAACTTGTTTTGATTTTCTATGTTCAATATTTCTTTAGGAATATGTTTTGTTTTAAGAATACAGAACCGGCATAGTATGGTTTATTTTCATATGGCTCAGAATTGTGAAAAGGTAAGACTATGTTTTTTTTCTGGTGTTGTAGTTATGTATATCTTCATGTGTTGTAAAATTGGATTTATTTTTCCTGACATGCATAATACACTCAAGGATAATACAAACTATAGATGGTTAATATATTTTGGTTAATAAAATGCCCCTTTACAGATTCATCAAACTCGAGATTTAACATGGCTCTTATAGCTCTTTTTTGACTAATTAAAATTTCACAAAGGTTTTGTTTGGTTGTACCTCCATACGCACAAACTCCATAAGATATATGGGATTGCACTTGGGCATGAAAAACATTTTTTTTTTACTTTCAAATTACAAAGATAATACAATCTTTTTAAGGCATTAATTCCTGAGTTTATTTTTGCTAAAAGATGGTCTATATGCAGGTCCCAACTAAGATGGTTAACGATATAAAATCCCAAAAATGTTGATTTATCTACCCTTTCTATTATATTATCTATATATATAAAAGGCAAAGCCCTCACTGACTGACTGACTCACTCACTCATCACTAATTCTCCCACTTCCCATTTACCTAGGAGGCTGAAATTTGGTACGCTGATTCTTTTGGCATTAAATAGGAAAACTAAGTTGTTTTTATTCTGATCGGACTCTCGGGCTCCGCCCCAGTGGCTCTGGAGTTTCCCATGTTAACCTTATGAGTACTCATATTTAAATGGAATTAATGAATCTTAACAGCTGTTTCAATTAAACAAGTTGGTTCTGTTCTATGATGTGCAACACCATTAAGTTACCAGGATTACCAACAGGGTGCAGCACTATTATTTTTTTTTTTATTTATGACAACAGCTAATTTGCAACCAAAAGGTGAGTGAGCGTAGCGAAAGCGAACAAACTTCAACCTGGAGGCGAGTTAGCGTAGCGAATGAGCTAACTTGAAGGCAAGTGAGCGCAGCGAACGAGCTCCAACCTAAAGGTGAGTGAGCGTAGCGAACGAACTTCAACCAGGACGTGATTGAGCCATGCGAACGAGCCCACTTATGAAGTAAAACGGGGCAAAGCCCGCGGGTACAGCTAGTTATCAATAAAAATGTTAAAATCATTCTCGTTTCGGTTTTGTTCTGTAGTGAAAGAGTGTACAGTAATTAGTCTTCTGCGGGTTTAATATTAGATTATTGGAAGAAACAAAATCCTTAAGTTTACCTAATTCTATGAATGAATTTATTTCTATTTCCAAGCCAGTCTTTGCAGACATAATAAGATTAGAGTAATATTCATATAGTATAAGTTGATTTTTTATGTCCTTAAGTTTAAACTTAGATAGTTTGGCATATCCCTGATGTAACTAATAAATAATAAAGGTCCAAGTATTGACCCTTGTGGTACCCCGTGTTTAATTGGTTGTAAAACTGATTGATATTTTATCACTTGATTGCTTATCCGTGTGAAAATAAATTTGAAACTTCATTGCCAATAGAGTTGAAAACATTCATTTTTCTACATATTGATTACTCAAGTGAAGACTTTTTTGTGATCTTTAACATGTTTTAGTCTTTATTTCTGACTTCTAACGTTTAAGACATGTTAGAAACTAATTGGAATTAGTCTGTTTGCATTGTACGCCTATTTAAATATCTAATATTGTAGAATTTGATTAACCTTTTACAATTGTATTATCAATGAACTTAGAAACAACTCTTGTTCAAATATTTTTAAGAGTTTTAAATATCATACAACATTGCCATTATTTTAAGTTCCATCATATTAAATTACCATACTTATTTTTTTAAGAAATTGGCTCATATGTTTCATGTTGTCATTAACATGTTTTTATTAGCTCGCTTTCTTGTCTGTTCGGTACAAATTTTGAAATTGGTTTTCAAACCAATTTCCTGATGTGCTAGAGACTTTAAACTTGAAACATAGCTCACAAATGGATGACAATGTAGTATTAAATAATTTATTTCCATATTTCCCTTGAGCTACACCCCATAAGATTCCGATTTTTTAATGTTTACATTTTGATTAATGTTAATATATCAATTGATGTCAGCTGTAAATACTTTAATTTGACAGTCCTTTCAAAGTGCAGAGGTTAAGATATAGGCCTACAGGTTCTGCTCCCGAGAGATTCTTAAGTTTTATGAATATGAGAATAGTAGCAATATGTGATTACAGTTAAAAAGGTTTGGTTATGTAGGCCTATTAATCTTACTAATATTATAAATCTGAAAGTTTGTGAGTTTGTGTGTATGTTTATGTGTTGCTCAATCACGCATAAACTACTGGACGGATTGGGTTGAAATTTGGCATGATGATAGCTCACATTCCCTATTAACATTTAGGCATATTCGTATCTCAAAAATCCTTTCGGGCTCCGCCCCAGTGGGTCTGTAGTTCCCCATGTTAAACTTATGAGTATTCACATTTAAAGGGAATTAAAGAATTTAGTCAGCTGTTTCAACTTTACAAGTTGGTTCTATAATATGCAATAGCATTCAAAAGTTATAAGGTTTCCCAACAGGGTGCAGCACTATTATTATTTTGTTTGTGCATATATGATAACAGCTAATTTGAACTAAGCAGCAACAAAAAGCTGTGATACACAATGAGAACTGTCAAAGTAGGATTGTTTAAAGTTAGGTTTGAGTTTTTAATTTAATGAATAATTTGTGATATTGTGCGAATGTTTGATAATTTATTTTTTTCTATTGTTTAGGTGCAATTGTAGAACATTATGGCAATGGTAGATATGTTATACTATATCATACCGTAAATTTATGAACCAAATTTTATCAAACTGTGTCCTCCCCCCATTGCAAACGCAAAGCTTGAGTATAACTGCAATAAGCATTTTATACTTATATGCCAACCCCGTACGAAGGACGGGTGCTCTGCTGGTAAGCCATAAAAATAGATTTTAACATATTTAGATATTAAATGACTAAAAAGTATAAAATAATTAAAAAAAAAACTTTTTAAAATATCATGTTTTTAAACACACTAAAAAGTAGAAAATTATTTTATAAATATGTGGAGAAAATAAACTTCATGTTGGCATATATATTTATGAGAAAATAAATATTTGTAAGAATTTAAGCGAAAAATGTAGGGCGAATGCAATAGATAATAATAATATATAATAGGTTAAGATAATTGTAAATTAGATTTTGCATGTACCCCACGTTTTTAATCTTAAAAGTACTTTAAGTACTCATTCTCTACAGTCTACACATATTTATAAAATTATTTTCTACTTTTTAGTGCGTTTAAAAACATATTTTTAGAAGCGATTTTTATTTATAAATTATTTTTCATATTGCTTCAGCCACAGTGAATTACTTACTTTAATTTGTGCTTTAGTGTAGGAAGTAAGAGATTAATCTTGTTAGCAGCTTTTTAAAGTATTGTACTCCAGTCTCTGATACACTCCAGTTCCGATATAATCAGATATTATGTACATTATCTTTCTTGCCACGTTAGTTTAAGTTCCTTTTCCACTTCAAATCTGTTTATTTTCTTCATAAACTGTAAAAGAACATGTTTAATTAATTATATACATATATTGTACACATTTTCAGTTATATGTTTGTTCATTTACGTTAAACTATAATTTCAAGACATAACTACATTACACATTAAAACATTACATTAGGTATTGTATTTTTTTGTACAATACTCAGTCTTATTTAAGGCTGAAAATTGTACAGATGAGTCATAAAGTATGCAAGCTGAAACGACTTACCCAATAAGGCATCATGCCATAGAAATAAATAAAAAAAATGAAAATAAATAAAATGACTTGGAACCAGGACCTGAAGGATTTTAAATCTTGAGGCAAGGAACTTTTATGGACTCATCTTTTGTATTCGGTCTAAGAATTCTTGGAATCTGAAATGCCGGGTCGCCAGAATTGTTCCCTCTGCTGATCATTGATGTCATTTTGACAACACACATGGAAAGGGTAGAATTAGACCCATACACTTAGACTATAACAGAATCTAAATTAATGTATTCTAGTTATCAAGTGAACTGGATGCTATATAAGAAAAGATGTACGGTCTGTGAATGTACCCCCCCTGGATTAGAACTATGACCCCCTATCAGAAAACCATATGTGTACAGGCAGGAAATGTACCCCTCCCCTGGATTAAATATCATCAATCTTCCGTAGACAAAGTAAAGTGGTTATTATTAAAATGAAATAGTAGAGAATGCCCTCCAAAGTGTCATAGGTTGGTATTATTTTTAAGCCTGTACATAAAATAGTGGTTGATCTTATAAAAAAGGTATAAATAAAAATAGCTTTTAAAAATGCCACGTTTTTAATCGCACTTAACCCTCCGAGTGTTATGTGTCGAATTGTGTAGTGTTTTGTGTCGATTTTTCGACTCACAAACACTGTTTACAGCAAAGGCTCTACAGTATGACTGACAAAATCGGATTGAACTGGATCGAGTTAGGTATCGTTCTTTTCGTTAGATTCTAAGCTTTCTAAAGGTCTGTCTCTAAGCGCTGTAAGTTCTCCGAGCCGATCGTAATTGTAGCAGACAGCTGACGTGCATATTTGTAAACAGGTTAGTTAACCTCGGACCGCTGACTGATGTGTTTTATTATGATTATCATTGTTTTGAGTTAAAAATCAAAAGTAGTGATATACGTGGTGCATTATAAGAAGATTTAGGTGATTTTGAAGGGCTGGTTGATGATCCTGAAGAAGTAGGTAGTGATATTGATGTAAATTATCAGCCAGATTCCTAGCTATGGTTAGGCTATGCATTCTTAGCTAAACGCTATGTATCGAAATCTGTTTTTGCCCATAACTTATTTATTTGCAGATCTACTTCCTTATATGATTATATATTTGTAATCCTCATAAAATTTAGAACAAAGTGGCTATTTTCAAATATTTATAGGCCTATAATTTATACAACTTCATTGAGCGCAAACTTATTTTTTTTTTGAAAATTTTCCAAAAAAAATTTTTTTTTTACTTAAAAAATTTTTTGTAACAATTATTCCTTATGTTTTATGTATAATATTGAAGCCCATGATTTTCCAAACAAAATGGTATATAGAACAGTATAATTAACATTGTTTTTAAGCTTCTCAGATCCGTTTTAATAAAACCTTGCAAAAAAACTAGGGACCCTCGGAGGGTTAAAGTAGAAAATAATCTATAAATATGTTGAGAGAATAAATACTTGTAAGATTTAAAACAAAAAATTTGGGGCGCATGCTAATTTACAATTAACTTCACCTATTGAACTATTATGATCTAGGCCTATTGCATGCGCCCCAAGTTTTTTGTTTAAAATATTAGCCTACATTATTTATTTCCTCAACATATTTATAAATTATTTTCTACTTTTTAGTGCGTTTAAAAACGTGGCATTTTTAAAAAGTATTTTTATTTATAAATTAGTTTCTACTATTTAGTCTTTAATGTGTTTAAATATGTTAAATCTATTTTATATGGCCTGTTAATACATAACCAAAACCTTATTATCTGTACGAGCTGTTTGGCCCGTCCTACGAAGGGGAATCGAGTAGTCCATTAAAACTGTATATAGTGTGTAAATTACAAATTCAAGCATAGTTTAAGCAGTTCAAAATTTATAGTAAAGAAAAAGCTGCCAAGCAACAACAATCATGACGTGATCATTGTTCTTTTCCCAACCTTTCCTCAAAAAGTCGAGTAGTAAAATAATTTTCATAAGCTTTCTTTTGAAGATTCGTGAGCTTAGATTCATATACAACAATGGTTATAGAATCTTACTTATTTCCTATAAGTAATCAATGACAAAATCACAGAGTAAATCAAAACTAACCTCATAGTTCTAAAGAATATTTTTTTTTTATTCAACCACCTGTTAGTTAAAACAAATTATATTGCACTAAAACAAACTAAATATTTTAAAGACTGCTCAAAAAAATAAATTAGAACACCAACTATTTTACTATGTGTATATTTAAATCAACTCTCATCCTCTTACCGAATAAATGAACGTATAAATAATTATAGCCATAACACATAGTATAAATTCAGTAGAACCCCTCATATCCGGCCTTGGTTTTACCGGTCCTCTGTTTATCCGGCCCCTTCCAGGAAGCCAATATAAAAATTTTTTCTCTCAGCTTACAGACGTTTAGATGCAAACACTAGTCTTTGTGACTGCTCAAGTCATAAAATAAATTGTTCTCACTCTGTTTGTCTGTTGTTGTTCCATATCTGGAATAAAAGAATGTACCTAAATTTAAAATTTAAAAATCTTTCCTGGCTCCTAAATAGTAAATCAAAATTGACCATTGCAAATAAATTATTACTATACAAAGTAATACTGAAGCCAATTTGGACTTATGGAATCCAACTGTGGGGAACGTCCAGTATGTCGAACATAAACATTATCCAACGATTTCAGTCAAAAGTTTTAAGGTTCATTCTGCAAGCCCCGTGGTATGTTAATAACAATATCCTTCACAAGGACAGTGGAATTCCTACGGTTGAAGAGGAAATAACCAAATTTAGTGCAAAATATCTAAAGAAACTTGAAAATCACCCTAATCACCTGGCTCTAAACCTCTTGGACAACAGCACCAGTATATACAGGCTAAAAAGGATTCATGTTTTGGATCTAAGCACACGTTTTGTTTGAACAATTTAATTTTCCCTTGTTTATTTACATATTTATGTTTTCATTGAAATATTTTTAAGTTAGCTCTGTCAATGGACAGAGATTAACTAACGTTTTATTAAAATTTGTTATTGTATTTGCTAAATGTTCTAAAAATGAACAGATTGTAAATAAAATTGTGATAAAAAAAAAACTCTGTTTGTTTATACATTTATTTGCTGAGTCACTATACTCAGTTGAGCTAGTAGGCCTAACCTCTTATCAGTTGGTTGATTATTTCCAAAGTGGGGTTAGTACAGTACGAGCACATTAATTTTTGTACTTCACAAAATGGTTAAGAATGTTGAGTAGAAATGCATGTACCATTTAAGTCCTAATGATCTTTAAGTACAATTTATTGTCATTTTTACCTCCATTTAATAGGTTTTGTTACCTGGAATCATAATATTTGTACATTTATTACTTAATGACTTTAACCTACAAATATTTTTTTTTCTTTTTACAAACATGTTTATTTTTCTAAAAATGATCCCAGAACAGAATTAAATGATACTTTTGATTGCATATATTGATTACCCATTATTATTAGGTATGAATTGTCATTTTCATAGTAGGTTGGTTTATCCGGCCAAATCGTTATCCGGTCAGGGACTTGGTCCCGTGGTGGCCGGATATGAGGGGTTCTACTGTAAGTCAATTCCACGTATGTCATTTCATTTTCATCCAAAAAATGCTGAATTTGTGCAGAAAACGCTGAATTTTTACAGCTGTTACGTTAAGCAAATAGTATTTACCAAAAGCTAGAGTAGAATGTTAGCGTCGGCTGCTGGACTTTTGAAAATTTTAAACTTAATTTCTAAAAAACTGAAACCCTAAACTAAAATTATGGCTTCGACATTCCCTAGTTCTCAAAATTAGGCTATCTTTCTTTTAATACAAAAATCATGAAAATCCGTCAAGTGGTTGATTCAGAATCGTGAAATCAAAAAACCCTGTCACGTTTTAATATATAAGATGGTAATCAGATGTTTTATCTTTACTTTGAAATGCTTGTTTTATATTTTTACAATATCTCGGGAGCAGAACCTGTACCTCTTAACCTCTGCTCTTCGAACTGTCAAATTTAAGTATTTACAGCTGAATTAAATTAATTGATATATTTACATTCTTTCAAAATGTAAACATGGAAAATTTGGAAGTCCATGGGGCGTAGCCCAAACAAATATGAACATGAAATGATATAATATTGCATTGTCATCAATTTGTGAGCTATGTTTCAAGTTTCAAATCTCTAGCTCATCGGGAGGTTGGTATAAAATTGATTGCGAAATTTGTACCGGACAAGAAAGCGAGCTGATAAAAACATTTTAATATGAGCATGGAAAGAATATCTATTTGGCTTCCCCACTTTACTTAGCCTCGGGCGATATGGATACTTTAATTATTTTTACCTTGAACCAGCCAATTACCAGATGAGTGTATTTTTGAATACAGACTATTAACAAGTTTTGATTTTGTGTTAGCCTTGTTAGTTAAACTGTTCGAAAGCAATTTGTGTCATACTCACTTTAAAACTGCAAACATTTGTTGGACAAAGCCCAAAGCCAATCAAAATATAAGTAGGCCTATTTTAATCCTATGTATAAAAGATAATAATAGTACCAGTACACATAATTTGGTGAATGGTGTTTTTCCATGAGAGCATGATAGTATGGGCTGCTCAAGTGCAGTAACGCTTGCCAGGCGAGATACATATGATATGAGAGGGTTAGAAGGCCTGACCTGCCGGGAATAGTGTGCTTACTTGTGTGTCATAGTTATTATTGTTAATTATGTGGTTTACTGTATTGTCTGGTGGTGAATGGGCAACGATCTTTTTGTTGCTATAATTCATAGCTCTTCAAGATCCATTTTCATAAGCATAGGCCCTACTATATAAAAAATGCATTATTGTAACCATGTCATTAAGATAGGTTAGGTTTCCGCAAGATTTCTGTTAAAATAAGTTTGAAATTTGCACACCTGTATTAAGGAATCAGATTTGCAACTGTGGTAGTTTATGAGGGAATTCAGTCGTATATTATGTGCAGGAGTTGATGTTAAGCCAAAAGTGCTTGCCTTGCCATCCAGTGGCGATTGCTAGAACTACTGGAATCATCTGACTACTGTCTACCCCTGCGCCTGCAAATGTGAGTAGGATAGGCCCGCAACCACACCTATTGCTGAAGAAAAACTTGCAGGAGCTACGAAAATGACGGGAACTAGGGAATCTACTACGAGAAGCGGAGAAAGACCTCCCCAAAGATCTAAACGGAGAACTTGGTAATGGATGTTGTTATGCATCTCCATCTGTGTAGGTTGTATTAATAAAAGGTAGTAGGCCTACTCTTTCCACTCTAAGTTATTAGATAAATACTCAAGTGATGCCACTGTTGTACTGATCCCAGACATCACTGAAATCGTTATTGTACTGTGTTTGCACATTGCAGCTTGGCAGGAGTTTCAACAATTAATTCAGAATGGTACACACTTGAGCCCAGATGTCATCACAAAGCAGTATAAAACCAAGTACAAAACTTGATTATGTTGTTGAAAATATTGTACAAGTCAATAACACAATCACTCATCCCCTGGTTATAGGCCTATTACCAAATGTAAAGCACAGTTCATTACTAATATCTATATAAATAAAATTAGAGTTTTGTCTGTACATTGCTCAGAATTATATATTTTTAAGGTTATTTTTACGTTTTATACATTAAAGAAGCAGAAACAAGTCTTATCTCTATTTCTGTCTGTCTGTCTTTCTGTAACACTCAAGATGGCATTTTACGCAATCTTCTCCATGAAAACGAGAGTACCTATCAAGATCCAAGTCATTTTAATGAATTCATTTGATTGGCGAGAGTGTCTTTAGCTATTAAAACATGGCCTCACTACTTTGTAAATAAAATTGCGGTCGTTCAAAAATGCGGTTTTGTGCGATTTTTGCCAAGTTTTCGGTCAATTTTTATCACATAATCATCTATGAAATAACGAACAGCTGTTCGGATCAAGATTATTTTTTCTAGCTGTCACTGATATGTTTACAAATGTTGTTTACAAATACCGCAATCATTTCCGATCACGTTTTGAAAGCAAATCCCAAACAAAGTGAGATTAAAAACGTTTTTCTTACATAACGGATTTAATTAATCGCAAGTGCAATATTATAGTGTAACCGTAAATGAAATTAAATAACTAGGCATCATCCAGGTCAGGAACCAGAGATTATTTGTGTATGAAATTGTTCTTGAGTTTTGATAGCCAGAAAGAAGACCTTGAATCAGTGTTGTATAGGACTGGGACACTTATAATGATCGTCGCCAATAGCTTACAAACAAGGTTTCCACTCACTGACGGCGCTTGAATGGCGATTGTGTTAAGTGTAAAGATGAAAAAATCACAACTACAGTGGGTGATTGTAAGTAATAGAGGTATACGGATGATGCTAAACTCGTTTTACCAAATGTGTCACTTTCTGTTTCTACTCACCGTGTGATGCAATCGCTGGACCATACAGCCAATAGGCCCATAGCCCATCTCTTGGGTACGTACGCCTACCTATTTATTCATAACAACCTTTTTCGATGACGATCCTTGATACATGTACTTTTCCATGGAATACATGGCCTACCTACTTAAGAAATAAAGTTACAAATGTCCAAAAACCCAACACATTTTGTGATTTTTGTCACATTCAACTGACTACTATAAGATCCCCGTGCGTAGAACGGGCACACAGCTAGTATTTAATAATACTTTACTGTAGTACTCTCTTATAATATTTAACAAAGTGTTATGACACTAGCGCTCAAGTGTCACCAACATGAACTAGACATGGAAAAAACTTCAGATTTTAGAATGGACATAGAAGTCTAACATTGTTTGTTGGTGTATGTTTAATAGTAGTTGTTAGTTGTTAGGCTTTAGAAGTATGCCTAGTAAAAATCCTTATTCTAGGTATAAGAAGGATTCAACAGGGCATAAAAGCTACATGGTTAAAGTAACACAATGTTGACACACAAATTACATAAATTTAATAGTTAGGCCTATACAAAGTTTCTGGTGAGGAAATATTGTCAATTAAAATAAGTTATACTAAGTTAGGTAGTCAGTAGACTTACAAAGGTAAATAAAACTTAAAACAGCCATAACTCCGTTAATATTTGTGAGCGCGGAAAAATTTGTGCACCGTTATTTTCAGCAAAAAAACTAGTATCTGGTGATATATAAATCTATATAGGTTCCCATGGTCACGTTCGTCGCAATAATTACCACTAACTTACTTCCCTATAGGGAAATTCGCTAAAATAGGATGATAATGATGGACAGGTCAATGGTGTAGCAATGCAAGCTCATAACTTACCCCTGTTTATAGACTTTATAGTTATTCATGTACAAAGTAGAAGTAGCCTAGGCCTAGCCTACAATACACTTTTCTGGAAAAAACTTCCTAACTTGAAGTCTTGATTCTTGAAACAAACTGGTCCTCAGGAATCACTGGAATCACTACGAATTTACGAATACGATGAGCTAACTTTTTTATTTTAACTTATTGCTATTCTGTCTGACATTCTGACTGAGGATTCCGGAAATCCGGATTCAGGAATCAGGTCAGGCAGGAATGGCAGGATTTAGAGGAGCAGGGAGCAGGAGCAGGAGGACGGAGGGAGGAGCAGCAGCAGGACGGATAGCGCTGCGCTGGGTTCACAACGAGACCTTACCGTCAGACCGCCACCGCCCACCACCGCGCCGTGCAGAACGCGTCATACCGTGCATAGCCGAACTGTTTGTGGGAAATTGTTATCTCAATCACTGTCGCTGTCAAAACGTGTCGTTTGTAGGTTAAATTTTAATTAATTTAACTGTCATAACCTAACCAAACTTGCTGATAATAAAAATATCGAATGAAGGTTTACTAAGTTAATAACAAAAATAGTTCTGTTCATAAAATAAAATTATAAATGTCTCAAAATCAATTATATATTTTTTTAAATTATAAAATTAAACCAATCAATTATCAATTATTTAAGATGGGGACCATCATAACCAAACCAAACCAACCAAACTTGCTGATAATGGACAAAAATCGAGTCAAAAATTTAATACCTCCGGTATTTCGAACCGGTTACCTCCGACTCATCAGCCCGGTCACGTTCAATCGAGCAGTGGTGGGTGGTGGTGGGCGGTGGCGGTCTGTTGGCAAGGGTTAATTTGTTGACGTCTGCATCTGCCTGCAGTTAGTGATGGGAGAATCGAATACTTTAAAGAATCGAATACAGTGAATTCGTAGCCTCCCCTGTATTCGAATACTTTTACGAATACTTGTATTCAAACACCTTTGAGTCTGCAAAGCATGGAAAATGAGTGTGTAATTCTTTTTTCATAATGCAACGGTTCTTTTGGCCACTGTTATTTCGTTTTACAGTAATTAATTCATTAATATAATTTATTCAATGTAATTTTAAATTATATGATTTTTAAAAGGTACATTTATTTTGACTTATAATTATTTCATGGTCAGTTACAGTCTTATTAATGTATTATTTTCTATTATATTAACTAATTAATATCTTTAATAATATGTCTTATTCATTTGTATGGATAATTTACATCAGATATGCATGTTATTTTGCCATGTAACTATATAAATCGGTTGTAGTTATAATAAATTCTATTCAATTGCCCTCTACCAGTAGTAACCTAATATTTTAAATAGGTATCCAATATATTCTAAATGTTAACGATTAATAATAATCTTATGTAAATTATAGGGCTAATGGTAAAATTATAACGAATAGATGAAAACAAATGCTGCAGTAAAAACATTAAATACTCTTACGAATGCTACGGATTCGTAACGTAAGATATTCAAAAGGGAATTCAGTAGTTGAAAAAGTGTTGAATACATTTTTGAATCCCCCGAATAGAAATCCTGCAAAATCTGAGGTCAAGAGTATTCACAAAAAAGTATTCGTACGAATCTGAAGTATTCGAATCTACGAATACTCGGGCTGTATTCGAATACTATTCGATTCTGTATTCGATTCTCCCATCATTACCTGCAGTGTCCGTTCCGTATGATATCTCTTTTTGCTGAGTCGGTGAATTTGTTATTGTTTAGTCTAGTCTTGCTGGATCTTATCATTCTACGTTCTGTGTGTGTACTGTAACTTATTTATTCATTCACAAGACTAGAGACATTATCGCTCAAAGAAGAAAAGCCATTAGCATAAAGAATTGTCTCACAATGACTACAAGCTTTTAGGAGGCCTCGTTGTGAAAAGGGGTAAGGTTATATAAAAACAATGCTATTTTATAACTAAACAATTCGTCTACAAAATAAAATAGATAGGCTACTTTAGATGTATTTTACCTATGAAATAAGTTAAATCACCAAATTTATTAAATCTCTTCCTGAAAAACGGCCACGGAATATTGGCAGTCACTTCAATTTGAATTGTAAAAACGCCTAGTCAGGTACCGGTACTTAAGTTAACTAGTAATCAGTGATTTTTTTTAAGTGCTAGGCCGGTGGCACTTAAGTTGACGTCCTAATTTACTATTATACATTAACTACCAGCTGATTATAAAATGACAGTTCTAAACTAAACCTAACCTTAACCAAACTGCAGTATGTGTAGGGATGTTGCTATACCACTGTCTTTCCGATATTTGGTATCGATACGGTATTGTAAAAAAGTATCGATACCAGCTTGGAATCGGAACTTAAGTATCAATAATATCGTATCCATTCGATACCAGTGACGTCATATTCTGATTCACTGATCTTTGATTAAAACTCGCTCCAGTAAGTTTATAGTATAGCCAATAGGATTCGAGGGTACACTTCCATATCTATTGGCACAAACAACCGAATGAGTAATATTGATTATTCAATTGTTTAATTCGACATATCGTTTGGTTAGTTAGGTTAGGTTTTAACCTTACCTACCTAACTAACCAAAACGATATATCGAATTATCGATTTATGGATCGATATTAAACTTACTCATTCGGTTGTTTGTGCCAACAGATATGGAAGTGTACCCGGATTCGAATTCGAGCTGCTAAGAACTACCTAAATACGGTATGTAAAAAGTTGATAAAATTGACCAAACACAGACAACCTTTGTTTTCAATGATACCGGTCCATCAGCCTAAATTGAAAAAAAAAGATTTAGTTAAATAACTTTAAGTGCCATCTTTATTAGTATAACTTATTTGATGTTAAATAGTCAATGGTTTCATTTTATTTGCTTAACACAAAGTTGCTAACATTGAGTTGTAGCCTAATAAAAATAACTCTTTGCAAAACCCTTAAGTACTTATACGTTATGTACAGTTCTAAGTTATGAATGAATAGTGAATCATAATTTACTCAAACCACATATCAGACAAGCTAGATTAAAAACTAAATAAATATTTGGGTAAAAGTCTGTTTGTTTTTTGGGTCACTGAATTGCTCCAGCCTTGGAAAACATCCGCTCAGAAGGCACAAGCCTGGCAATTTTACTCTGATTTGTCAGAAATTGCCTTCCGATACTTATGATACGATACTGGCTTCTTGGTATCAGCACCAAATAAATATCGGAACAACCGATATCGATACAATAACAGTAGTTCGCAATAAAAGTATCGATACCTACTGGTATCGATCGTATCGCAACATCCCCAAGTATGTGAGTAAATGTAAGACGTAAACTAAGAAAACTAAATGGATGGCCATATTGAAGAACATCCAAGCTGTTCAATCCCTTCTGCCCCGTTGTTGGGCCGAGATAGGACATAAGACGTCTAAGAGTGCTGTTGTGATTGGATCTAGGCTACTTGGAAAAGCATAAATTCACTTCACATAACATTTCTCCCACAGCAGGCTCTTGTGTAGGCTAATAAATTTCATTGGTGTGAACCTGGCAATAACTCCAGCCATAAGTAGTGCGCGCGCCCGAAAAAATCTATTACTGGCCGCTTTGCGGCAAAATACGTCTGCGATGCATATTACAGATTATGCCAACAGATAGAGGACACTTTAACGGACACGACAGTATCAACATTATGTACCTGGGGAGTAGGTTAAGGGGGGTAAAATGAGCAATAAGTAGTGCGCGCGCTACAAAAAATCTATTGCTGGCCGTATTACGGCAAAATACGTCCGCGATGCATATTACCGATTATGCCAACAGATAGAGGACACTTTAACGGACACGACAGTATCAACATTATGTACCTGGGGAGTAGTATAAGGGGGGTAAAATCGGCAAAAAGTAGTGCGTGCGCTACAAAAAATCTATTGCTGGCCGTATTGCGGCATAATACGTCCGCGATGCATATTACCGATGATGCCAACAGATAGAGGACACTTTAACGGACACGACAGTATCAACATTATGTACCTGGGGAGTAGTATAAGGGGGGTAAAATCGGCAAAAAGTAGTGCGCGCGCTACAAAAAATCTATTGCTGGCCGTATTGCAGCAAAATACGTCCGCGATGCATATTACCGATGATGCCAACAGATAGAGGACACTTTAACGGTCACGACAGTATCAACATTATGTAGGCCTACCTGGGGAGTAGTATAAGGGGGGTAAAATCGGCAAAAAGTAGTGCGCGCGCTACAAAAAATCTATTGCTGGCCGTATTGCGGCAAAATACGTCCGCGATGCATATTACCGATGATGCCAACAGATAGAGGACACTTTAACGGACACGACAGTATCAACATTATGTACCTGGGGAGTAGTATAAGGGGGGTAAAATCGGCAAAAAGTAGTGCGCGCGCTACAAAAAATCTATTGCTGGCCGTTTTGCGGCAAAATACGTCCGCGATGCATATTACCGATGATGCCAACAGATAGAGGACACTTTAACGGACACGACAGTATCAACATTATGTACCTGGGGAGTAGTATAAGGGGGGTAAAATCTGCAAAAAGTAGTGCGCGCGCTACAAAAAATCTATTGCTGGCCGTATTGCGGCAAAATACGTCCGCGATGCATATTACCGATGATGCCAACAGATAGAGGACACTTTAACGGACACGACAGTATCAACATTATGTACCTGGGGAGTAGTATAAGGGGGGTAAAATCGGCAAAAAGTAGTGCGCGCGCTACAAAAAATCTATTGCTGGCCGTATTGCGGCAAAATACGTCCGCGATGTATATTACCGATGATGCCAACAGATAGAGGACACTTTAACGGACACGACAGTATCAACATTATGTACCTGGGGAGTAGGATAAGGGGGGTTAAATCGGCAAAAACTAGTCCGCGCGCTACAAAAAATCTATTGCTGGCGCTTTGCCGATTTTACCCCCCTTATACTACTCCCCAGGTACATAATGTTGATACTGTCGTGTCCGTTAAAGTGTCCTCTATCTGTTGGCATCATCGGTAATATGCATCGCGGACGTATTTTGCCGCAATACGGCCAGCAATAGATTTTTTGTAGCGCGCGCACTACTTTTTGCCGATTTTACCCCCCTTATACTACTCCCCAGGTACATAATGTTGATACTGTCGTGTCCGTTAAAGTGTCCTCTATCTGTTGGCATCATCGGTACTATGCATCGCGGACGTATTTTGCCGCAATACGGCCAGCAATAGATTTTTTGTAGCGCGCGCACTACTTTTTGCCGATTTTACCCCCCTTATACTACTCCCCAGGTACATAATGTTGATACTGTCGTGTCCGTTAAAGTGTCCTCTATCTGTTGGCATCATCGGTAATATGCATCGCGGACGTATTTTGCCGCAATCTGAGAGGAGTGGGGGAAGACCCCTGAGTGATTGAACAGGTGCATGTGTGCTCTTCAATTTTTTCCATAAAAAAGTGGTTTTTTATAGTTTGTTTGAGATAAGTTTTATACCAAAGTGTTAAGTTTATTTTTGGGTATAAAAGTATGTGAGTAGAAGTTACTATTTTAAAATATTTAAAGAGTAAATTGAAGATTTAACAAAACTTTTTCCTGGAATTGCAAGATTATTTCTTAGAACACTGACAGCCGGTCCAGCGATAAGGAGTCCTGACCCTTGCACCCAAGATAACCAGGCTCACTTGAGTCATAGTAGCTATCCATGCAGTCTGTCAACTACTGTTATCAGCTTGTTTACAATCTTTGTTTTGACCAGGTGTCACTTATTTTATTTTCAAGCCAGATATCAGGAAATTAATTATTTTATTTTATTAATTCATCTGTAGATTTGTATACCAATTTTTATTTTTTAAAGTATACCAATATTTATTTTTACTAATTGAATTATAGAAGATGAGTTCTCAAAATGATTTTCTTCCTCAAGGATGGTCTAGGAAGGAAGTTCTACGCAAAAAAGGAGCTACAGCAGGGAAGAAAGATGTATATTTTTACTCTCCAAAAGGAAAGTTAATAAGATCAAAAGCTGAATTGTCAAAATATATTCAAGCTCACAACCTATCAGTTAATATTAATGACTTCAATTTTAGTACATTGAATAAAAATAATAAGCAACAGAGTGAATCTGTAATACTAAATTCTAGTGTGTCAGATTCCAATGCAACTCTAAACTCAATAAATAGTAGTATTGTAAGTACTGATCCTACAGATGGGGATGAAACATATAATGTCAGTGAACAAGAAAAGATACAAGGAGGAAGTTTTCAAGTAAACTCTGTTCAAACACAAACATCTAGTGACTACAATAGCACTTTGCTAGCTGATGAACTGCTGGGCAAAAGCTTTCTCACAGACCAATCTCTAAATCAGTATTTCGAGCTACTAAATAATCGTTTTTTATTATCTAAGTCATGTATCATCCTGAACCCATTGATAAGTCATGCTATAAAGAGCCTAGAAGATTATTCTCATTTTTTAGATCCAATGCAGCTTCACAATAAAAACCTAATAGTAATTCCAGTGAATGATGCTATTGAAAGCTCTTTTGAAGGAGGACATTGGAGTGTAATGGTATGGTACAAGAATATAAATGCTTTCTACTATTACGACTCCTTATCGAATGCAAATATTGCTCATGCCCAGGTCATAGCTCATAAGATATCTGCCTACCTCAAGCTAACGCCAAGTGATTTCACACCGATAGAATCATCAAGACAAATAAATTCATACGACTGTGATATTTACATTTGTCTTTTTGTTGAAAATCTTCTCTATCATCTCATGAGTAAAACATCACCAAATTTTCAGACTGTTGGAAAAGTACTGGTTAGTGAGTTAGAACTCATAAAGAAAAGATCAGTACTAGCATATGTTCTAAAGAATCATGTATTTTTGTCAGACGGACTATTGT